CGGAAGGCATGTACTGAGTACATCCAATCTGTCGAAACGATTGTTCCCAGCTGCGCTTGTGGAAGTCGGGGGGGGGATAGGGGGGATAGGGGGAGGGCGCCTTCGAGCGCCCTTCCAAGCGCCGTGCGGCTTCGATGGACACGGCATTGCTGTGAGAGGTCCCGCCGGGATCGGAGTCGCGGGGACGCTGTGGTGTGTGTGTTGAAACTCACTCACTTTGTGTCTCAGTCAGTCCCGCTTTCCGTTTCTCTGCCTTTTTTTTCGAGCATCTCTGATCGATCCTCACTTATTCGTTTTTTTCTATTCTGCTTTCGTGTTTTATTGTTTCTTCCTCTGTCACCTTTTTTTGTGTTGTGCTGCCTGGCAATAAACTTTGGCCGGAGCTGTATTTTTTTGTTCTCGGAGCCGAGGCATCACCTCGAGATCTCTCTTTTTTTGTGCCGGGTCCATTACACGCTTTGGATCAGGAAGGGAATCAATCAATTGGTTAAACCTGCTCAGTATGTTTGCAAGTAATTTTGACAACGACAAAATTTCCTTTTTATAGAGGTAAAGAGACATTCTTTTTAACCGTTGAGGCTTCCTTGCCAGCTACGGAAATATTGGGCTTTTCACTGAGCCTTGTTCGCTATACGCGTTGTGGGAGAAGTGTCTAGGTTATATGGGTGTATCCCATTACTTGTGACTGTCAATTATGCAGAAGCCGCGCGCAACAGGCTGGCAGTAATTAGATCCGCAGAAAACTTGGTTAGCCCACTCGCGGGGCATACTATTCCGTCATTTGTAAAGGTTTTCACATTTCCATATAATTTTTACTGTTTAGAGGAAGTTTGGCCAAAAATTTGTAAAATAAAGAAAGACAGTGGAGGGAAGTGTAGAAATTACTACATTCCTGATCACGAAATGTGTGTTTCTGTTCACTAGAATAACGTGTCCGCTGAACATTTCCTTTAGAACATTTTCTTTGGCACTGCTGCCTCTCGCTCGGGTTACTGTAACGCCGTGGTGCGATAAATTTTAATTGACACCCACAAGTAATGGGAGCTACCCGGTTATATAACATGTGCTGCATCAAAGCAAAGCACTTGTGTTTAAAGTCCACGTAGGGTATGGAACGTTATTTGCTGCTGCTTTCGCAAAGCCAGTGGTGGCTCAGTAATGTGGCTCATGCACCAGAATTGTGCTACTATAGGGCAACCGTAACACTAGCTAACAACACGAGCTAACCAGGAGCTAACAACACGTCGTCACGGATGTTTATTGCAAGATTGGCAAAGCATACAACCCGCTGACTCCTGTCGACTCTTACCCGCCTTTAGTGCAGGCTGATTGATGGTACGGGTTCGGCCACCCAAAAAGCAATTGGCCGAACAGAACCCAGAATTTCGTTATCATTTTCTTGATCTTGGCAAAATGCCAATGCTGTGCTCGCACAGCCCCTAACGGAGCGGAGCTGCTCCGCGTGAAATGCTTCGGTCTACATCGGATTGAAACAGACTGTATTCATCTCTAAGCCAGACCCCGCTACCTGAACGGACTACTTGTATTGTCTATGCATTTGCGGGATGCACCCTTGTGCCGGATCCTCGCAGAAGCCTGCAAACCGATGCATGTCTAGTAGATACGCTACTAGGGAGTGCAGTCAATGCAGTCAATTTTCCACTGAGTCATATTCCTTGAATAGGGAAATAATGGAAATCTGGGCAGAAAATGGAAATTCGCTAAGGCTTCGGCCGTACATTACATTAGCAGTATTACTAGCGTACTTAGTGTTACCGTTTTTACTGCTCTAGATGATGAACCAATCACCTCTACTCTATGACACCTACTGAGCGCTTAAAGGCAGTGTCCGGGCAAGAACTCGATTTTGAGATTTTGTGCTTACCCGGGCCTATTCGCTATGCTGAATCCAAAAATCCACACTGGAGAGCGCGAAAACGACGAAAAAGGGCTCTAACACTGGAGGGAAATCAGCAAGTGGGCGGGGTCTTCCCCACTGTGAATCCACGCTTCCAGCTTCCAGAGCACTTTTCTCGAATCCGTTAGCCGTTCTGACATCACTACCGATCAAGTGCAAACGAATGACTTGAAATCAAAAAGATCGCCCCCGAAGCTGGGAGCGTGAATTCACAGTGGGGAAGACCCCGCCCACTTGCTGATTTCCCTCCAGTGTTACAGCCCTTTTTCGTCGTTTTCGCGCTCCCCGATGTGGATTTTCGGAATCAGTATAGCGAATAGGCCCGGGTAAGCACAAAAACTCAAAATCGAGTTTTTGCCCGGACACTGCCTTTAAAGGCAGTGTCCATGCAAATTTGGGCACGTGAGGTTTTACCTGGAAACTTATGAGGGAGTCCTAACTAAGGCGCTGTCCAAGCGGCAGCGCAAACAATTCATTCACGGCTGAGAAATCCATCCACAAACATTCCACTGCTGCACCGTGACCGTAACACTTAGCACCGGTCCCACGCGAACGTAGTGTTAAATTGAGCGAAGTCGTTCTCGGGTTACGGTCACGGCGCAGGTGCGGGGCCTTTGCGGATGGATTTCTCAGCCGTGAATGCCCTGCCCTTGGGCAGTGCGCTAGTTAGGACCCCTCATTTGTTTCCAGGCAAAAACCCCATGGGACCAGATTTGCCTGGACGCTGCTTTTAAGGGAGGCCAATATGTGACTCACAAAAGATCTTGCTTTGCCTAATCTACCACTGTAACGACTACTGCACAGAGCCTGTCAACCATAGTTGCGATAGGGGGAGTGATGGATCTTACCCCCTTCACTTTGAGGCCAAACTCCCGATGACCATGGTATTGTACTCTGAGAATATGATAAAAATCGTTATTAAAAGGTTTTGCAGGCTAAGTACCTCAAACAACAAGTACACTCATAAATTTACAAAAGAAACGGTATTTATGTTTATTTATATTATTTATTTATCCTCGTAGCATCGATTTGGAGAGCAGAAAGAGGACAAAAAAGCAGTTGGTTTTTGGGGTATATAAAATCCCCCATATCTCGCGATACAGAAGACCTAGAAAAAAGTCGACGATCCAAGTCGATTCCCCATGATCTCAGCTTTCGAATGGTATACAGCATGTTAAGGCTTCTTTGCTTCCCGGCTCTAAAAATCATTTGCTCCGGTAACCGATAAAAGCCAGTACATTGGTGGAGCTGGGTGGAGCAAGCTAATAGTAGATATCTCCACCCCATTTTTGAAAACTGGTTAGTTTTTTCGCCCAGCAACCTATACACCATTCGAAAGCTCAGGAAAGAAGGATTTGACTTAGACCGTCGACTTCTTTCTAGCCCCCCTCTATCGAGAGATACACCGCATTTTATCTGAAAACATGGTCATTTTCAACAGCAGATTTCTGCCAAATGAAGACCTAATCACTGCTGATTATCTATCTGTGTTAAAGAGCAAGTCTTCATTAACAATCGTAGATCGTCGACTTTCTCTTAGCATTCATTTGGAAAGCAGAAAGTGAGGGCACAAAATCAGTCAATTTTTGAAGCACATAAAATTCCTCATATCTCGCGGCACAGAAGAGCTAGAAAAAAGTCGACGATCAAAGTCGATTTTCCATGATCTCAGTTTTCGAATGGTATACAGCATGTTAGGGCTTCTTTGCTTCCCGGCTCTAAAAATCATTTGCTCCGGTGACCCATAAAAGCCAATACATTGTATAGGTCGTCCCGAAAGTTCTTGCGCACGATTTTCAAAAATTTATAACTTTTGATTTTTCCAACCGATTTGACTGCTTTTATTTTCTTATGAAATAGTAAGTCATGTTTTTTATAATGACATCTTATCTGCTTACTAATGGTCATCTGTTGCATAGATAAGAGCGATAGAAGAATATTGGTCAAAATCTGAATTTTTCGTGTAGGGTCATAAAAAATCGGAAACTTGCAACAAAATCGGAGCAGTCGGGATCGTAGGTTCCTTCACCAGCTCTTTCCAACAGTGCAAAGCTTGCGCTGATTGAGGATCTCTATGAAAAGTTATGATTTTCGAGCAAGCAATACAAAAGGGCGAATTTGGTTTATTTTTTTAGGGAAATCATAACTTTACATAGAAACGCTCAATCGGCGCAAACTTTGCACTGTTAGAGAGAGCTGGTGAAAGAACCTACAATCCCACTGCTCCGATTTTGTTGCAAGCTTCCGATTTTTTATGACCCTACACGAAAAATTCAGATTTTGGCCAATATTTTTCTATCGCTCTTATCTATGCAACAGATGATCATTAGTGAGCAGATAAGATGTCATTATAAAAAAACATGATTTACTATTTCATACGAAAATAAAAGCAGTCACATCGGTTGGAAAAATTAAAAGTTATGAATTTTTGAAAATCGTCCGCAAAAACTTCGTTGCTGTATGTTTATGTTTCTTTGGTAAAAAATGCGCTTTTGATTGACAGTTATGCCATCATTATTAGCACACACTCAAAAAACTATGGGAGATTGGTGAATTTCCACACCTTCACACAAAAACCCGCCCATTTCTGGAATCTATACTCTGTAAACCTAGTGCTGAAGAAGGTCACTTTCGTGAAAACGCTCTACACTCACCTTACTAATTTGTAGAGAATGGTTGGTTTCAATGAATCAAAAACTTTAAGACATTCAGAAGAATAAAATGTTGTTAAAATATTCCTCAATGTTTTGGAAAGGTTGGCAGTTTGAAGAGGAAACGGCAAGCAGAATACTTTACAAAATCGCAGATAACTCGCATGTGTTCCAATTCAACAGCGAGGCAGAAGGAGAATCTTACGCCGACGAAAATGTTGTCGACATTGATACAGAGTTGACAATCGAGCGAAACTCTCTAATTTCCTACATAAGGAATCCAAGCAGATTTCAGATTTCTAGTTTCAATGAGGAAATGTCCATGAAGTCCATTGCTGATCTTCAGGTTGCTGAAGATTTCAAAGCTGCTAAATTCACAAGCATGGATATGAACAAAAGGAAGGTATTAGTACAAAGCATAGCTATTGCTCTTAGATCCCGAGAGTGCGAACCCAACTCTGTGCTTTATGCTTTTGGAAGTTATTCGCCTTATGACATTATGACCTATGATATTGAAAAAAAAACCAACTCGCAGCTTACAAGGGAACCGTGTCGAGTCGAAGTGACCTTTCCAGATGGGACCCATACTGCTTTGAAGAGCATTAATCGGTGATTTCAAATCTGCTCTCCAAATCTGCCAAGCGCCTCTGGACGCCGAGTTATGCTCGTTTTTCTGGTCAAAAAATTGAACGCAAAAATGAAGCAAAATCGCCCAAATTTACTCTCAAATGGTCCAATGTCAAGTACCAGAGCTGTTTATGCAATGGATACATTTTATTTATTATGCTAATACTTAACATTGCTTTATCTGAGCGCTGGAAAGATTGTAACAATCAATTTTACCTAAATTCTGCATTCATTTTTCGTTCCGAAGAACGGTCATAACTCGGCGTCCAGAGGCGCTTGGCAGATTTGAAAGGCAGATTTGGAATCACCGCTTAATACTCTTCAAAGCAGTATGGGTCTCATCTGGAAAGGCCACTTCGACTCGACACGGTTCCCTTGTTAGTATCTACTTTTTTCGGCTATTCCGCAGATGCTGTTGAAGAAGAAGTTGAGCAGCTTTCTCATCAGTTAAGAGGACGTATGCCAGGGGAGGTGAAGCCAGAGTTCGACAAGGCCCAAAAATGTATGCAGTATTTCCTTCCCGTGTTGCGAAAGCATATGCGATCTCGCTCTTTCCTCATTACTTACCGCAAAAATCTGATGGACTTACTAGCAAAGCTAGTTTCCATCCCGACTAGCATGGCAGAGGTGGAAAAAGAAATTTTCTATCTACTCTGTTATCAGAACACAACGCAGAAGTCGTACAACGATATAGCATCTAAGCAATTACTTAAGGTTTGTCAACCTTCTACTGAACATATTGTTATCTAAAGACTTCATCTAAAGGATTGGTATAAGGTGGTCCAGACAGGCTGTTACCGTATGACTTTTTGAAATATCCTAAAAATGGTATGAAGAAACTGGTCACCTATCTGCTGACTTTCCTGGTGCTACCAGAGGGTCAGGGAAAAATTACAAAAGCGCTTAAAAGAAGAAGAAAGTTGCAAATCCATTTTTGACTCAGAATGCTTTTTCACGCAATTCTACTTTTACTCCGATGACCTTTTGGAGGAAGAACAAGATTTTTTAGGCAGCGAACTTGTTGTCTCTGACGTTAGCGATAGTGATATTGTTGATGATGATGTGCAGGAATTGAAGTTGTTCCTAACTTGTACATCTTTTGGGATAAACCTTATTGCTTTCGTTTTTTGTTGATGCAATGAGACAGGAGCACAGATCTTCATAAAGTCAATTTTTTAAAAAAAATTTCCATTTCTTTTGAAATCCTTCAATTTTTTTTTCAATTTGTGCCTAAATAAGGTACAAATTAAAGCTCTTCATACAACGCTTTTTTACCTTTTCTCTCTTCCTCCCCCCCCCCCTGGACTCACATACCCCCTTCACCCTGGAAAGTCGGGAACAGCCGAGACCCCCTTCACCTGGGGAGAGCCCGGCTCCCCCTATCGCACCTATGCTGTCAACCCCTCGGTCTCCTACAGTTCTATTTCTTCGAACGCCGATCGCTGAAATTCCATTTGAAGGAATAAGCCTATCATAACTATCATTTCACTACCAGAGCAGTAGAAGCGGTAACAGTATTAACACTAGTGACACGTGTAACACTACACTGGTACATGGGTACTAGTAATAGGAGTAACGCTGGCACTGGTAATGCATGACCAAAGCCTAAAGCGCCATTCATTTTCAGTCGATGGGAGTGTGGTCAATATTCGGCGAAGCTTTCAGACATGATTCCATTGCCCACCAAAGTGCACACAGTGATAAACAGCGGCTTTACCTCTTGTACCCATAAGTACATACTTTCAATCTTCTCTGTAAATACTAGCTTGCTTTCCCGGTCCGCTTGGACCGTGAGGCCGACAAAGGTCACACATTAATTATTCAGAAGGAAGCGAGTAAAGACTCGCTTTACCTTTACCTTCTTTTTTCTTCACCCCACACTTTTCTTAATTCTGCTTCTGTTCCGAATCCAGAAAACAGCGCTTCTGTGGTGGACTTGTCTCCTTTCCTAAGGGATCGTTCAGACCGCGCCGGAACCCGCCCAAACTCGCCCGAATACGTCCGAATCCGCCCGAATATTTCCAAACGTCCAAACCCGCCCAAATACGTCCGAACCCGCCTGAACTGCCAAAGCGCAGCAGGTTGCATGCAAATTGGCATATTGGAGCACGCGTGCGATTGATCCTTCTAATATCGGAGTAGTTGCAAAAGAAGATCGGTATGTAACGTCGAGCTACGTGTGACTGAGATAATGCACTACGCGAGCATTATTCCACGCCTGCTCCAATATGCCAATTTGCCGCATATCCGCTGCGCTTTGGCAGTTCCAGCGTTCAGGCGGGTTCGGACGGATTCGGACGTATTTGGGCGGGTTTGGGCGGATTTGGACGTATTCGGGCGGGTTTGGACGGATTCTGGCGCGGTCTGAACGATCCCTAACCGCCTCGCTTCAAAACACCGCATTTCCCTCACCGCAAAATGTAACTTAAATCCACCGCCGTGTTCACATGACTATTTGAGATGACAAACCGGTAATGAATGATGAGCTTCTATTTTCCCTGATGTAAATAATCAGATGAATCGATAGATGGACCGAGCAATGCCGCATGAAGTAGCCTATCGTGTGCGCAGAAATTGAAAACGTGTGCAAAGTGCGCTTTTTGGCTCACTCGCAAAAATTTCTATTCGACACATACTTCACGCGAACATACATACCGTCTGCACCCCAAGAGGTTCCCATGTGAACCAGCGTGCGTACGTGGTGCGACGCTGCCTTTCGCTCTTTTTAACACGTTTTTCCTGAGATTTCAACGGAAGTGCCCGAGGTTAACATGTTCAAAAGTACGAAAGGCAGCGAGATGACGTGGTACCTATGGGAACTCTCTGGGGCGCAGACGATACTCACAAACTTTCATATATGTATAGGTTTATACTTATCTTGATCACTAAATACTTTTAAGCATAGCCGGCTTCAAAAATGAGTGGATATTTATGACCGCTTAAGCTGCATTGCTTGACAGTCCGCAACTTTCGCGCTTTATATAGTAGCCCATACAATTTTTTGTATTCATAAATCAGATTTGGAACTTGCTTCATGCAGAAAGACAAACAATAAAAGAGAAAGCAACAAAGAGTGAGATCAAAATGTAACACGCCGACTTAGCAATAATAATCAGTTTCATGCATCAAAGTCCTCTTCTGCAGGTCTCTTGAGCAGATTAGTGACATGCTCTGGTCTCAGTTGTTGCAGGCTATCGTCACCATAACCATGAGCCGGAGGTTGCCCTACTGTGAGAGGGGCATTGTTAGCCAGCAAATCTGCTGTTGTTCTGTCCGATCCCCGCCATTCGACGTTTGGTTGCAACAAACAAAATCTGAAAAGTCAGCGTGCTTAAAAAACTGTAGGAATGATAAAAAAATCACAAACCTGTCGTTGGGGAGTTTGAGCCCAAAATTGTGACGAATTTGAGGTAAAGGCTGTGCATTTCGTTCGCATGCCATTTTCAATAAATCGGCTCGGTTAGGCTTGCCGTCGCATAGAAGCCCTGCACACATAATCACACATAATCTCGGGATGGCTATTTCGACGTTTTACATAATGTAAAACCCAAAAATGAATTACCTTTTGGAAAATATCCGAAACCTATCCCACTAGCGGAACTGACATTTATGATTCTCGTTTGGTTCAAACTCGTTGCGCAGAGAGTAGAGAGAACGGTACTTTTCCGTTATCCGGACCCATTTTTTCAAAAAGCTCTAATAAAATACGTTCTTCAATCTAAAAACAATTTTTTATGGATTCCACGAGGAATGCCTTCTTGCCACGTGTCAGAAAAATATTAACATTCTGGCCCATTTTGACATGTTTTTTCGAAACCACTTCCGGTGAGGTAAAAGAGCATTTGTGATCACTTAAAAGCTATTTAATTGGTTTGTCTGAGAGCAAAACAATCTGAAATTTATATCGAAACATCTTGATCGTTTCAGCAACGGCTCAGCATTGTCTTTTTCTTCAAACTTTTCGTCTTGCGAATTTAGCCAGACGAGACTATAATTGATGGCTTAAAGTTCCTTGCTATTGTTTGTTTTGTCATTTAGATGAAGGGATACTAGTCCACTTCTCTACTCTTGGCAAGTTTAATCTGTTTAATTTGTAACAAAATGACGCATGTAATTATGATACCAATGCTCATTTCTGATAGTTTGATCGAATGGGGTCATTATTGACTAATAAAGAGATTACACTTATGTCGCTAGGTAGGGTAACTCAAACTCTTAGTTAAACCTGTTAAACATGTAAATGACATGTCAAATTTTTTTTGACACGTAGCAAAAGGTTGGCACTCCCTCCTGTGAAGTCGGGACCAAATATGGTACGAGGGAAGAAGCAATATGCTTCTTTAAAGAAATGGGTCCGGATAACGAAAATGTAACGAGAGAACTCCCCCTCACCCTTCCCATGAATGTACTCACCACTCATCTCAACCGCGATTTGGACATCCGTCTCGTCAATCACCATCTTTCCGCAATGCTGTGAAATAGCCTTTGCCTCAGTCAATAAGCCAGAGGTAGTAGTGTAGAGCAGCTAAAGCGAAAAAAGGGAAGAATCGAACACGTCTATTTCAAATTAAAAAAAAAGAAATGTGCTTACGTCCAAAAGCAGATGAACCACACGTGGGTCGTAATCGGTTATACCAGCTTCCTCCAGAATGGCCTTCACGTGAGAGATGTCACGGCTTGCGTCCATGGGTGCTCCATCTCCACCATCGTTGTCATCTGCATAGTTCGAATTATCTCCACTTATGCTGGATGCACCGGGACCAGACATCATGCCATAAATGATTCTGAAATGCTTGAGAAATATAGTCGAAGGAACTTGAACAACTGAGACAGAGACTGTCCAAAACAGACTCCAAAATACTGTAAATGTCATACACTATTCCGTAACAAAAAGAAAAATCCTTGAATTTCAGACTACAACTGCTACCTAGAAAGAATAAGTTTTCATGATTACTTCCTTGCGTGTATCTCTACACACAAGTCTTACGCTCCCTAGTTCTTGTTGAAGAGAGTAGCAGCTCCTATGAGACAGTTTTGAAACAAAAAATTTTGAAAAGCAGGTTTAGACCTGAAGGTCTAATGATATCAATTTTATCAGATCCGCAAAGCTTCCCCGGCAACCTGTGGCCGCGTTCATCAACGAACCCAGTGGGTAAGCAAAAATAGTTCCTTTGGGTTGGATCGATAATCAAAAAGCATTACTAGGTACGCGAACCCACTAGCTTCGTAAATACCAATCCCGTGATTAACCCTTTAGGACCTGACTTTTTCTCAGTAAGAGAGAGAATTGCTCACCTACTGCTTTTGATAGGGTAGCGTTTGAATAACAATACAGCAAAGTTTGGAACTTTTTCGACAACAAGACGTTTTTATTTTTAATTTTTTTTACCAACCTTCACTCAATTTTCTGATTTTTTTCCAACAAAGATGAAATCGCGTACTCATAGCAGATGTGCTCGGGTGACATCATACTCCACACTTCAGTTAATAGTATAAATTCATTACAACTATCAGGGGAAATAATTGATATTTTTTCAGCAGATGCTGCGGCAGACAACCGTTCTCGATTTTTTGTCACTCAGTTGCGCACAAAGATTCCTTCATTGCTAGTACCACCATGGATGAAATGGGGCTTGCAAATCACTATTAGGAAGGCAAAGGTTGTCTGAAGCTACCTATAGCAATAAGTAGTAGAAATCTGCTGTTGCGCCAGTAACAATGCCCTCTGAAGTTGATGGTGGCAATTGCCACCACCAGGTCCCAAAGGGTTAAGCCTACCCAGTGGGTTCGGGAACCCACTGGGTTCGTTGATGAATACGGCCACTGGAAATCAATGATATTGACTAGGCTACATTTGCTTCTCTAGATATTAAAAAAGTACTGTTATTGCAAGATCTGCCCCAAAAGCGGGTTCTCGCAAAGTGCGTCCCCCAAAGCTAGGTAATCAGTGATTTCCGGCGTTGTTCGGCTATGCCCAAAAATCCAAAAACACGAATTTCGCTCTAATCTGTCCAGTGAGTCCCAACACGGAAGAAGTAATTCGCATGGTTGGACCTTGGAAAGGTCAGAAAAGTAAACGGCAGGTATAGGCCCCGTAAAATCCAATTGCCCCTGCATCGCTTTGAACAGCAAGGAGCGGCGCGGCTGAAACGTTTGGTCCCGAAGCGCTGCAGGCTTTCTGCGAGCGACAATGAGCGCGCACCCTTTCCACACATTTTTTTCAAACTTTTGAAGGGAGCTTTCGTCAAGATATACCTTGCATTGACGAGAACAACATGAAAGTTATAGAAAGATTTCTTGGAATATAGTGACCGCCGACAGTCGTTCGCGACGACTGCTCGCTTACGCTGGTGATCAAGGCACGGCGCGGGCAATTAGGTTATACTGCGCCTATAATTGAAATAACAGAATTGCTGCAATTCATAGTATGTGACACGCATACACCACGGAAACCGCGTGAAGGTCGATTCTGACAGTGTCAAATCATTGTCATTTTTGTGACGAGGCAGTCTTATAACCTCGAAGATCTGATAGTCCTTCGATTTTTACTCCCTACCTCGACTAACCGTAACACTCATGAAAGTCTTTAGCCTGCGGACTGATTATAATGTAGTTTGATTAGCAATTCGAACAACCCTAGATAGTCTGAGGCCACATAGCCAAACTGCGCCGAATTTCCTCGTAGAACAATGAACTGGTTTTGTCCAACCCTGCTGCACTTAAAAAGTGGTCCTACGAAATTTTTACAAAACGTTAAGTAATAAATAAGAATTTACAAAGATTAGCAACTTGCTAGTTCAAAATTCAGCAACACGGCCAACATTTACTGCAAAATAAATACGAAGTTTCGCAAACAACAGCTGGGTAAAAGTGAACATGCCTATTATTAATATTAATACAGAGCCAATGGCGACAAGTGATAGAAAGCACAAAATACTGGTTAAATCACTGTGACGAAGGTAGCCACAACGTCAAAGGATTAGTCGATAAGGAGATGTATTAAGAGTTGCCATCTGACATGAGTACAGCCTCTAGGAGTTCATTACATTGCGCACGAAATCGGCAATATTCACATTTCCATGTGAATCATTGTGACCAGCCAAAAGTTGATCAACTTCTTCATCCGACAGTCGTTCACCTTGAGTGCCAATATTACAAAGCTTATAATTTTAAAAAATGAAATTATCACAAACCTAGAGTTGTGAGAAGATGACGCAGTTCCGCTACATTGATAAGACCATTCCCTTCCTTATCAAAATGCGAAAGACCTTCGACGAATTCTTCGACTGAGTGCTTCTCACTGAAAACGAACGAATGAGATGAGATTGGAAATCGCAACAGCCTTACTATACAAACAAACGGCGTATAAAAGTTGATTTCATTCGCAGATTCAAACTCCGCAACGCAATATGCCCGTTAGGCCCCGGACAGACTTCACGCGATTTGATCGTCGCGATTCAGTCGCTACAAGACAACTGTCATGAGTTCATTGCATGCCGATCAGCTTGCATTTCGGTTGTGATACTTTTCCAGACCGAAATTTTTGAATGTAGAATGAAAATGAATGGAAATCACGGCGATCAAATCGCGACGATCAAATCGCGTGAAGTCTGTCCGGGGCCTTAGATAGCATCTCTCCCACACGTTTAAAGACTAGTAATTCATTGCTAATGCTCTTTATAACCATTATTCGAAAATTTGTTTGGTTTGGTTTTATTTGGTTACATTTGCATTCCACCAAACACACTCGGGAACGACCAAAACATCTATATCCCACTTCAACAACCACATCTCAAGACTTTTTAAGTTGGAATCGACAATCCATAACTAATGGAATAAGTGTAATGACTATGCGACTAGATTTTAAGCTTATGATGAAAAACTTCACCTTTGCTCAACCGCACACTCTATACACCACTCAAGTGTTCAGACAATGTACAAGAGATTTTCGCGAGAAAGAATGAAGTGCAGAGAAACGCCAGGCTCACCGATTCTTGCTGATCGATTGGAAGATTGGAACAAAATCTTCGAATGAAAGACGTGCCTCTTTCTCGTAATTTCCGCAACATCGGCTGATTTCCGCTTCCGTGGGGTTCTGACCGAGAGCTCGAAGTACATCACCTACCTAAAAAAAATCAAACTGGCAATCACTTGTGTGTCTGTATTGTTCACTTTGCAAACAAGGAGGAAATTGCATTGGAAATTTCGAAGCAATTCATGTAACTACTGATATGATGCTTTACGCCCTCTGAAACATTTACATAAAGACCACACCGCTGCTACAAGAAAGTAGATTCAAACAAAATAAAAATATGCGCTCACGTAAATTATCACACAGACTACTAGCAGCGACAACATCATAGCGAGAAAAGAATGCTTGCCACGAGCGCAACCGATTGAGCCATATGCACATTTGTTGAAAATTGAGTTAGCTCCAAACAGCAAATCCACAGCAGCACTATTTCTCGGCAAAAAGGTGCTTGAAGAGACATTGCACGCCAACAACAGAAAGCATTTTACTCTGCATGATAGTGCCTATTTCTCTTTTGCGCAGTGAACTTCAAAATAAGGATATATTCGGAATCTGCCATTTTCATGGAAAGTGTTGAATCTGCAGCACATATGATGTTTGAACGTCTAGCTCCCTAGTTTTCAGATTATAAGACATCTGAAACTTTTCTCAAGACGGGCTCCATTGAAATTAGTAGGATGATAAATCAATTTACCAAAACGTCCACGTTCTAAATAGCTGCGCACCATCTAATGATTGTGTTGTGACTAGGGATACTTCACCCAGAAGTTAAAAATTAGAGCAGATTACTTCAAAACTCAAAAATCCTGCAAAGCTTGAACAGAAACAAGCAAAATACCTGCTGAACACTGATTTTCTCATCTCCCCTGCTATCGAAGTAACAAAATACTTCGCGACAATCAGCCAGCTGGTCATCCATTGCGCTCACCATTAACTCAATTAGTATGTATGAAAATGAGGAAGAACTAAATTAGACACAAAGAAAGAAAGATCAAAGTGGTTCAACCGATGAAAAACAAATCGTCAAAAATATCACATTCATTTGTCAAACTTCAAAATACACAGATATCATGCAAATATTTTAAGGTTCAAGACTGAATCATATGATCAGATCCACAACAACAAGTGAATAAGTACGCAACAATCGATGAGATCTGACGGAATACGCGAACAATGTGTCGCACGACTGTTCGCGCCTGCGATGACTCATTTGCACCCTTCGCGACATCACGATGTCCTCTCAGTTATCCGTCGGCCCCATCTTGAGCGTTACACGCTTCTTTTCTCAGGAGTAAATGTTTTAGCGATAGACGTATGTTATCGTATATCGTATACATAAGAGATTTTGAAAATATAGGTGGCTGGAGCAACGAAAAAGAGAAATCAAAAAACATCATTGATTCCGCCGACAAGGAACGACACTTCCAAACCCTCTCGTCGTAACGTAAACTCCGCGTAACGATCGGATACGACATCTGAAAAAAAAAGCGGATCATCGCCACGAAGAGAAACGCAAAACGCGTAGTCAAGCGTTATCCCACGGACAAGTTCTCGCTGATAAGCGCTATTACTAAACCGATTGTCCCGATACTCGTTGGCAGAGTAATCATCAAAAATGCTTTCTGTACGATTTTTCGCGAAGTTAGTTTTTCGAATACTCAAAAACATTGGCTACATGCATGACTAGTGTTGCTTTCGCGATTTCATAGAAAACATGAAGTGTAGACTAAAGAGGGCACACGTCGCCAGCCATGCTGCAGTACTGACAAGGGAAGTTCACTTAGTCAAAGTGGCGATCCGGAAGGAGATCTATACCAATGGATAGAGCTTAAAACGATGATCTCAGATATACCTTCTATATCTGCGACGCGTTGTTCTGAAAGAAGTTATGAGCTTTTCTAAAGCCAAATTTTCGTGCATTTTGAGCCGCAAAATCATGGTAATCGTTACACAAAAGTGTGCAAGCTCAAGCAAACCACTTAGTAAACATTGTAGGTCCAATTCGAGTTCATTCGAACGTTTTCGAGTGTTTTCGACCATGCTGTTTATCCACAGATCGCGATTTCCTTCTTCAATCGCACTTCTGATTTTGCAACTCGAAATGCACTAAAATTTTGCTTTAGAAAAGCTCGTAACTTTTTTCAGAACAATGCATCGCAGATATAGAAGGTATGTCTGAGATCAGCTTTTTGAGCTCTATCCATTGGTATAGACCTTCTTCCGAATCGCCACTTCGACTAAGTGAACTTCCCTTGTGAGAGGTCGACTTCATAGGCAGTGTCCCGGCAAGAAGTCGACTTGGAGATCTTCTGGTTACCTGGGCCTGCTCGCTATGCTGAATTCAAAAATCTACACTGGAGAGCGCGAAAACGGCGAAAAGAGCTTCAACGCAGGAAAAAATTCAGCAGTGAGCGGGGTTCGGGGTCTTGCACTCTGTAATGTCACTCCCCCAGCTTCCAGAACATCTTCGCTAGCCGCTCAAACATCGCCACACTGGCCAAGCGCGAACGCGTCATTTCAAGACGGGAGTGAGAAGATCGCTTCGAAAGTTGGGTTTTCGCGCTCTCCAGTGTGGTTTTCGAATTCAATACATAGCGAACAGACCCAGGTAAGCAGAAGATCTTAAAATCAACTTCTTGCCCGGACAGTGCCTTTATGGCTTAAAATTGTGCGGAGCCCTTTGTTGACCTATGCTTCTCACTACATTTAGAAAATTCATGCATGTCCTTTGCAAAAAATGTACAAGAGAGATCTTAGAAGAAAAATACACCATTTCGTATTCAGATTTTTTCAAAATGCCGGTCACTGACTGGACTGAAGAACTTACTTAGTAATACATTCAAGTTCGACAGAAACATGAAGCTGGAAAAGAACATATGGATGACTTTCAATGATAAACGCACGGTGCACCAGTGCTCTTGTGACTGCGCTTCTAAAAAATGACAAGAATGTTCATTCGTGTTCTGCAATGCAGTACTGACCAGTAAGTGTGTCATTGGCCAGATCGCTAAAATAGATAGTCACTTCAGCCTGATCCATGCGACATTTCAAATGCATCTCACCATTGTTATTGACTTTCAAAGTCTGAAATTTCGTGTTTCCTATTGCGCAGAAGATCTCTCCAAGTGGCAAATGCTCACCACATTCTTGTTTCCCACATGTTTCAGCGACTGCAGCACTCTCATCACAGATCTTATAGGGGGAAAGTAAACTCCCAACTAAAATAGATTCACTGGAAACTTTTCCACTGACTGCATTCATAGTCAAACGTGCGCCGGCACAGTGCCACTGTGGAACGCTGCGAGACACCGCCGCTGCAGTCGTTTGAGGTGCATGCTCGTTTTCTCTTGTTTACACTTGATGGTATTAGTTTCCATACTTTTGCAGGGTATTCAACAAACTTTCTTAAAATGCCTGCAAACGCGTTCAGAAGGAGAACGAGAAAAAAACGCCCACCAACGCCCGCAGTGCTCGGTGATTCGCGGCGCTCTGGGTTCTAGCAAAACTCAAATGCATACTACTCCTCTCGGTACATCTGGGCGTCGAAACATTGTCCAATGCGCGGTTTTGATCAACCGCACAGGAAGCTCATGTATTGTTCCTTTATCCCGTAGTTCCACTTGAAGGAAGGGCTTCTGAATGAGACTTCAGCTCGGTATGATTATATATGGTATATAAGGACAATCGAACCTGGTTTGGTTTCTGTCTCAGTTTTATTTTGAGATATGAATGAACTCCAACAACACTTTTTTCGAAATCTTCTATATCCAATTCCATTACAATTTCGTCTCTTTCTTCAGAGACACCAGCGAAATTCTAAATCGGCTAAAATCACATTAGTTTGAAGTAAAAATCAGATCACTGAACTTACAAATGTTTCAAAATCTGGCCGAGGAGGAATGAGCACGCTGAGGAAATTACCCTGCTCTCGAAGGGTGTCATTCGCTACGAAGCACATGCCTTAACCCCATACTGAAGATGCATTATCGCTTAGCATAACAAATTCGTTTTTAACTCATATCTCTTTTCATCAAACACTATGAAGACGCAACTTCGGTATTTATACGTTAAAAGGAGAGGCTGGGCTGACCTTCTTTTGTGATCCTCAGGCCACACCGTTTCTTGCACAAACGAGCAACAGCGCCAATGCATTCTGAAGCTACAAACTCAATCTCTTCCGATATCATCAATGTGCATACTCGAAAATGACTCCACCGAGCCTTGGTCACAAAGTATGGCGGAGAAGCGCATGGCTGTAATCTTCTCTGGATGAAAGCATATAATATATTTGCGAAAATTATCACGATAGTCGGGCTCAAACAGATTGAGAAAACAACAATTTAATCCTTAATCGCTTTATTACATAGAGGCAACAATTTCATCAGTTCGAAGGAAGTCTGACAAAGCTTAACCCAGAATTCTGAAAGAAACGGGCTCCAAGTCAAAACATACAAAGTGTACATGTGACCGAACTCACTGTGATAACGTACTCCGCAGAGCATGTAGGAGAAAATGGAGACTTTACGACGCTGATTCGCCTAATGGTTCCAGATTCAGTCGTAGACCGATCCAACCAAAGCTGAATCGTAGGCCTTCTTGATGAACCCTTCGCTAGAAATGGGGTAGTTGTCCATTCACCAGAGGATGAGTCCGGTCGCGTTGTAATATGATTCACGTAAATTACCTACTGATACAGTATTACACCTCCAAGAACATGAAGTCAGATGCAGATCTTACAGCGATGTTGTGGTGAAGAGCGATATTATACAGCATCGTAAGGACATTCCGCCACTTTTGAAAGTCTTCCTTTTCGGTGCAGCCACGAAAGAAAGTTGCTATGGCATCCACAATAACAACGGAGGTCTGACAACAAAATTTTGCTGAATTTGTCCATAGTTTGTGTCCAGCACGACTTCCCACCAAAACGCTCCATTCCCGCTCGTGCCCATTTTTCGTCTTTGTTTTCACCTTTTTTTGTGTAGACTTTCGATAAGTTTTACTAACAAAAAGTACAAGTTAGCAAGAATTTTCTACGCTAGTTGGGAACTGCGCCGACAGACATGCCAACATGTTTGGTCGACGAGCAAATTAGAGCGTTAATACCTCATCCAGCTGCTGGGTAGAATGCTCCAGCTTGCCCAGAATATTCATCATTTGTTCCATTGTGCTCGGTGAGGAGATCAGTAGTCGTTGCATAGCTTCATCCACCTCATTTGTGTGAAGTTTCAATATCTGAACCAAAAAATGAAGCCTTCGAATGCAAATAAAAACAGAACAGATACTAACTTCGCGAACCCTCTTGACTGAGAACCCCCGTTCTGTTTCGATGCATACCACTTTCCGTCCCTCAGCGATTGTTACTGCAGCAAACTGCATGCTGCATTGTGTCAGAAAGGTAATCGCCCGTTCACACGTCTAATAGAAGAAAGCCCACCAGATTTGTGATTTTCCACATCCCGCTTCACCAGAAATCTCCGTCACGCATCCAGGAAAAAAGCCCCCACCTAAATTAGCTTATTGAAAAAGCTCATTTTATTACACTGTATAAGCAGAAAATACAAACCTATCAAGTTGTCCAATTCGGTACATCCTGAGTGTAGCGCTGATGAAGACGTGCATTCAAAATTGAATAATTCGCGCGCAGTTTTGAACTTGACTTGTGATTTGGTCATTCTGACGCAAAAGTTATCAGACCAACGATCAAAGCTGTGAAATACACGTCTCCCTCTTCAAAAGTGGTAACAGATACTCGTCCACTTCATATTCTGCTCTGTCCCGACTTGCGACACGCATGACTAACACGTTGGCAACATGCAACAACATGTTGGCCTCAGGGCTAACAGACACATTGCTGCTAATAACGTGTTGCTGCATGTTGCCAACGTGTTAGCCATGCGTTTTGCAAGTTAGCGACGCAGAGCAGTGCTAGTCGCATTTGTGGAATGGACATACACATAAGACATGATACATAACAACAACTGCCGATCCTGAAAGCTCCCTATTTGGTGAGTTCCAAACTGGGTGGATATGAAGTTTAGTCAAAGATTGCTCTCTTTTTTTCCCTGAAACACTAACCACCCCTGTGCCTCTGCCCCCAGAATTGTTCTCATATGAATTACCAATGTGGCAGCCTTCCGATCGTTCTAATACGTTACCCCCAGAAAATTTAAGGCGTTTATTGAGGCTGACATGTCAAAATGATCGAAAGACAGCCACGTTGATGATTCATATGGGAACAATTCTGGAGGATGCACTATATATCTATTATATGTATACCTGTACTGGTCAAGACAACTATCGTGCATCCCCCAGGATTCTGCCCACAGGTACAGTAAATTTCGACCCGCTTTAGGCGGAAATTGGATTGGCGGGCGTCCGCCTCGCAATAGCTCGCGCCATTTCGCAGCTACAGTATAACCTATCGTGCTGAGAACCGAGGTCTGCGCCTCTTCATTCTTCCCAGTCTTTGCTTGGCAAAATGCCACCGCTGTGCGCTCGCGAAGCCTCTAGCGGTGCGCAAGCGCGCTCCTCGCGAAATGTTCCGCTTAATCCGGGATGAAATCGACTGTACTGTCGACGTGGCTGCTTTTCGACCTTTATAACATTTCACCTTCAAATAAGCGCCTTAAATTCGGAAGTTAACGTGTTAAAACGATCGAAAAGCAGCCACATTGATGACACCTATAAGAACAATTTTGGGGGATGGAAACAAAACAAACATTTCTTCGTTGCCTTTAATGACGCTGATATTGCGCGTATCGACTCCCAGATTCATAGAGGATATAGGCTTTGTAAAACCAAATTGTCTGCGCCGTGCCTTGAGCACCAGCATGGGCGAACGGTTGTCGCGAATCACTATACGCGACCTCATTCACTTATGAATTTTCCAGTCAACGTTGTTTTCTGCACTGCATAGTATATTTGAGCCACAATTGTCTTTAAAAGTTTATAAAAATACGTACGAAAGTGGTGCGCGCTCATTGTCGCCTATGTAGCCCATATCGCGCCGGGACCACACGTCTTCAGCCGCTTCGCGTTGGTTTTCAAAGCGAGGCGCGGGGAATTGGATTTTGCAACCCGTACAAATTCATATAGAGCTGCCGTCTTTCATAAGGTTGGGAAGAAGTTCTGAGTTGATTTAAATGTTCTCTTTGAGGCGTCGTCCATCCAGAGATGGACATTATAAGAGTTCCATACTTTGCAATTTCAAGATCATAATCAAGTTGAGTACGGTCGTTCCAGGTTCTACCCATAAGTACCACCGCCGGTTCGCATCCTTTCGCACTGCCTTTAGGTAAGTCCTCTCCGCATTCTCAGGCATTCCAAAAAGTGCCTTGCGCTGCCTAAAATCCCCAAGTTCCGTAGCTGCTTTTTAAGCATAAGGTTTATTTTCCTTGTTCTTCTTTCTCGTACATGCAATAAATTTGATCGGTACACAAGACATGACACGTGCTGAGAAGAGGGCACTGTAGCGTTATCTGGATTTGAAGTCGTAATCGCGAATAGATATCATAAGTTTATTGACTTAGTTTCATGCAACTTGGCAGTTAATTAACAATACAAGGCGATTCAAATGCTAACCACCATTACATAAATACATGCATTACACTTTCAGCGCGTGACTATGGTTTTGCCCGCGCGTGGCTGATCTAGTCAAGCGGATCTTTCTGATGTGTGTGGCCACACATCGAGAGAATTTTTGACTCAGCACGCATCTGCTGGAGTGATTTGACGAATCATTCAGCTCTCTTTCTGATACTCGTGTATCCAAAAAAGTTAGCCAAGTACAGTGGAGTAGATATCCCGCTCAATGTAGTGTGCGGGCACTGTAAATGAACTGTGGTAAAATTTGCGCGTAAACGATTAGCTTGTCAGGAATGCCGGCATTCTACGCGAGCAATTGGGAGGCGTCAGGCATTGCTAATTCTTCACGCGCAATTTTCACCGCATTTCACCTAGTGCAAGCACATATGTTAGGCGGAAAATCTACTCAACTTTACTGATGACCAGGGTTGAGCAAGAGGTCAGGCGCTAGTCCTTCAAACACGACCCCCCCCCCTGTGAAAGCCCCTAAAATGACCCCTCCACTTCAACTCCAGGACCTTAGACTGTGTTATGTTGAAGAAAACCACCCTTTACTGGAGGGTTCTTGTTTTTTGGCAGCAGGCCCAACTTTCTGCGATTGCACAGCCACACGCAACTTGACGGCAAGTTTTGAACTTGGATAGCCCTCTTTTCAGAGTTATAGTTTTTGCAGGGGTAGAGTGTTCGGCTCCAAATTTTCAACATAGCAAGAAGAGGCTTTGCTCTCAATACTCATACTAAAAAGGGAGCGATTTTTGAATATTGAAGGTAAGTTAAGGGGGTCAGGCGCAACCCCTCAAAAGCTCAGGCGGCCTGACCTTTTGAGGGGTTGCGCCTGACCCCATTAACTTTATTTTCGAGGAAGCTTTTCTATCCAAGTTTTATGTGATTCGCTAGCACAACTCTCGTAGATTCCACAATAAGTGTTTGAGCTTGTTTCAACTTGTTTCGGCCTTGTAGTAATCCGTAGAGTTAAAGCACTTAATGTGAAGAACGCGCCGGTTGGAAATTTGGCAGCACTTCTTACATCACTATTTGAAAGTGATATGAAGCCTGATTTCTAGCATAGACTTGTAGGAAACGATACTTTGTTACGAGTGTAAAAAAGCTGACTATTTTCACTTTTGAAGCCAAGTTAATCATGTTTGAAAATCATGCTTTCTAGACGTTGCGAAACACTAGGAAATGCGGTACGTAATGACTTTAGAGCTCATAAAGGTAATCTGACATGCTGATTACGGAAATAATACCCACTTCACACAGCAAGCTTACTTGGCGACCCCATGATGTGTGAAGGTAAAAGATGAAGTCTTGAATTTGGCTGAAATTTCGATTGTGTAAACAATCGGTATGCTGTTCACGACCGTCATTCCTTCAGTACTGGTGATTGTGATATCCACCGGACTAGCGCTTTCTTCTTCACCTTCGTAGTATCTTCCCAACTAAACGGATTCGGTTCTTAATTATCACCCCCCCCCCTCAGTCATACCCAAAGACGACCCCCCAGATCGGGCGCGCCTGACCTCACGCTCAGCCCTGCTGATGACTACGCCTGAAAAGCAAAAAATTTCAAACATTTCTCCCACTTGAAGGCTGAAAACGAGAGCATTCATACAAAACTCTCTAGGTGAGGCACTGCACAGCCCATGAAGAACTGTCAGCCTTCCGAGGAAGGTGTGCAGGACGTGCCAAGTCAATCAGCTGTAATATATTTTTGACTAAGACTAACCACGCGCGGGCAAATTGCGAAAATGATATTGCTTCGCAAGTAGACCAACCACAATCACGCGCTCGCCTCCCTACGAACCACACTGAGACTGATGTGTTCTTCTGGACAGCTTCTTATCCTTATTTCGTTTTGGAGGCACTGGTCCAGTTGTGACCTCCTAAAAGACAGTTCACTATAGGTGCTCGATTGAGCTGAGAACTTACCTGTCGCCCGTAAAAGTATTTATACTGATCGCTACGTATGAAGTCCATGACGCCTTGAGCGCCTCTTGCATCGAACTGCTCCTGAAATGGGGCACCTTTCGCATTGGAGCTTTAGTAAGTGATTGCGAGGTGGGGATACAGGACTGATTCAAGCGGGTCACGCCAAGGACCTCCAAGAATCTGATGTGCTGTCTAATAGAAGGGATAAAAAATCGAACTATGCGCTTCTCCCCACTATGATATTCAGCTCAAGGTTACGAAAGGAAATGAATGCAGTGAATTCAAGAAGCCCAGAAAAGGCATGATATAAAATACCTGAATATTTGGAACCCATGGGTTGTGCTCAAGTCGCAACACTTGTTTGTTGCCAATCAAATCCAGCTGTCCCAATTCAGGTGGCAAAATAGTGAGCCGATTTCCTATATGAACAAACCATGAGGTCTGACTATAGGTCAGTTTAACGAACCCTGGACGTGTAGCTCTTTCAAGTTGGTGAGGTGCCCAATTTCTCGCGGAATTGCCAAGAGATCGTTGTCGCGCAGAACTAGTATCTAAATGCTCAATGAAATAGAAGATAGGCGCACCTCGAATGTAAAGACAACGGACACACAAATGTCATCACAATGTATGGGAGCATTTCTAGGGGATGGCGATAAGTTTACCTGCAAGTTTCGCAGATTCATCACATCTCCAGGAAGCAGCTCAAAATCATTGTCTCCCAGGTACAACGCTCGCAAAGTATCTGAATTGTTCAGAAGTGAATATATGGAATTTGAAACATAAAAAAGAACAAAGAAACTTTCAAACTTTGGCAACAATGAAAATAAGCAATGTAAATTTCGCAGACTGTGTCTGCACCGAATCAGTATCCAAATTTCATCATTACCCATTGAAGAAGATCACTAACCAATAAAGAAGAAGTTTCCCGGAAGACTTCTTTCGTTCAGGTTGTTGTAGGTCAGGTCGAGGATTTCTAGCGATTTGAACGAACCAAAGCCACGCGGTAATACCGACAGGCGATTCATGCTAAAAGAATGATACTGTACTTAACGGCAGTATTTTGTGGGTTGAAAGATGTCAAGTTAAACTGAAGCCATGTTCACTTACCCCACATTGAGTATACGCAGCTTTGAAAGGCTCGAGATTGAGGAGGGCAGTTCTTCAATCTGGTTGTTCCAAAGCGTGAGCACCTGAAAAGTGACTGTTAACAAGATAATAACTATGCTAGAGCCAGTAATGAATTCCAGACAATCATTTTCCATGATCATTGTAGAAAGAAATGTTCAGTCAGTTCAATAACCTCATTCTGCCTCTAATCGAACGGACAGACATAGGAAGATAAGCAAAACGATCGTTTGAACCAGCAGGTTCGTACACAGCATATTTGGTTTTTAAGAGTATAGGTTCAACAAAAAAAAACGAAGAAGAAGTTATAAGTGAAGCTGAACACGACAGACTAACCTGAAGGTTCTCAAGATCCGCAATATTTGGAGGGATTAAAGTTAATCTGTTATGACTCAAAGTCAGCCTTGTTATGTATGTCATTTCAACTGAAGTGTTGATATAAGCTGATTTTATATAAAACCATAGAATTCACTCACATAATCTAGGAATAGCACTGAGAGAAGCTATGTTCCTGTCAACATGTTCTATTTCGGTATTGAGCTCGTCTTTCTTCTTATCTTTCGGCATGTTTCTGAAAGTTGTTGAGTAAAAGATGAGTATGATTGAAACGAAGTCAGTGTGAGTGAAGACACAAAACAAAGACAGGAGCAGCATATGTTGGTGGGTGGAATTACACACGACTACGTAGCACAGAGAAAGCGGAGAACGCAGAATGTGACACAGAAGCGTAGCACGCTATGACTGCGGAAGCTCCACATATAGAACAGCTTCTTATGAATTTGATCTGACGTTTTATATACCAAGTGTATAGAGAACCGAAATTCAACCTTGATAAAAAAGGACAAATCTCAGATGCTTTCTTTTGGAATCGGCTATTGGCACTAACTTGGCACCACCCAAATGCGCATGCAATTACTATTTGTCCACCTATAGCCTTGAATCAATCTGCAGATCCAAGGATCGTCAGGTTCTGCAGAATACGAGGCGCGCTCCTTGACCTAAAGAAAAGTCTGCTCGCACAGAAGTTTTCTTGTAAGGCGCACAGTCTCGACACTAAGCGCACAGTCTGAACACTGGGTTCACGTTTGCAGTTTCTTTTCGTGACCAGTAAAGTCTGTATGATTGGCTTGCAGATTCGTGTAGAGATGGCTTGCGGACTTTCCCTGATTATAAGGATAAGCTTGTTAGATATACCGCCACGTTACAGTATTGTTCTTCGTACTTCCTCGCACTGCCACAACTCCGCTCCTATATAAATCGTGGAGCCGATAATACATTTTTGGTTATTGCTTCAATGATTAAGGATGGAGGTAGTGAGTACCGGCCGAACTGAAGTCCCTGCTCTTTCTTGCTGCTAGCAGGCATTTGCAATAGACGCAACGCAAAATACGCGATGCAAGCAACTAGGGCGCGGCAGTTGCCCACATTCGTAAAACCACGCCGAAGGACAGTTACTCAGACGACAGCCACCCGGCGGGTTGTCTTCGCAACCTCACCCATTTTCCTCTCCCTCTCTTTGTATATTACCCGAGCAGTAAATCTTAATACTACTCTTATGTAGTACCGCTACAATCGAGCTAACAAGGGAAGGATAGTTGGATGCCGCGGCCATTCCTAATGATTTGTATACCAAAAAATGCGAATTCAAATGCAGATTCTGAATCTGTGCTCGAAATCTGCGAAACGATCTTTTGAAGAAAGTTATGAACTTTTTTCCTTGAAAATTTAGCCTACTTTTGGATAGTAAAAATCACCAGATTTGATCTAGCCTACCGTTTGATGCTACTGAAGAAAATTTTAGACGTAGTAATATTTATTTAGACTATCTGGATCATACTCAGCATTTGGAAAGGAGAAAAAAATTTTTTTTGATGATTTTGACCCTCCGCAGGAACGCAATTTTTTCAATGAAAAAAAAATCATAACTCCATTCAGATTATCGTTTCGCAGATATGAAAGACAGTCTACGAACCAGCACTCAAAAGCGCATTTTTTGTGTCTGTATACAAATCTTCATGATTGGCTACGGCATCCAAGTATCCTTCCCCTGTAAGGCCTGACCTAGACTTGGCAGATCTTACGAAGTCACGTCCTCATAATGTTGGCCCAAACCGTAAAGTTTGCATATCTACTGGCGAAATTCTAGTGAGTGATTGTATAACACGCTGATAACAAATTTTTTGCTCGGTGCTCCAAGCGGCGTCCAGGCAAACCTGGGCTTATGGGGAGGGTAATTTTGGAGCACTAACTAAAACACCGCTCAAGCGGCAGCTCAAATGGTGAGCTCACAGTTGAGATATCCGCCTGCAAACTGGACCCCGGGATCGTCGCATGGATTCATGGCGCGACAATCAGTTTTGCGCGAGGACCCACGAATGTCGCTCCATGAATCCATGCGATTACGATCCCGGGGTCCAGTTTGAAGGCGAATATCTCAACTATGCGTTCACCATTTGAGCTGCCGCTTGGGCAGTGTCTTAGTAGGGCCCCAAAATTACTTTCCACATCAAAACCCCGTATGTCCAGATTTGCCTGGACCTGCCTTTGACGCCTCGGGTAGAGTTCACGCGATTTGATCGTCGCGATTCAATCGCCACAAGACATATGTCACGAGTTCATTGCATGCCGATCTTCTTGTATTTCGGTTGTGATAAGGGCCGGGCATACATCACGCGATTTAAGTCGCGACGCGATTTGGCAATTCGCCAGGAAGTCTTTGGATCCAACACTAGCAAACTGCACATGCATAGTGTGTATAACTTACGCGGATTAATAAAATGCCCTATCTTCTGTACATTTAAAATGTGGTTATAGTGAGTTATGGACAGTTGGACTATTGCCAAATCGCGTCGCGACTGAAATCGCTTGAAGTATGCCCGGACCTATAGTTAGTCACGATTAGTCGTGTTGGAAAACTATCACAACCGAAATGCAAGAAGATCGGCATGCAATGATATTGTTGCGCTTGTCTTGTCGCGATCAATGCGGCGATCGAATCGCGTGAACTCTGCCCGAGGCCTAAGGGATCCTACTACATTGTTACATACGATAATTAGCTAGTTAGATGGATCTGAGCATTAGCCACAAAGCTATTGATATCCAGTTGGGGAATTTCGACGGAGTATGCGACTTTTACATTTTAAGCAAATAGAGACATAGTTCGTAGATTGGGCTCAGCGATTGTTGCAGATTGGAGCTTGAGACACGCACCCTTCGATAGCGGCTACGGTCTCTAGTGACTTTGTTTTTAAAGAGGAGGCAAGTTCTCAAAGGCCTAAGGCATACTTCACGTTGTCGCTTCTCGATTTGCAATTGAAACGATAGCTCACAAGTGATCACCGCTGCGATTTGTTTGGGCAGGACCTGATCACTTTGCAAAAACTTACAAAAGCTACGAGTTCATGCGTTTGAGTAGCCACGCATGATTTGCCAACTCGCTAAAACGGCGCCATATGGCCGAATTGCGTGAAGTATCCTTAGGCCTAACAGATGCGCGAAATGTGCGGGCGAAGTAAGTATTTACTTTCGCGGCTTGGGTGGGGGAACGAAAGCCGAGGGACCGTAGATTCGCCCGCAGGAACGATTACTTTTGGATTGGAGCAGGAATCCTCCGTAGAGCACCTTACTCTTCCAACGCTGATTTTGAGGATGCGCTTGTCAAATAACTCAGTGTTGCGTCTTGCAACTCTAATACTGCAACTCTAGTCTCCGTATCAAGCTTGTCGAGCCACTTTCTTTGAAAGCGGCGTCCAGGCAAATCTGGACAAATGGGTATCGCCAGCGGGAACTGATTTTGGGAAACCGCGCAGAGTTACAGCATAAAATGAGCTACTAAAGCTTGATGTTTCCATTACTATCAGCATCAAGTACAATCTTTGTTAATGCGGTTTGAATTTGTACATAAAAGTTTGATTTGCCTTTTCCTCTTCTCTTTAGTAAATATCACTTTTTCGATTTGGAATCTGGACAACCGTCTCCTTTCAGCAGCAGTAAATGCCTTGACTATTGGGGAGTCTGCCTATAAGCGAAATTCTTGCAAAAAAGTTGGCACTAGGAAACTAATTTGTACCAGCTTCTTAACATCGTAGTTTGTCTTTGATTGTGAATGTTGCGCACTGATCAGCGGTTGATCGTCGTCTTCTTGCTGTGACTTCTCGAGAGCGGCCAAGATTTGTTCTTTTGTGCTTTTGTCAAAGTCAAATCGCTGTGTTGAGAAAATTTCAGGTACGATGGTAAGGAGATAAATAAATATTAACCATGTTGGCAGCTTATTGTCGAGGTTGTTATTCCTTTTAATGATAAGCACATGCCTAGTTTACAGTGTATGAGCATACATAAATGGCCTTCGCTCTTGAGAAGTGGTTGTTTTTTCAACTCCGTCAAATTTGTACAGCCCTCTTCAAAAAGACATGAAGGCAAGAGAGTTATTAACGATCATACAGTGTGCACATTATTTTGGTATACGCTGTAGATTTTTGTCACCATACATAATGCTGCTTGGACCTGAAAGGCTAATTCAAGTATCAGATGCATAGAGCTTTCCTCAGAAATGTAAGCGAGGAAAAAGACCACTGAACTTCATTTTTCAAAGCTCGCCAAGAATATAAGTTTGCAAAAGAATCTGAAATGCTGATGCTTAGGTTTTACGACTTAGTTTGTCGAAAATGTAGGCACCATTAACCAAGACAGTTTGCAATAAGAATTGCAAAGTCACCTTCAACAAACTTGAACTATGACTCCAGTTTTCAAGTCAGCCCTTGCAGTGTTTCAGATTTACAAGAACATGATAAAATGACAAAAGGAGAATGATTCTACAATAGACCTGAATGATTCAAGTAAATCTGAAATACTACGAAGCAAATCATGGCAGAGCTTGACTGTGAAATGTTCTCCTTTTCGGAGCATAAAGCGCTGCGATGTATTTTTTATTCCGCATGCTTTAGTGTTTATGCATTGAATTGCGATGCCCTCATGAAATCAATCTTTGTTCCACGTTTATCTGGAAGATAGTTTCATAATGCACACAACTTGCACAAATTGTTGCCAATTCAAATATTCTCGGATAGATTTCTGTTGCCAAGCATGGCATAGAAGAAGTCCGCTCAAATGACAGGCGCGGCAAGAGCGTCTGCAAAAGTGTTAGCCGTAATTGAGTACATCCGAGCGCAAAAGCTTCACTGATATAAGTCAGTGCATACCACGAGCAGAGAAAGTGGCTCGACAAGCTTGATACGGAGACTAGAGTAGTAGAGTTGTAGTAGTAGAGTTGCAAGACGCAACACTGAGTTATTTGACAAGCGCATCCTCAAAATCAGCGTTTGAAGAGTAAGGTGCTCTACGGAGGATTCCTGCTCCAATCCGAAAGTAATCGTTCCTGCGGGCGAATCTACGGTCCCTCACGAAAGCCGCCAGGTCCAGCCGCCTTTCGCGGCCAGCTGGTCCTTTCGCAGCGTTGTTGCATGTCGTTACAGGACCAGCAGTCCGCGGAGGCGGCTGGACCTGGCGGCTTTCGTTCCCCCACCCTCGCGGCTTAGTTGCAGTTTAACCACATATTTCTGCAAACAGCTCTGTACTCCACAGAAATCAATTACAACGTATTCGAAAACCTCTAAAAGTTTCCTTTTCAATCTAAGACCGTCAACATGACCAAAATGTCGACGATTTTAGTTTAAAAGACTCACCGGCAGCTTCGAGCTGTTTCCCGCAGTCATATTTGGGCGGGCAAAAGACCGATCAATCAAAAATGTCGGTGCTTCAGTATAAATAACTTTTCAGATCGTTAAACGAGAAAAAAAATCAAATAACCCGAACTTCTAGAAAACTTGCTCAAGGTTATCTGCTGATTATGAAAAGCATCTGTTTAGCAAAAAAGCTTCGGTTTTTGAATTTTCGCTGAGTAGGATTTAGGAAAATATGAATTTTCCGAGTTGACCACCATCTCTATCTCTTTGAGAAGAAGCCTTCGGCTACATTTTAGCGCTCAATAATCTACGAAAACAGCACAAGCAACCAGTGCTGCATACTGAAATCTTCTGTGTGATGTGCGCTGCGCTACACCTTTGCGAAAAGAAATCTACAGAGAAATGTAAGATTACTAAAACCGTATTGAGAACATGTATACCAAATGATTTGCCTTGATGAGCTGAGTACAATGCCTCTTTTAAAGCCAGGATATATTCATTCCGGAGAAAGTTATGGCGGTGCGTAGTTTGCGTGATTCGCGTGATTTCGCGGAATCTACGGAGCTTGCGCGATCGCCGTAAGGTCGCTCGATTATCGAGATGCCGCGAAATGTCGCGACATTCTCGGAAATTCTGCACGTTTTGTGAGCGGTATAGTAATCTTATCTGTGGGGCAATGGTAGTAACACATTTTGGGTACAAGGCGACGAAAAGGCCATTACTTTTGCACCAACATCAAGTTTATGCTGTGAAGCACACATTGAAACCTTATACAACCTTAACGACGTTTAGCATTCAGCATGAAGCATTTTGAATATTTATCAAGAACACAGCATATCGTAACCAGCTTTCATTAAGAACTGTAGGCAAGATCTGATTTTGTCACCTTCGTCTAGATTCGTAATGCGCGATTCTATTGCATTCTGGAGTTCAGATTCGTTGCTGAAATTCATTGTTACGATTTTTCTAAAGTAAACTGCCAAAACTGCCACTTACTCTTTTTCTCCCATAGAAAAACACTGAGGACGATCTGAGGCCAAACTCGCTAATCGATCCATAACAACTGGATCCGATATAAAGTCAAAAATGCCAGCACAATTGAAAGATTCCTAAAACATAGCAGGATCAATGATTGTAAAATAAAAAATGTTTTAGCATAAGCAATTTGCCGCACCTTTGCCTCTGCAATGTCCATGGCTTCATTGAAAGCTGCGAAACCGCTGACAGCAAAATCCGCTTGAGATAACACCATTATTGCAGATATCAGCTTATCACTGCTTGTACCATTGAGTAGGGGTCGAAGCGATAGCAGCAATAAATTTGTCACCCAATGACCAGCAGCCGAATTGCGAATAAACCAAAACGGAGCCTCAAAAAGAACGTTTAATAGACAGTTTGGTATTAGTTTCTCAATTTAAGCTCTTTTCGGATTAGAATAGAGAACGCATATTTTCGATTTACAAATGACCAGCAAAAGTTTTCATTATTAGCTTTGATAATAGTAACCTCCATAGTGGCTCCAGCGTCGGTAATCGTTGGATCCATAGAGTACCACTCATTTTTTATAATTACAGGGACGATTTCCGAGATAGTCTGAAGCATGTCCTTAATTTTGCGAAGCTGAAAATGTCTTAAACATTCATCATCATGAATACGAGCTAAAATTACATATTCTGCTTTCCAGTACAACACTCATGCGGAAAATCTTTAAAGATCAAAAATTAGACTAGTTTATTACCTGGAATTGTGCAGCAATTTTTGTAGCAAGAAGCTGTGGCTTATTCTCGATGTTCTTGGTGGGTCTCTAAAATAATGGTGATAATTCCGTTACATAATAATTCGTAATCTTACCGCTGCTATAAAATCTATGCATTTCTCATACTGCCGTGTATAGAGATAAGCAAGCGATATCAGGTGGGATGTCTCGACTTCTCCTAAAAATCATTACGATTGCGTGTGAGCCATATTAAAATTAGGAAAATCATAACTAGCACTGAATTTTCTTGTCTTTTCTTAGTATTCAAATGCACTGAATAATATTAGGTTTTTGTGAAAATCATGGCGCTTTCCATTCTACCGCGGTAGATGAAAAATAAAGGTGAGTAGGGTATTAATCGATAGAGAAAAGCAAGCTTTCCAAAACGATCATTGAACATTCCCATGTTCATGTTCCACATAATGTTTGAAGCTTGGATCTACTGATATAATCGCCCCAAAAATCAACCCTTTGTGTGAAAAAATTGCCGAAGTGCAATTTTTATTGCAATATTTCTGAAGGTTTCTTTGTAAAATCATATGCCTAAAGAAACCCAAATTTCAGACGAGCATTTCAAGACTATTACTTATTTCTTGATATCTAACCAAGAAGCTATAGCAAGAAATTGAATTCGAGATGCATCTGCTGTATGCCTGAAAAAGTTTGAAGCTCGTTGAAGTATTCTGTGCGAAAATCCAATTTCTGGAGTACCCAGTCTCCAATTTCTCAAGAGAACATAACAGGCTTCGCAAGTAGACCATGATGGGATCTACTTGCGAAACCTGTTATGGTCTAAAGACATTTTTTCCATTTTTTACTTTTCAACCCGTCCTAGTATGGAAAACGCCATTATTCTGGCACCCTAAAAATTGTTAAAGAAACGGTAAATTATGATTGCTCGTCAGGATATATTTTTCTATCAGTGGCGTACCCAGGATTTCTGCTCGGGGGGGGGGGGGGGGGGCGCGACAAAAATTTTTTTCGAATGAAGGTTAGCCACGCACTCCGAAAAAATTTTAGGGGTGCTTATGAAAATTTTTGCGGGTCCCCAACCCCTAAAATCTGGAAAAGGGGGCGTGGCGTCAGCCACGCCCCCGAAAAAATTTTTTTACAAGGCTAATTTGAATTTTTAAAAATTTTAAAAATTATTTTAATTATTTATAAGTATAAACAAGTCACTTGCACATTTTTATAACCCGTATAAGTAACTTTCAAAAATTTCGCGACCCATTCTCGGGGGGCTGGCGCGCCCCCCCCCCCCCGCCCCCCCCCCCCTCGGTACGCCACTGTTTTCTATTATTAACTGCAATCAAAAATTACTGGAATAGTGATGCTAGGTTTTTGTTGAGATTTTTTGTGAAACTAGACAAAAACTGCTCGATATTCTTCATCTCGTAAACGCGCACGATGTGAGAAATAATTGCGTGTAGATTTATTTCTGTTTATGATTTTTTTTGAAGATGTACAATACCCACGCAAAAGAAACTTTCTTACGAACTGGCGGAGAAGCGTACCTGCAATCTCAAGGCATTGCTGAAACTCTGGAGATGTTGGTGCCAGCTTGGCACATAATGTGGCAATATTGAGCAGGACTCCATGACCCATGAACTACATAAGCAGATTGTGTGCATTGTATAGTAATGGACATGATATAATTCTGTAACTCACATTTTTATTATGCTCGAAATCCAACTTCACATCTTTTTGCCGGGTAAGTTTGAATGATGGCAGCCATAAGGTGAGGAAGGAATCTAGGACAAGCATCTGCGGTAGTAATAGGAGTCATCCCTTGAATGGAGCTCTTACTATGAATAAGCGATGGCATTTTAAGCCGAGCTATACACAATGCATACGCAACCACGCGTGTGACCGGTGGCGACCATTTTTCTGGTAGACTTGCTACCAATTTCTCCAGAAGTACCCCTGACCGTTCGATTCTAGAAACATATTCCTACAACTTTTTTTCACTGACATGGATAAACAATGCTAACTAACTTTGCTCCGAATATGGGAAGTCCTAGTTTGGCCGTTACAGCTGCAAAGAATGGATATGTGAGGCTGATGAATTTGTTCGCATTACGATCGCATTTCCTTCTACTATCTTTGCTAAAATGGCATAATGGAAAATGCGATTCCGTGTAACCAACATATAAGCTCCTGCAGGACGAAGGCGGTCGGTTTGATGTGCGACGTGGCTGTGACGCGCCTGTGACGCGGCTGTGACGCAGCCATGTCGCAGCCGCGTTGCACATCGAACCGACCGCCTTCGTCTTGCAGGAGCTTATACTAAAATGGCATAGATAGTGAGCCAAGTTCTCCAGAACGCGCCTGAAATACCTAAAAGAACGTTTTTGAATCTGAACTCACTTATCTCCAGTCACGTTGCTGAAAGAGTCCCGGAACGCAGAGCGCAGAATCGAATCGTATACAAAAAGAATATCGTCCGGCATCAAATTTCCGAAGTTCATGGTTAGTAGCGAATTGCCAAATGCTACTGAAAATGTAAGCGCTTCCAGTCCGTAGTGATTTCGTACAGTATATATTTAGTTCGATATTCATAACTAGATCAATTTGGTCTTAAACTTTCCTCAACAGATGGCTCGTGCACTTGAGCTAATTTCAGGTTAATGACATACCATAAATTTACGAATTAACTTAGCCATGGCATCGTTTGTCAACATGGTGCAGGGCTCAGCTCAGGAAAATTTGCATAATTTTGATAGAATTACGCGAAGAAATATAAAATCAAAAGATTTCTGTGGATGAAGGGCTTAGCAATTCTCCTGCAATTAAGAAACGACTCGTTTGCAAAGCACGATATAAGAACAGATTTGCTGACTAAAGATAGGAAACAGTAGGAGCAATTTGAAGAAACATGAAAATTCAAGTGAATCAAAGACCTGGCCTTTCTTCAATTCACGTGGCCTTTTAGCCACCTAGCCACCTCAGCCCACTAGGTGGGCTCGCGCCACTTAGTGGGCTGATGTGGCTAGGTGGCTAAAATTTAACAAGTTCATAATCTCCCTTTTCCTCATATAGTTTTCTGAACAATCTTCTATCCACACCCTAAAAATCTATTAGGTTGATGCATAATTCCTGCACCAAAATAGGTACAGACCGCAATAACTCGGAATAATCCTATATCCTATATCCCAAATAGAATTCGATCTATCATTAGATAGCGCAAACCTAGCTCTACAAGATAGTGCTCAAATATCTACACCAGCTTTGATCCACGCGAAGTTTTGAGTCGAAAAGTGAAAAACCATGCGTCCGAAAATCTTAAGACCAATTTTAAAAAAATTGCAACTTCGTTCAAAAAGCTTCTACAAAATTTCTTTCTTTCTCGCGCGTAGATATTCCACGTAAGACATCTATCTATGCGGTTTCTGTATTTTTTTCTCAGCTAGACGATGAGAAAACGAAGTTTTTCATGTTTTTGCCAAATTAGTGCTGAGATGTTCTAACACTAACAGTTGTATAGTACATGCCATTAACAGTGAAACTTTACATTTTAGCCTTCTAGAACAGCTAGTTCACGAGAAATGACGAATCTAGCTTTCTTCATTCGAATTTTTCTTGAATAGTTGCCAAAAATTCGAAATTTCTCGTAAACCAGCTGCTGTAAAAAGCTGAAAACTCACACTTACGCTTCTAAGGCCCTATAGAATACAACTGTCAGTGCTAGAACATCTCAGCATTGTTTTGTAAAAGACGTGAAAAACTTCGTTTTCTCAATTTCTAGCTGAGAGAAAAATACAGCAACTGTATAGAGAAATGTCTTATACGAAATGACAATGCATGAGCAAGTTAGAGATTATGAAGGATTTTTCTGAACTGACTTCCAATTTTTTCTTGGTTTTTTGGAGCGCTTGGATCTTTTTGGTTTTTGGCTTCAGTCTTCGCTTGGATCAAAGCTACTGCAAAACTTTAGGCAATATCTTGTAGAGCTAGGTTTGCTCTATCTAATGATATATCGAATCCTACTTTGGATATAAGATTATTGCGAGTTATTGCGGTCTGTACCTATTTTGGTGCAGGAATTATGCATCAACCTAATAAATACTATTTCCTGGAACCATCGCTAAAATCTAAACTCTTCTCTTGTCTCTTTTTTGTACATAAAACTTTTCCATGTATTGGTTTCCTCCTTTATGGACCCTATTCCATCCTCCAAGTATTGAAAAAAAGTACATCAAACTTAAACTTACCCAGTCCATGAGGAGGCTCAGTTGATTTGCGTAAAGTCTCCATTAGAAACCCCTAAATCATAGTTTTCATTACGAAAAATCACCAGTTGAGAAGTTACCGAGATAGCATTGAAAGCTTGGGGACGCATGGCCAGGAAAGCAAGCAACATCGGACAAGCTTTTGCCGGATTGGCATCAGCAGCCTTCTTGAACAGCGCAACTCCTTGATCAAGCTCATAATGTTGGAAGAAACCTCAAAAAACAACTTAGTAGGTTATTAATGAATTTGTAGCGTTTCTACTCGGAACTTGAGGTGTAGAGAATTTCAATCACTTGTTCACAAATGCAGAAATATAGAAAAGTGAGTTTGTTGGCAGAAAAAAGATTGAATAGGCGGCTGGCATTCTTGAAACTTGTCACTATCACAGGTAGGAATAATGTTTTATTGTACTTCGGCCAAGAAAAACTTTTTTGTATTTTATTATTATATATGACCCTCGACAATCAATCTCTGAAAACCTGTAGCTCACATCCGAATCCTTCCATGTTTTCGATTCCCCTCTGCGTATAATCATCAGCAACCATTTCAATTACTTTATAGATAAAATCGCGATTGTCACGCATTCTAAATGACACCCTTGATTACAGTAGGTCTTTCACAACTCCTCTGTTCCTTACACTTCATTGAGATAATTTATAGCATCGTCATGTTCGCCAAATTTTATCTTCATTTGCAGTTCGAGAAGCTGAAAAGATAAAATGATGAGTGTAAAAGGAGTGCAGTTCCTCCGAGTTACCTGTTTAAACTCATCACTGATATCCTTTCTTATCGCTGATATCAGTAGCATACGGTAACGGGCAGTTGTATAATTCTCCGACATAAGCACACGTGTTCGCAAATCTGAACAGGACTTTTATATGAACGAAAACTGTAGTTCCGAGTTTTCTGGAAATTTTCTAAATTTTACTAATGAAACTACGGCAATTCATGAGTATTTTTTGATTGATAAAAGCAGAAAGAGCCTCTTTGGCAAGAGATTTCCTATTTTGAAGAGTTTTCTAACCGCTCACGCGTTTGCAGCATCCTGAGAAATTTTTGAGTTTTTTCTGAAGACACCCTCTGCTGATGGCAAACACTATGATGACCGCGAAACAATATACCAACACGTCAGGGCCTTAGTGTTTTGCAGCATCTCTAGAGAAAAGGACAATAATGATGATACAATAAACCTTTATATAGCTTCTGCAAAATTGCAGGATGTTACGATTTTTCGTACATTTTTCGAAGAAAAGATTGTTGATCAATTTATAGTTGCTGCAGACATTTTAGTTCAACATCGCCTCAGTCTTTACAGCACAACTAGTTCACCTGTCGTTCACCTTTCAAAATCATTCAAAAGAGCTCCTTGAAGGCATTTAACCATGTAGAGCACACCCTACTCTCGTGTAGTTTTGTGGCTGTCACACAGTTTGGAAGTTGGAAATACAAGCTCAGCAGACCTTTGTAGGCAGACTTATCTACAAGAATCCGTGTCTATTTTGCTGAACTCACTAACAACGTAGCACAACGAATGCGGGCTACCTGATCGCATTAATTTCGCGAGGCAAATTTGAAGTCTGTGCCTCTTACTCTGTCCTTAAAATCTCCAAGGTGAAGTCGATAGGGACTCCAAAAGGGTAAAAAGGACTCCCAAGATTATGGCGAGATTGATGATGATTTCGTTTCCGAACACCCCTGCAGAGGCCTCTGAAATGCGGACATTCAGGCTTGTGTGGTCGTGACTTGATCATTTGCAGCACACATTACCCACAAAGAGAACTGCACGCAAAAACATTGCAAAGGACCAGTTGGCCGTTATAGGCAGGTCAAAGTGGCAGCGTTCGTTCCCCTACCCCCTTTGGTTTAACGGGATGGGCAGCTGCAAGACAACTGCTCGCACCCGCGACGCAGTCTGCGTCTCTTTCGCGAGCGTTCTCTATTATTCTCTAACTTTGATGAGGCCTTAAAGCTCCACCTTCCACTCCACATTCTGTTGAATCAAAGGGTAACCTTCAGTGTTCTCCAAGGGGTAATGTCCAGGAAACCTAGTTTCTAGCTTTCCGCTTATCCAACTCTTTGTTTTGAATTTGTAGTTCCCTCAGGTTGAGACGCGGAGTCGCTGTAGCACCTTATGATCTTACAATTAGAGGCAGCGGCTTGGCAGAATAACAACCTTGAAATATTCATCGTTCTCAATTTCCTGGATGAGCTGAGTCCAAAACTGCTTAGCAGTTTCAAAAGATATCAAAAACCTGCCTCTCCAAATGTAAAAAGCGCTATTTGACCTTTTGAAGCTGCAAAGCACAGTCTTGGACTTAGCACATCCAAGGGAACCAAGAACGATGAATAACCCAAAGTCGTCATTCTGCTGGGCCGCTGCTTTTGACGGCATATGCGCACTCTGCCGCTTAGAGAAAACAGCAAGCTGGCCTTACTCCCACACTAGGTTAGGTTTCGTAACTTCAGGAGAAGACGACCACCCATAATGTTCTGACATACACTTAAACGGCTGGATTACATGCACAGATAAGCCTCATTGCGGACGCTGTCCGCGTCTCCCTAAAAGCGCTCTTTTTCTCCTCTTGCCGTCCACTATTTTTTCATGCCCAAAGCATCTTGGTCGGACGCAGCGGCGTCCAGTATCTGCGTGCGATGAATTGCCTATATGCAAAGACTCTTAGAACTTCCAGATTCCTCCAACAGCTAATCTCCTTGAGCTCGAATTCTTTGTAAGCTATCGAAATTTAATTTTGAGGTTGCGCTAGTGGACTCACCATCATGGACGCCTTCCCATTCCACCTCGAATCTTCTCCTTTTACGTTCAGCATTAAGAGTTTTAGACATTCAGTGTGATCTAAGACTTTCTGCTTCATCATTTGCTCAAGGCATGGCATGTGTGAGAGATAACATTACGACAAACTCAGCATTGAAAAAAATCAAATACATTTTGATCAAAAGTGAGTTTATCAGAACAAGATTTTTGAAACAGGTGAAATGCATGCTAATAAAGAATCAAACAGGGTACGCATCAGATAAAGAAAGGTCGAATGGCTATACAAAAAGAGGTAGAATACCAATCGACGCATGAGATACTAATAGATTACTCTGGCAGGCAATGCCCAACTCAGTCGACTGATGGGACTAAATCAACTGATAGGTATGTTGAGAGATTGAGATTCACTGGAGTAGCACAGGTTCAGAAGGAGGGTGGTACAATAGGCAATCAGAAACTATATACACACGGGAAATAATTTAAACACGGGAGTATATTGCACACAACACTTTTAGATCATGGCAGAAATTTTTGCAGATAATTAATCTTCGACTTTTACAACCACTGACTATCCGCTTGACTTCACGGTGGCGCTATGCAAAAATAGCTACATCATAATCTGCTCAAAGGATCTTCGACGCGATTGTAGATGAATATGTAACCGGACGAGGACGAATTATCAATAACTTCTGTTTCGGAAACCTGACATGATCCTGTTTATTTAAAACTCAGAGATGAAAGCTGACGATAAGCGCATTACCTTTGTGATTATATGATCGTTACAATCCAACCATTCTTGCCGGGTCGCGTCCAAAGCAAATGTTGAATAGTGTCCTGGAAAATTTTCAACCTCACAGAATGTTATTAGTACGGTAAATATGATAAACAAATAACAAACCGGTTAAAAGGGAATCTCCATGATGACAAATTACAGCAGACAAAGAGTAAACAGGACCGTCGGCAACATTGAATACATAAGGAGGCTCCGGTGTGGAACGCAAAGGAGATGGGTCCTGCAAACATGCCACTCACTACCTCGCTCAAGCTTCACCAACTTAGATATCTTACCTTGAGTATGTCTCTGTCCCGTCGCGGCCGCAAGCTACGCTTAACCTGGAAATGTCGATGACTTAATAGAAATTCACGAAAAATAAAGAGTACTCCATACAGTTCGAGGTTCAACGCTGACCGCTGGTTGGAAATGGCAGCCGCTGGCATTGCATATGAAAATGGCTCCTGTATCGTCATTGCACTCATTTCGTGACATAGCTAAAATGAAGAAAATAAAAGTATACTGATGTACATCGATAATCCACTCAACGTGCACGACTATTGCTATCCTGTGATAACACATACTACCCTTGTTTCAGTGAAGTTGGCGGCTGGGGGGCGTGGCTTCAGTCGATTAGAGAGCACGTACGCGAGGGAGACAGAGCCTGCTCTCCAACGCTTAGGTGCTATCTAATCGATTGAACCCCGCCCTCCAGCCGAACTCCAATGAACAGAGGGTATATGCAAAAAACGACTTACAGATTGGCGAACTCCCATCCGACTTCCATCGGAAGAGAGGTCGATATCGCAACCATTTTCCCTCAAGAAATGTGTAGATGTTCACGTTTAACCAACAAGCAGCCGCTGCTAACTCGACTTGAGTTCCCCATTCGCCATCCTCTGCCATTCTCCTGAGAGTAAACAAATGAGCTATCTCCATTTACATGCAAGAAAACTTACATCAGATGAGTATCCATATCTTGTTGGCTCATTAGCAAGCTAGTAAATTTCGAGCGATATTTAGTCATAAATGCGATCAGCTGTAAGTCTTCATAAGCTGTATCTACTGTAAAATCGGAAAGCAGCACACCTTTTTGCGTAGAAGCACGTATTCGCGTTCGCTACCACCTGTGATCCACCAGCAGAGTGTGCGGAACAGACAATTTCCGTCTCCTCGCACTTCACAGCTTTGAGGGATGTCTCGCAAAGAGAACTCGATCTCTCTACCAAACATTCTCTTGCGGCGACTGAAATGAGGGGAGTGTACAACGAAAAAATGAATTGCGCCTTAGAAACTTCAATGAATTTGCAACAATAACTAACTCCAAAGAGCCAACATATGCGAATCCAAGCCGTTCGCACCAGGCTTTCTGTCGCTCCTCTGTCACAGGTCGGAAAACGAGCATACTTCTTTCCTTAACAAGCGCCTTTCTCAGATGATGATATACATTTTCACTCCCATCAGATAGAAGGCGCAAGGCGGAGGAAAGTTTGATAAGATAAGACGAATAAATCCAAAAAAAAAACCGAAGTGATAACAGCATGTCTGAAACTCACCTCAACTTCTCCCACAACTGAAATTTGTTCTCTTGATGGAGTTGTGGGTGTTTGTATGCAGCTCATGATGCTTGATGATGGTCTCAAAGGTTCAGTAACTTGACGAGCATAAGAGGTGCTTGGCTCTACGATGATAGAGTCGGCCGTAGAATTCTAAACAACAAGTTTTTTCAAGTGTTGTTCTAAAATAGGTTCTGCAAAAAACAAGACAGATAGTTGGTAGGAGGACTTGCCTGTGATTTTTCCGGCCCTGTACTCTCTAGGCGAGCTCGTTTACTCGGCACATCTCTACTATCACTAAGCTTCAGAGAATTTACATCCTTCTCCAAAACATTGTCATCTGATTGAGTAGAAGCAGATCCGATATCCTGTAAGAAAAACTAATGTGAAGCGAAGTACCATATATGGAGGCTAACATTAGGAACGTCTGCCACCTCATGAGATGCTGTAGAACCGTTGCCACTGCCAGCACTCTAAAACTCTTTCAGAAAGCATGTTGATTTTTTTACCTTGCCACGTACCCCAACATCGGGAGAATCTTTCAGATAACCGCCGCTTTGCTTGATCACTCTGCCTTCAACTTCTGGTACCAACTTCAAGGGACTGTACAACGCGTTCTCCTTCTCAAGACGGTCGACCTGCGAAGACCACATTTATGGCAATAATGGGAATAAAAGATGAGTAGACTCACAACTCCTTCACTTGTTTCCATGGTGACATCGTCGACGATGACAAGCTTTGGAGATCCGAAGGAATCATTCAGCTAAAAAAACTGCGCTAGATATTAGGTGGGTCCGAAAGTTCACTCGTTTCATTTTCAAAAATTTGTATATTCGCAAAATTTGAACGGATTTACTTGCTTTAAATTTTGTTAGAAAGAACAAGTCTTTCGCTTTTAGATGCTGTTTGGAGAGCCTCGGCTTCGCACTGAATACAGAGATTAAAAATGGAAAAGTAAGACCATATAAACATTGACCATTTCAAGTTAGGTCACCAGAAATCTGGAATGCTGCAGAAAAATATGAAATCGTCAGTACACAAATTTTTTGGCCTATCATTCGCAACTACGAAAAGTTTGTGCTGTTTGGAAGTCTCCGTGAAAAGTTATAAATTTCGAGATTACTAAAGTGCGGTTCATAATTATACGAACACCCCAAATTTTAGAAATTTCTGGACTTTTTGACAAAAACTCAAAAAGCCGTTGGTACCACACGAAAGAGCACAACCGAGAACGGTATATGATCCATAAGAATAAAAATGGATGTCAATTTCGGGAGTGTTTTTGCGCCCAATGCGAATTTTTAGCGGTTCATAATTATACGAACACCTCAAACAAAGGTCCATTTTTTATTCAAGATCGCAGTCGTTTGAGTCCAAATTTTTTGTAAAGCTACAGTAGCAAAGTCTGACGTGTCCGTTACACACTGAGCCCAGTGCAGTTCAAAAAGAGGACCGTTACTTTTTTCAGAAGGCTCTAAATGCTTCTGCAGTGATTAGGCTCCAAAAACATCCGCTCTTCTGCAGTTTACGCGCTCTAATTAGCTTCTACCAAAGCTATGAGATGAAATAAGTTCTTTTGATGGGTATTTTGTCTGACGCTCAGAAAATCTTTGCGTTTTCGTGCTGTTTTTCAACCAAGTTCCAACCTTACCACAGAGTTAGCACGATTTCGAGCCTCAAAACTCAGCTTCTGAAGTCGTACAATGAAGTTAGCATATAGTGTGTGGAAGTTCACAAGATTGTATATTTGGTTAGAAAAAATCAGCAGCGTTGAGCGTTTGTTTTGGCCACGCAGACGTCATTTCATCAAAAACACTGCTTTTACTATTGCAATCACACCTTTATTTGGTTTGTAGCTCCACAGCCTCAAGATCAGTTCCACAAAAAACCCAATAACTTTGGCACAGAAACATCATCATGTAAACAATGCAGCTGCTTCATATCAAATGTTTGCGCGAGAGAGAAGCTGAGTTTTGAGGCTCGAAATCGTGCTAACTCTGTGGTAAGGTTGGAACTTGGTTGAAAAACGGCACGAAAACGCAAAGATTTTCTGAACGTCAAACAAAATACCCATTGAAAGAACTTATTTTATCTCACAGCTTTGGTAGAAGCTAATTAGAGCGCGTAACCGCAGAAGAATGGATGTTTTTGGAGCGCAATCACTTCAGAAGCATTTATAGCCTTCTGAAAAAAGTAACGGTTCTCTTTTTGAACTGCACTGAGTTCAGTGTGTAGCGGACACGTCAGACTTTGTTACTGTAGCTTTGCAAAAAATTTGGACTCAAATGACTGCAATCTTGAATAAAAAATGGACCTTTGTTTGAGGTGTTCGTATAATTATGAACCGCTAAAAATCCGCAGTAGGCGCTTAAACACTCCTAAGATTGACATCCATTTCCATTCTTATAGATCATATACCGTTTTCGGCTGTGTTCTATCGCGTGGTACCAACGGCTTTTTGAGTTTCTCCCAAAAAATTCAAAAACTTACAAAATTTCGGGTGTTCGTATAATTATGAACCGCACTTTATAAAAACGTCAAAATTTATTGATTTCACAATTTTCTCAAAAATCATAACATCTCACAGAGACGTCCAAACAGCACAAACTTTTCATAGTTGCGAAGGGTAGGCCAAAAAACAAGTGTACTGACGATTTCATATTTTTCTGCAGCATTCCAGATTTTTGGTGACCTAACTTAAAATGGTCAAAGTTTATGTAGTCCTACTTTTCCATTTTTATCTCTGTATTAAGTGTGAAGCCGAGGCTCTCCAAAACAGCATTTAAAAGCGAAAGACTTTTTCTTTCTAACAGAATAAGCAAGCAAATCCATTGAAATTTCGTATAGTTACAAATTTTTGAAAATGAAACGACAGAGCTTTCGGACCCACCTAATATTTCGTATTTAGAGCCTAAATCCTACCTTCTCATCCCTCGCCGAACATGAACGGTTCATTTTCAGCGGCGACAGAGCCAGGCGAGAAGTGCGCGATGTTACATCAGCTTGACTGGTGGAATCCCCACTTTTAGCGGGAAGAACTGGATTTTCCAAAGAATTGGACGAAGTGCAGTTGATGAAAGTAGAGTCGGAGATAGTTGCCTGTAAAAAGTACATCAATGCAAAATTGCTCTTCAGTGATCCGAAACTCACAACGTCGGTGGTGCTCCTAGCGTTCTCACATTGCTCTGTGGCACCAGAACTGTGAGAAATTTGTAAAACGTTTATATGGGCCAATTCCTTGGCAGCTGAACTGTTTGAAATCTTCGACACGAAATGCTCAGCCTGAGGACACCCCTTCAATCTTCTAGCGCTTTCTACCTCAGAACTGACACCGCTGTCATCAGAACGCCCACGCCCATTTTCTCTAGGCTCTCTTATGCACGGTGCAACCGATTGTGATAAGCTATAATTTGTGTGTGAATCACAATGGAAGTAGGAGAAAATAGTGATCGAAGTTGAGATTACCTTCGCCTGGCAATGCCTTCCTGCTTTTTTACATCTGAGTCGACAAAGAGGTCCTTCAGAAACAGTTCTCGACTGACCCCAATTCTCTCTTCAACCTTACTGCCGCCAGCTTCACCAAAACGATAGCGTTTGACAACAACGATCAGAGACCTGCAACAAATTTTCTGATGAACTGACAAAATTCAGAAGGCGCTTACAAGCTACACTGGATAACATACATTAGATTGAAAGAACGAGAAGATTAAAACGTTGAGATATAGTTCATTAGCCATAAGCAAATTAGTAAACGATTCACTGATCTCGAAATTATATCCATGACTGAAGAACTCTCTCTCTTGCAGTGGCGGTTCGAGAAATTTAAGAAGGGGAGGGGGGAAAAATTTTTTTTCAAATGAAAGAGCTGGCTTACCCTTTCCAACCGAAAAATATTTGCCACGCCGCTCGAAAAAACCTAGGGATGTTTGGATGCCGCAGCTTTCCTCTATTCTACCAAAAAATGTGCCACCAAGAATGTTGACTACTCATCCGTTCAGAAAAGAACAAGAAACTTAATGACCTTTCTGGGATGAATAAGCTTGAGTGAATTCTTTCTGCCATATTCACTTGTACGCAATGTTTGTGTCCCTCTTGAAGAGTTCAAAAACTTGCATCTCATTGAGAAACAACTTACTGTGGTAATGTAGCGAAGGCTCGACTCATAAAGCCAGCGCCTGTGCCACAATGATCGCATTTGAACTCTATTTCTTCCCTTGCTAAAGCATTCTCAATCATCTTCTGGATGGATTCTCCCGCGCTGCAAAGGACGGTCAAAGTAGGGAATGGGCGGCAAATTACAGTCATACCTCACAGTTACTGTGAGATCGATGGCATCATTTGTCATTTCACTTGCACGAGCACAACGCTCGCAGCCAAACCTAAAATGGTATGCAGATATATATGACACGAGAAAAATCTGCCGCACCTGTCTCTGATCTTGTGCTGAAAAACTCCTGCTGGATTTCTACTTGAAGCTGCCGGTAGTGAACACTGTAATGCAAGAGATGGATGAACAAAATTTCACAGGTTCAAGTGGCACCTCAGGCGATGAATCCACTGTCTTCTCATTTTTAATGATTCGCCTTCTTCGTAGTGACTCTTTCTCGAGAGCTTCCAACGTCTTTGCGAGAAATTCGTGCGCGTCCTTGAAAGCAATCCGGTCAAAGATGAATATGAAAGAGCGATTGTGTGTATACCTGTTGCATGCTAGAACCAAAATCAGGATCTGTTCCAAGCTCTCTTCCAGCGGCTGCTCTCAAAGCTTCAAGCACCTTCAATGCATACAAACTACTGCACAGTGTCAATTACAGCGATTAGCAAAAAAGAAAAAATATAAATACTTAGACATGGGCAGAATTAAAAGCGAAATCGAGTAAAGCACTGTCAACTTACCGAGATTTTTGTAGCGCAGCCGTATTTCATATCTGACTCTCGGTCTGGGGAAACAAGATTATGCAGCACGTCATTGAACCTCCTGCAGATTTTTGATGCGTGAATGATGCGTGAACCCAGAAGCAAAGCTCACCTAACAAATTCAGAACACTCGCCACCGTCTTCACGACGCTGCTGGATCATCTGCATGCGGTAGTAAAACGGATATACAGACGCAAGCGCTTGCAAAGTAGCGTTCATGTAGCAAGAATTTGTGAGGTTCTCCAGCCTACAACTGATTATTTGATGTAGATGAAAGTGAAAAATTATGGAGTAGTGGACTCGTACCCTCGGTAAGAGTAAGGTGAAGGTTGGTGTTCTGCTGGCGGTGGAGATAAACTGTTGAATACATCGCTATCATTTAAGAAGTCTTTAGGTACTGTGTCATTCACTTCTTTTCGTTTGCGGTTGGGTGTTACTGCTTCCCTAGAAAAAACTTATGATCTTAAATATGAAGACTTGCATATGCTTAGACTTGCTTTAATATGATGTGATAAGCTTACAGAATATTCTCATGCAAAAAGATAATAAAAAATCACCTGCTGATGTGCAAGGAAGAAGTCGGAAATCCTTTTGATCCAGATGGCGGACTCATCAGGCAACGAGATGAGGAGATCTGAATATGATAGACGATTACGGTAATAAAGCACGATATACCTCAAAATGACTGGAAAATTAGGGAAACAAGACAAACCGAATCGGCCAATAACTGTGGACGAGGGCTGATGATCTCGCATTTTGCCACTTGCTTTCTACTGGAAAAACAAAGAGATTGATAAGAAAAACATATTAGGTTAGGATTTCTTACTTCGATACAGGTTTTTGGGAACCGTAAAACGAAGAGGAGCTAAGGCCATCGAGATCGATCATGGCGTCACTGGGGATAGGCTATAACAGAAGCGTTCAAGAAACCGCAAAATCCATGATATGAAACAAATTCTACCTCATCATTAAACTCGGAGGCAAGTCTCTTCGCTCTGGAAAACAACATTGAACCAGATATGATGCAGAGATGTATCAAAGACTTACAAAGTAGGTTTGGTAGGGCTACGACCACTTCGCTTTTGCTTGAAAGTGACAGTGTGAATTCGTTTGTCAAAAGGAGCACTAACTCGAATGTGTGATGTGCTGAGAGCATCCTGCTCGACGAGTGAGATGATGCTTCCTTGAGAAGTCTTCTCCAATTCACTGGATTTTCTGCTGTTTTGAGTTTTCGACTGATTCTTATCAACAGTTCCTGGCTCTGGCTCATTGAATTCTTTCGAAGTGGGACTCTTCAAGATACCAGCCACTTCGTCTACATCCACGATTGGTATGTCATTAGTTGCTGGCTTTGATCTTGACATTGATTTACTACCTCTGCTGCCTACTGAAGAAGCCGGTTTCGAACCAGTTTTCGAGCGTTTAGATTCTATAGGTATTATTTCGATCACATCGCCAGAGCTGCCGCTAGGTTTTCCAGACGTTTGAGCAGCAGCATTCTCAAGGCCTCGACTCTTCCCCGCGTTATCAGTAGCTATTCCTGACGAAGTGTCCGGGACACTGTTCAAATTCTTGGGCTCGTGAGCGGACTTATTTCCGACAAAGCTGGGTGGTTTTTTGAACACCGGTCCCGGGGATAGCGGACCTAAGATACTCTCGATAATTATGAAAGGAAGGATCGACTGAATATACCTGAGCAGTTTGGCAAGGGATCATCGAAAACGAACTTCGGAATACGACTAAATGAGTGAAATCAAAAACCACTAGAAAGAAAAACTAAGAAACATAGTTACAAAAGAAAGACTTATTTCCTCATAAAACTTACTGTCGGTGCTCTGACCGTGACTTTGAGGGATTAGGAAAGCTGCGAAGCATGCCCAGAGGTGAGGCATTCGATGTGTTCATATGTCGGGAACGGTCTATATATGTTGTAATCAAACAAAGCTAAAAGTTAATCATATTCAAAACTTACGACTTTTACTGTCAAATGCTTTCTTCACCTCGTCGTAGATATCCTTAATTTTCCGACTACGATCAGGAATTTTGATTACGAGTGCGTGCCGCCTAGAAAATATCTTTTGCCAGATGAATACCTAGGAAGCAATCGACGCCTCACCGTTTTTGATATTTAGCCGAATGCTGCTTGCTCAAATCGAATCTCAAAGTGAATTGCTGAGCAGAAGCGAAATTCGGAGGGTTGGCAAATGACGTGAACTCCTTGGCGAAAAACTTGTGCTTAAAAATGTGCACTAGAGAAACAGCTTCAAAATGAGAAAGTGAAATTAGTCTGATTGAACAAAATGATCTAACATGTCTAGGGACGTTGGAACTTGTCAATTACAAGGAAAAACTTCAAGCTTTGGAGTAGATATCATACCCCGTTTCAGAAAATGAAAGTGGAGCTGTGCATGTGTTCCACTAGCATTGACATTTGACAGAGCTTTTTTCATTTTCATGTTATCACTACAGCTGCAGCGTCGTCAAAGATAAGCACAAGCAGATTAAAAGGAATGTATTGCAAAGCTCATATCTGGCAAACTAGAAGAGGAATCGAAATTTTGCGTTAAAGTGCAATACGAAGCGATAGAGAAACCGACAACAACGATTCAAACGTTTTCGAAATTGCAGCAGCAATTGAATAGCACAAAAGAGTTATCATACTACGCAACCGTATGGCGAAATGAAAGCAAACCTCTTCACTTTTTCCACCTTTGAAGTCAGTCACTGTGAAAGAGCCCTCGCTAGGATCAACGAAAAGTTTCCCGCTGAGGTGTTGTGTCAAAGGCGAATCCAAATACTCTATTGTGCACTTCACAAACAAGTCGTCCATCTGAACAATTCTCATTAGTATGCGATATCCAGACGAAGTTCAACACGAAAACAGTCTGCTCCACCTGATTTCCTTAGGAACTTACCTACGAAATTCCGACATTGAACGAGAATCTACAGGCACTAAAATTTGAATCTGGCAATAGATTTTCCCGATAAAAAGATGCGATTCAAATTGCTTTGGGCGGAATACACAATGTGCCGCATACAGTACGAGCAAAAGACTTTCAGACTCATCATAGGGCATGCGCCATACTTGTTCAACTTGATCCACTCAATCTACTTCGTCGCTATTGGTCAGTTTACTGATCAAAAATTGCGAAGTGAATCAAGTGGATCAAGTGTTACGTAAGCTTAAAGAACTCGTTTCGGCGTAAAACCGAGAGAATCGATGGTGAATTTCTGGCAGATTGTATCGTACTTGTTCCTAGAATATGCTCAATTGTTTGAGAAAAAATAACTTTAGAACTTTTAAGCTGTTTGGCAAGCGAGGGTCACTTAATCGAAGTGGCAATTCGGTGGGTGGTGCTGCATGCCGAGAGCGAGAAACGCTGATCTCAAATATACTTTCTAGATCTGCGAAGCGTTCCTCCATGGCCCGAGCATACTTCACGCGATTCCAGTCGCGACGCGACTTGGCAATACTCTAGTTGCTTATAACTCGTCGCGAACTCAGTTTGAGCACGCAAGGAATAGCACGGTTTTGAATCACAAAAGTTGCTACACCAACGTTTGTGGTCTGCGAGTGTCGGGTTTGAAGAGATTTGGCGAATGGCCAAATCGCGTGGCTATCGAAATCGCGTGATCTATTCCCAGGGCTCAAAGCCTTGGCCATACCGCGATTTTCTGTTTGGCAATTCAACTGTTTATAAGGCACGCGCCATACTTGATCCGCTTGATCCGCTTCATCCACTTCGCCATTGATCACTTGGCTGATTTGACCAATAGCGAAGTAGATGGAGCGGATCAAGCGGATCAAGTGGCGCTTGCCTAAGGGACCCATCATACTTCGCCGAGAAAAGCCCAAAAGCGCCGAGAAAAGCCCAAAAGCGCCGAAAAAAGCCCGAAAAAGCCGGGACGCCCCCTTCCGCGCGCACGTTTTGGCGCTAAGGCATGTGCGTTGGTTTCGCAACCGAGTCTTTTTGATTCGTTTTCTGTCGTCTGCACATCAAAATAATGTCAGAATTCTCCCAAAAGTTCGGTTCTGCGTTCTGACTCTTGGCGCTTTCAGGCTTTTTTGAACTTTCTTGGGTTTTTTTAACGCCTTCGGGCTTTTCTGGGAAGTATGACGGGTCCCTAACTCATCGTGCGCATTTGAAATGTGCAGAGTACAGGACATCTCAATACTCTACAAAAGCTGTACAGTTTATGGATTTTCGACGAGCCATTGTTGGATATGAAGACATCTGGCAAACTGTCAGATCGCGTGGCGTTCAAAATCGCCTGGGGTTTGGCCAAGGCTTGAAGGTAAGGTGGCCCAGAAAGACAATTATGGCTTCTTAATCGCCACTTCGACCGAGTGACTCTTCTTGTGAAAAGTTCTGCTAGTTTCTTTGTTTGGATACGTGAGAAAGAGACGGTTTTTCGCAGGGGCGCTCTTCAGCGCCACTCTGATGTCTTGTTTCAACCTTCCGCTGTGTACAGGGCTTTACAACCTGAGTTTCCCACCCGCCCCGCTAGGACGCCACGCTTAGGTCCGCGCAGCGTTCGTGGCGCTGGCTGCGCGTCGACTGAAGCTTGGCGAAATCCGGGCGATACGCAGCAAACGCCGCGCGCGGCCTGAGCGAGGCGGCCGCGTTGGAGGAGCCGCGCAAGCGAAACTTGCGACTCTCAGGTTGAAAAGCCCTGTACTTAGGTAGGCGCCAGACTAAGCGACTATTTTGTTCAGCTGCAAAAGGCGTGCAGAATTGATGTCTGCTGTTGCTAAAGCCTGCTTCAGCTGAAGGTCCCGCGCAGAACTGACGTTAATTCTGTGCGCCTTTTGCAGCTGAACAAAATATTCGCTTAGGCACCCGCCATACTTAGTCCGCTTAATCCACTTGATCCGCTTGATCCGCTTCGTCATTGGTCAAGTCAGTGAACTGACCAATGGTGAAGCGGATCAAGCGGATCAAGTGGATTAAGCGGATCAAGTATGGCGCGTGCCTTAGTCTGGTAGGTGCCAGAGTAAGCGAATATTTTGTTCAGGTTGGGGTCCCACGCAGAATTGACGTCACTTGGATTGACGCCAGCATGGTGAGAGGCGTCAATTCTGCGCGGGACCCCAACCTGAACAAAATGTTCGCTTACTCAGACATTCGCAGTTAAGTCCCGCCGGAGATCCGCCCACAAAATGAGAATTCGCGAGAAAACCGGGAGTCTTGCGTGACACACGGTTTTGTCCCGACTAGCGGGATAATCCCGGCACAAAAAATGAAGCGGGAGAAAACCGGGAGTCGCGATCTCGGGGCGCGCTCCCAGTGTCTGAGCGTAAAGGACACTTGCGTGAAATACGACGCATGGTCAGACTACCCTCAATGTCCACAACCTTGGATGTGTTTCCATTCTTACCGGCAAGAACACTATCAATATGTTGTCCAACCTTTGATAGGGTCTTGTCGCTATTCAACTTTGAACTCGGACTTGGTTTCCGAAGCTGCTGTACGGTGGCTTTGATTGATTTTTGTATATGAGCGGGAGTCCCGCCGGTGACCGAATCGCGACATTATCGGCGCGACATTGTCGGGACTCCCGCAGGAGCTCCCGGTTTTCTCAGTAGAAAATATGTCGGGACAAAACCGCGTGTCGCACCGCACTAGCCCGAACGAAAACCGGGAGTCCCGGTTTTCTCGCGAACCATTTTACTTGTATCCCGCAGTCATTCCGGCGGGGCACAACTTTTTCACCGGCGGGACTTAACTGCGAATGTCTGAGTTACTCTGGCACCTACCTCTGCCACCTATGATCGGTTCCCAAATTCGTGTAGAGGCAGATTGCGGACTTCCCTGATTTTAAGGATAAGCTTAACGAGAGAGTACGAAATACAATACTATAACGTTGAGGTTTGACAAGCTCATCCTGAAAGTCAGGGAAGTCCGCAACCCGCCTCCACACAAATCTGGGAGCCGATGATACCTTCCAAGGGACGCCTTTTTAGTCGAAGAGGCATTTCCACATGAGACCTTTGTAGAGCGTTGAACGGCGATTTCAGATCTGTCTTTCTCTTCTATAGAACAACTTCCCAAAAGAAGTTATAAATGTTGAAAGTCTAAATTTATCAAGCCTGTGCCACTATAGGGCAAATGTATAGGGCATTCAAAAACTCGTGATGATGGCGCGACCGCGCGCGACCGCGCGCCTGAGAACCGAGTTTTTTGGTCTAACTCTACTTCAATGGTTTTTCTGCTTGAGTATGATAGTACTTAAACACTGGAAGCGACTGAGCTGAGCGTTGAGGTGATGCCTTTTTGTATGAGTGTCCATGCTCTTGTGCGCGCAAAGACCACAGTCAAATCGTCACAATTTTATAAATAACCTATAAATGCTTGAAGCTCAGAACGCGTCATTATGAACGTTTATCGCAAGACTGCCAAAGCTTACACCCCGTTGACCCCTGTTGTTGACCTGTACTCGCTCGCTTTACTGCAGGGTGATTACGGTAGTACGGTACCCAAACAGCCAGTGGCCGAACAAAGCTATGGATAAAACAACGAAAAGTTGTACAAGAACACCTATGCGGATTCCCAAAGTCTGTGTAATGTTGGTATGTAACAATACCAACCGCTAGTCCTGTTGCAACCGTACGGTCAGACAGATTGTATTCGTTGATTGTGTGCTTGTCCAGCAGACCACAATATACCGTCTGCACCCCAGAGAGGTTCCCATGTGAACTATCGTGCGTACGTGGTGCGACGCTGCCTTTCGCTCTTTTTGATACGTTTCTCCTGAGATTTCAACGGAAATGCCCGAGGTTAACACGTTCAAAAGTGCGAAAAGCAGCGAGATGACGTGGTACCTATGGAAACCTCTCTGGGGCGCAGACGATAGGCGATTCGAAAAATCGTGACGATGGCGCGACCGCGCGCAACACGCACGCACTCCTAATTCTTGGTTTCTATCTCTACTCAAATAGTTTTTCTGCTTACATATGATAGTATTCAGGCAATGGGAGTGACTGAGCTTAGCACTGAAGTGTTGCCTGTTTGTATGGGTGTTTTCTCCTTCTGTGTGCGAAAAGACCACAGCCAACCCGTCGTCACGATTTTAGAACCATACGTCGTCAATAGGCTCCACTCGTGCAGACAGCTGGTACGAACTATAGTGGTGACTATACGGAGGTATGCGGTTGACGCACAATAGTACCTTATCTTCGGCGACACATTGTCCTCATGTGCTTGCCTTGTCACGTAAAAACGTGTTATGGGGGAAACGTATAGATAATTCATCACACGCAGAAAGTGGACGCCGCTTCGGTCAATTAAATTTCGTGCTTGATAGAGGCAAAGACGAAAATAGTAGGGAGACGTCGACAGCGTCGGCGGTGACGCCGTGTCCTTGTAGGTACTGACTTTACCACACCTCTGAAAGACATGACTACTTCTAGTCCCCCTTCATTATTCAGGAGGAAACTTTTCACAAGTTTCGTAGGGGATTTTTTGAGGGAGGGCACGGCTTCGGAAGCAATCTTCATGCGCGACCCGCGAGTTCATGGAAGGTCACTAGTTTTCAGTGTCAGAATCACAGGTCCAATTTAGTAGATGTACAGGGTGTGTAAAATCCAATTGCCCGCCCCTGACTTTGAAAGCGAACGCGGGGCAACTGTAAATTGGTGCAATGGCTTACCACAGATGGTATAGAGGCATTCCTTCAGACATTATCTGAGTCACAAAAATTGTTGTAAACTTCTTGTGTCTATAGGCACAAATTTATGAACTCCTTGATCTTCTTGGTGATCTATTAGGTCGTCCGGAAAATAATGTCGCATGGCATCCTACCGCGACAGAATGACCACGAAAAACAGCGATTGGGGTGTCAATTGATAGAGCAAAGCAAGCCCTACAAGGCAGTTCACATATCTCGGCGGAAATCTTGCTCCACCTGAAGTTCGAGTCCAAAATATAAAAAAATTTCAGATACCCGAAAAATCTTATCTCCCTTCACAGACGTCTTAGGTATCATCGACTCCACGATTCGTGTAGAGGCGGAGTCTTGCCAACTCAAAGCGTGCGGTTTTTGATAGCGAGAGTGTGCAAAGAACAATGCTATGAGTAGAGGTTTAACAAGTTCATCCTTAAAATCAGGGGAAGTCCGCAACCCGCCTCTACACGAATCGTGGAGACGATCATACCTCCAGTTTGCATAGGCATGTACTCTCCACACTAGACATTCACCTGTATAGTTTGTGGTATTTTCCCACGGCTACATTACGACAAACAAAAATAGGTCAAAAGTGCGAATATGTCGCGTTTTTCGGTTTTTTTGCAGACAATTTGGTTTTTCTCGAAAACTAGAGCTTGTCTAAAGTTGAAATTTTATGGTCATACTCCCAAACCTTCATACTACTGATTCACATATTTGAGAAGCTCGGGCTTGCTTTGGCAAAAAAAATGCCGCATTCCGTTATCTCAATTTTCAGCCATGGAAAAACCGCGAAGCTGTGCATACGAGTGTCTCGTATAGTGAGTTCACGTGTGAGCAAGTTAGGGTTTCCAGAACTTTTCTTAACGGAGATATGATTTTTTCTGTTTTTTTCTAGATTAGTGTCTTATGAAATTTGGCTCCAAACTTCAAGCAAATCAAAGTTGGCGCGAAGGTTCAAGCTTCATTTTGTAGTGCTCGCTCTGATCTATCGGTTAATACCCTATACCCTACTTACTTACTTCCGTGCGCACCCTCCTGCGATATATTTATTTATTTATTCATTTCAATACACTCATGGTGCGCCTTAAACGAGAAAAAAATAGACAAAGCAACTATGAACAAAACGAGAACCCAGCCAGTCTCAATCGCAGGAGTCAAACAAAATAGAGAAATAGAAGAACAGGATGAAAGAACCCATTCCCCAGGCCTACCAAGACGTTCAATCACCTAAAAAAGTCAAGCTGCGAACAACCTTTATAGATTGTATAAAATCCAAATCTTGCTCACTCTAAAATTATTGTGGCCTATCCCATCGTTTGATGTCAGCGAGCCTGCGGGTAAAGCTAGCTGACTGGCCCCCAATAAAGATATATCATGATAAAACACGATGCAACATTATTTCTCGGACAACCTAATATTTACTCTATGCTCACAGTGTTCCATTGAAAGTTATTCGTCTGTCTCTCGATGACTCTGCCTCTTGGCTGCCTATCTCTCTATGAATATACCTCTAGACAGCTCAAGCAACCAAGATATTCACAGTGTGAGTGATAGCTGCAAAAAGCGGATCTTCTTATTATAAGACATCATTTTTCAAAAACCATGCCATCAAATTTTATTAAGCAAAGTAATAATAAAACATGTGAAATCCATTCAACGCCATTTGGCGCACATTAATCAAAAGACACATTGGTAAGAGCAGTGGTTATCACCCGCCATGAACACCAGGAGTAGAGGCAATCAAAAAATCAAAGAAACCGGCACGTGACAGTTGTAAGATCCGAAACAAAAGTGCGAGAGATCAAATCACAGTCAAAAATCATCCGAAATTTCAAACTGCCTTTCTTCATCTTTTAGCTGCATGCGTCTAACGAAGTCCGCTAATGACGTTTCGAAGTCTGTAAACTGGTGGAACACATGCAACTGTTTCTGAATCCATGTCGATACACGAGCTGATGACACAACTTCTATAAGTGTTCACAAAAATTATCGTTGCTTTTCGTGAGACCATAGACTCTAGTAACCAACTTCCTCCAGATCTCACTGCTTGCGCGGTCAGACGTTCATCAACTAGTACCAAAGCACCCCAGTCGTTTCGATGCCGCAAACATCTGAACAAGTGGCATTGGACTGAATGATTCGTCAAGATAATGTCTCACCTTCCAAGCGCTTGATTCAAGGCTCGATAAGCTTGCGATACATACCACTGATCTCCAGTAAGTAATGCTTTAGTTTTACAGAACTCATCATTATAAACTTTCTTCTCTTTCACCTACAAATGGAATTTTTTTTGAAACGAAATTGGGTGTACTTTACTTACTAAATCATCCATTGCATTAGGAAACGGGATCCCAACAGATATTACTAGTCTAGCAAGATCATCAGCAAAGTCAATACCTTCTGACACCTGAACCACAAGCATCAAAAGTATTTTATAACATCAGAATAAGAGAAAATTCTTTTGATAGATCTAATTGAACTCTTACTTTTCCTCGGAAAACAGCAAACATCAGAGCACCATCAACATGTCGCCCATGATGAGCCGGATTCCGTACAGCATCCTCATAGATTTCCATCACAGCAGGTAAATCCGAGGAGCGACGAGGTTCTTTCACTACCACCTGAAAAGATCTTGGGCTCCGAAGTTAGGTAATAAACAATCGTTACCTTCCGTTGCTGGACTTGTCGTAGAATTGAAGCATTTTCCATGTACTCAAATACCAGCGTCAACATGCGGTAACTCGGGAAGAAACAAAGTATACCCTTTGGTACGGTTTGGCAGATTGTACTATAATTGCTCACGTTTGTACAAAATAGTACCTATTTGATAAGGTTTGCACAAATCGAACTTACCGTATACTCAATGCTAACTCGCTGACAAAAGGGCTGCTGCCATCGGAAACATTGCGATATGTTGCACACAAATGGTGTCCAGAAGGGCCCTGAATCACATAATTGGTACACAGATAACACCTAATTAACGGCGGACGACTTACCACTGGCAAAACTGCAGCGAAAATCTGTTCGGAAGGAATAACTTGCTCTCCTTCCATCTAGAAGCAAATATCAGGAACATGAAACTTATTCAAAAATTGGGATTGTTACCTGAGAGTGAAACTTCAGACCCAATTCCGTCTTCAAAGTTTCTACAGGACAAAGTGTACCAGATGCCAGAATTACGGACCGGCATTCAGAGAATGCGCTGGTGAAAGCCTGGTATGATTATACCTATTGAAGAAACTCTTGTGACCGAAAACCAACCAATTCTGGTGACATGCACCATAAGCTGAATGATGTTCGATAGCCGGCGCGGATGGGTTCATGTCCTGAAGGTCCTTGAGTCGAAGAAAGCCACACGTCTGCTTCATCGCCAGTCATCTGGCTATAATTGAGATTCTTGGGGCCAGCCTGTCCATCTCGCCGACCTTCGCCTTGGATATAACCTCCTCGCTCATGATACTGATAGACTTTCTCGCTACAGACATTCAACCTAAACGAAAGTTCCACAAATGGAATTTGCAAAATAACGAGACCGATGTAAAGGCTGCAATCTTTAAACTTTAACAGATTTCAGAACACTAAATTTTGCTATCTATCAGACTCACTCACTTGTACATGCTTCTTTTTTTCTCGTCCTTGAAATACTCAGTAAAATAGAACCATTTCTCCAAACAAACGATCGCAACTGAACTGATTTTATTGTCAGGAGGGCGACTATCCTGGCGCTCCTGATAGCTTGAAAGCAGCCCTCTGTACGCAGCCTAAATACCTAAGCACCATTGAAGCAAAACATGCAAGAATCTTTTCCATCAACTATACCTCAGCAACTTCGTATCGAGAATCGTCTGGATGCAAATGAAAACGCCTCAAATCCACTTCGATATAACCATGGTTACTGTAACAAAGGCATCTAAATTTTTTAGTAACCAGTAAAATTAGCGCACACTGTATTGGATAGTTTTCCAGAACCATCAACTCTAGCACTGCTCAAAAGCTTTGACGCCGAATCCCGAAACCATTTGGATATATCGTCCATAAGAAGAGCAAGCTAAAATCAAGGTCGCTTATTCATCACTTTAAAGTGCACTACACCAACAACTGACAAGGGGAGTTCCCAAGTCAGCTCGTCAACCCGGATGAGTCATATATCACCGTAACGGGCTTGAAACGCTGATTCCAAATCTGCTTTCACTTTCTGCGGAACAACTCTCCATGAGAAGTTATGAGCGTTTAAATGTCTAAAATTGTCATGTTTTGAGTGGCTTAAAATCAGTTTGAAGCTGTAAAACAACACCTAACGAAATTCCGCTATCTGTGTTCCGCCCTTGTAATCAATATACTTGAACAAAACTGATAAATCACTTTCATGTGTTATTGTACAGGTTTTGCCGATTTTAAGCCACTCAAAATATGACAAATTTAGACTTTTGAACGCTCATAACTTCTCTCGGAGAGTTGTTCCGCAGAAAAGGAAAGCAGATTTGAAATCAGCGTTTCAAACCCGTTACGGTGATATATGACTCATCCGGGTTGACCGAGCTGACTTGGGAACTCCTCCTTGTGAGCATATTAATCTTATGCAAAAGAACAGGAGTACCGCCGTTATCCTCTCCAGATCTGTCGAGTAGTTTTCAATAAGGTAGTTTTCCGACTCTTTTTCCATGCCTTCCATCAACTCAAGAGCACCATTAGATTTTTCCAGTAGTTTCAAGGTCATATTCTCTAAAAATGAAATCAAGCAGATAACAATATTGCATAGTGAACATTCAGATTACCCTTTTCTCTTAAATTGCCCAGAGAGTCTGATATCTCTTTCTCATAAAAAGTGAAACTAGCGGCTTCTCGACAATTATCCTCGATATTGTGAGCTTCATCGAGAATCACAACACTGTTTTTTAGATGGACGTCGGAGGAATTACGGATTATCGGATCTAAACAACTTATTTCTTGAACAAATTAATTAATATGAAGAAAGCGAGAGAATACATACCCACAAGATAGCTGAATGGACAAAAGATGATGTCGGCATCCTGAGTGAGTATCCGAGTTGATGAGAAATATGGGCATATGGGTGTTGCCATAGACGACAGGGAGTCAACTAATTCTTCGATATCAAACACAGTCGAACCCTGAAACACACAGAAAAATTGCGAAAGCGTTGATGCTTCGGTAAAATGGACAGATACCATACCCCCCCCCCCCTCCCCGTTGAGGATAGGAACAAGTTATTACATTCCAACTACGATAATTTAGGCTCCAGTTCTGCGAGACTAATGTGAACACATAAATCGGGAAAAGTTGCTAGGGCATAGATATGAGAAAAATGTGACGCTGTACCGTTTGGTCAAGAGCGAATCTGATATACTGCGGTCTTTCGAATCGTCCTTTCATGGCATCTTTAAAGCGACATCCCATCTGTAATGATTTACTCACTCGTACAAAAATTTTATATGCTTAAAATTACTCACACCACCTGCGGACAGGAGCTCTTTGCAGTATCCAGAGATGTCGGATGATTCTCTAGCCGCGACATTTATACATGACTGCTCCCGACTTGCCAAAATAGTGTGGCTAAAGTGATGATAAGGTTTAGAAGATACTGTAACTGTCTCTACTTAATAACCTAGTTATCCCTCCATATGGTAAACGCGAGAACTCCTTAACGACCTGTCCAATCTGCTTGTGCGTGCGAGTTCCATAGTATATTCGCACCTTCCTGCAACAAAACGCATTACAAGAAGCCATTTGAAGGATATGGATTCGCTCACGGTAAGCAAGAACAGGCTTTCTGCTCACTCTTTTCCGTTGATGATTCAGCCTTCTGAAAGAACGTATGAGATCAGTGACTAACATCTCCTAAGAGGCTATATGTTACCATAGGTATAGGAGCCGGACTGCTTGCAAAGTCATTGAAAAATTCGTCATCATCTAAAAATTAACCCGAGCAAGATAATGCATAACGATATAAATTCATGACTAGAAGCAAGTACTTACAAGGCAAAGATGGCTTGTACTGAGGAGTGTCCGGAGTAGGCTACAATACTATCAACAAAAGCTCGCGAACAACTGAGGAAGCATATCGAGGACATAAACCCCTTACCTCCACTTTCGTTTCCAGCTTGATGTTATCAGCATATATCTCTGGACTATGAGGCTCTTGTTTTGTTGGAAGATCTGATGGTAGTCCAGAAGCTGGAAATAGCCGTGAACACTGTGAACAGCAGGCTATGCTTCATCAAGCGGGAGAGTGCGATACAACATGCTTCAACTATATACTCTTGCGAAGCTTGCGGGATAATAAATGATGAGATTCGCTTTATTTAAAGCGTTCTCTGGAGCGCCTACAGTTAGGAGAGGCGACAAAAAATCTTCAGGAACTTTCTGCAGTATTCACAGGCCATATAGATCTTAGAAGAAGCTATTCTACAACTTTATTTTGCAAAGGACTTTCGGGTATTTAGTTCCAGATTCATTGGGAGACTCTGATGCATAGCAGCCAGGAAACACCAACATGTTTTCAGCTCAATCTGACTCTCCATATTCACCGGGAGCACACACAAAAGGACAGTCGTAAGACAGCAAGATCCTGTGGCAATTCCCACACATGTTTCGGAGATAGGGGATTTGTCGTTATATCCCCAAGCGAAACCTGCGCTGAGCGGTTTTTGCTAACCTTCCCCGACCATGTCGTCCCGCTTTTGGTACTCATTAATTCAGTGAACAACGGCAGTAGGCAGGTGCAGTTCATTTCAACAGGGGATTTTAATACCAACTCCCTAATGTACTCAAAATTTCGCTGCTTTTGCAGGGTAGCGACTCATATCGATGCACTTCAACTAAGCAGCAAAGTGTAAAGTGAGAACACGCAACGAAAGGATATTAAAGGCAAGCAAGGTCCGAAAATAGACACTATTTCGAATACTCACCCATAGCCATATCAGCTTCTCCACCGCTTCTGTGAATTGGGCAGCTTGTTCTAGCTTCATTTCGTTTTCTCTTGTAACCTTCTATCCAAGCACAGCTCGATGCCAACAACGCCATCGTTTTACCTTGAAAAGCAATATGCAAATTGATTTTAAGAAAAGGATCAAGCGTACCACTCCCAGTAGGGCTTTCAGCCAATAGGTTCAGCTTCTTTGTCAGAGCAGTAAGTATTCGCACCATCATAAGCTTTTGCGATGGGTAAGGCTTGAGACCAACCGGTAACCGAACTTCGATACCACACATCGGCAGCTTCTCATATTGTGAATTGTCGATAATAAGCTTTTCCCTGGAAGCGAAATTTTTCCCAATAGTTACTGAGGAAATGGATAGAATTTACCGTTTCCGCTTCTTCGGCTTGAATACTGTAGGGGTCATAACTTTTGGAGAATTATCCCGACCGTCTTCACCATACTGGTCGGCTATAGGAGCTTGCCATGGCTCTCCTGTAAAGTATTAGGGTGATCCAAAAGTAATGGGGCACCTAGAGAATAAATGTAGTTTTCTCAAAGAGAAAAGCTAATTGGAAGTCGAAGTTTTGGCAGATGTTAGTACATATCAAAACCTTCTGATCGAGTTCCACAGATGGGCACTGTTACATTGCGTTCATTTCATAAGCGCTCAAAATCAAAGCTCATCACTTCAAGTAATTTTGAACTTTGAGCAGCACCGCCGCAGTAAGACATGTAAGCCTAGCAAAGATATCTGCGCAGCAATAGGTGAGGGGACTGTCACCAAACCCACGATAGCTCAGTGGTCTCAAGGCTTTCGAACAGAAGATATAGCATTGGGTATCAGGAGATATATTACTTATTTTTTATCAAGGTAATCAAATAAGCTCAACCTTAACAGTTGCTTTCTGATAGTGCTTATTACGCTCTATCCATATATATGCAGATCACTTAGACTTTTCTCATTTTCAAAAAATTATGTGTCAAAACATGAATTTTAGTCTGAAAATCTGCGCCAAACACCGCACTTTTTCGAATAAAGTCCCTTTTTTGTGTGAAATAACGAGCAATTTTTCAATATTCAAATAATCATTAGAAAGAGCTTGGGAAGCTCTTTCGAATGGTATGCCATATGTCGAGGGAATTTCTGGTGCAGCAGCACAAATTCGGATGGCGTTCAAAAAAGTCTGTCTGACTTCTTTGAAGCGCGGCTCGAAGGAATGTCGGTGAGGTGCCGCAGCGTGCTGTCAAGATAACCTGCGAAAGTCACTTTATACAAAAGCGTTCAAATTGTTGGTTGTTCAAAGCTAATCAGACAGAGATCTTAAAGAAATCAAAAAAATTAGTTAAAAAAATCAAGGTGCCCCATTACTTCTGGATCACCCTAATATATGTTACATCTGACTGGGTAAGTCAATGAATAAATAAATGTCCTGCGGAAACCCACTATTTTGTTGTTTCGATCCTCTTCCACTTCTACGTCCCCTCGCATTGCGTTTTTGAAAGAAAGCCTGCATTCGAGCTGGTGTATCCATATTATCAAAGATATGCCTCTCCTCCACTGGTGCTTCAGGGATTTTTAGCCAAAACGGACTTCCAAACCTCTGCAATTTCTAAGGGACTGAAGTGCTCCTGAGAAACCTGATTGATGCGAAAATTATCCATAATGCAGACTTTGCACCAAAAAAAACTCGTAGCAAGACACTGTTGCGGCCGAGCGGCTGTCAGAAGAAAAGAACGTGATTCGAAAACAAATGCGCGACAATCTCGCCCGATTCAAAAAATCGTGCTTCGCGGCCGACCGCGCACTTCGCACGCGTCGCTGCTTTTGCTCGACGTGTCCTCTCGCTGGACTCCACCTCCGAAATGATCGATGTTGTTCTATCTCTGCCATTCTTTCACATGTGTGATATGGCATCACTTATGTTACGAAACTCAATCTGCTGAATTGGCTCAAGCCCAACAGGTCTCAGATCTGGGTTTTAGTTCCCATCACGAGATGTATACGGTGATATATTTGACAAGTATCGTTTGTTTCTGACAGTTTTGTGACGTCAGTTTCTTTTTATAGCCATTGCTTTGGAAGAGCAAATGTGCGGGTAATTGAAACCTGTGCATATCATTGTGAGTATCTCCATTCGTTGAGAGAATCGGTAAATTGTTGAGTGATGTGTTTGTATCTACTATCTCACAATATCCCAGTTCTCTATCTTCCTTTTTGAGACTATGATACTCGAGAACGCTTTGCTAAAGCCTGATCTACAAGTCATACTCGCGCATTATGAATAACTTCTTGTGTGAATCGTGAACATTATCCGGGCTTGTTAAATGTGTTCCTGCTTTTAATGAATGACAATTTAGTTTCCGTACTCCAATCAGTGTCCCCAAGTGTCCGTTTTCTTGAAACGTGAGATCATCAGATCGTTGAAAGATGCACTAGATGATCTCGAATTCGTTTAACCACTTTTGTAGCTCCATTTTCGTGGGAGTATAATCGGTTATGAGGGGTATCCCAATATTTTGTCCTACTAGCAGTTGCACTAGAAGGACGTCATGCAGGAGGCAGCAAGGGCTTACCGCATTTGCCTCTGGAAGCGCTTGGGGAGCTCCAGATTCCTCGCGCCTCTAATCATTTTTCACACCTCTGATACTTTACAAGTTGAAGAATTGAACGAAAATCTTTTTGGAGAGTATCTCACCCAGAAACCATTATCCGTCGGAATCCGGCGCTGACTTTAGCTACAGTATATAGCTAACGTGACCATAAAAGGTGACCCGGCTGCCTCTTACTTTTTCATTGATCATACTTATCTGATCATAAAGTGGTCCTGTATTTAGATATGATGTGTTGTTTATCCTCTGGGCCATATATATAACTGATCATTTCGCTATCCGTATTCAAGTAATGAATGGGGACCTGAGTTTGCTAATAACTGATTTGTGATGGATGAGTAGAAGTATTTACGGACTCTTTTTGTTGTAAAGGATTTCAAAACAAGGCAGTCATTGATAAGGATGACTTCATCTCGCTGAACAATGTATGTACACGTTTTGGGAAGCAGAGGTAACTTTATCATAAAGCCCTTTATATTCTAGCGATAAGCTATTGGGATATCTCGATAATGATAAATTCCATGAGATATCCTAGAAAAACATCAGTTCCTTAGTTTTTGCACGTTATGGTATATTGAGAGAGTATCCAAGATGAGGAGAATTTTCAGTACCGTGGCAAGATCAGAGAGTAAACAAGACAAATGATAGTTTCAGGATGACCTAATGATGTGGTAAGTAAGATTTATACGTATTAAGTAAAATTCATAGCCAAAGGAAAAATAAGAAGCAGCTGGGTCGCCTTTTATGGTAGCGTTAGCTATATACTGTAGCTAAGGTCAGCGCCGGATTCCGACGGATAATGGTTTCTATCTCACCCCGGATCAATTTGACATTCTCGCAATTTCTTTCAATCTCAGCTATAATCGATTTCAACTTATTTGAATATTGGGTTCAGGAAATTTTACTCCAAAATTCGCATCAGAAATAACTGATTCTGATGCAGAATAAAGGACGAGTGCAATAATTCTTCAAGGTTCTTGTCTTCGATCGGAATAACTGAGAAAGATTTACATGTTTATGTTTGAGATTCTGGTCGAAGATTGATTAGACCAATTCATACTTTAAAATCATTTGACGTTGAATGGCTATGTATGAGTCCTTTTTGAACTTGTTATCTATCTTACTTGCTAAGAATTTAAAACATAAAAGCTATCTTAAACTTGCCACGCTTTGAGAAGTCAACGATCAATTTGGCATAGGTCATCTATAATTAGAAGTGCGAAGAAGTAATTAGAGGCGCGAGGAAGTCTGAAGTTCCTCAGGTGCTTCCATAAGCAGAAGCGGCGACCTTTGCTGCCTCCTGCCCGACCGCCGCACTAGAAATGAATCTGCTGGGGATTTCATCTCCATGGAATTAGTATTGGGACAGTGTGATTTGCATTGTGTGGAAGAGCGGTGCACTGTTCTACAATTTAATAAGTGCATCGTAGTGAGCTCGTGTATGTAAATGTGACCCGCATTGTACTTTCGGATTGTTATTGAGGTTTTCAAACACAGGAGTGTTTCGTACATGACACAGCGGCAGTATTCGGGAGAACAGGGTCATGTGGAATGCCCCGTCTTCTATAGTTCTGCTTGGCACTAGTGCTGTTTCAACTTTCTGTACTTTTCACTCAAATTATCTTCTTCTTCTGACCCTTCTAGTAACCATCTTTCCACAATTCTTGAAATACATGGTGTCCATTGGGTCGGTACTTCGTCAGTTCCGTATCAGTTTGTGCCTGACTTAGACGAGGCTAGTGAGACCCGCAATTGTGAGTGTGAAATTGTGTACACATTAGTCTCTGTGGTGCTCAAAAGTCAATGCGTTTAGATGAATACAAATGAGCCTTTGTATTCCGCAAAGGCCCGGCTTTTTGTCTGCTTTCCATAAGTATGTTAAGCTTCCATTTCACTATCTGTGTTTAGTTACCCAATCATTCATAGACCTCTAATACAGAATTTTCCAAAATTGAAAACTTCTTATGGAGATTGGCACTGCTTTCAGAGGCCACGCAAAGCCTTCCAGAATTTTTTTATCATTTCTCAAAGTTATGTCATCTAATTCATTTTGTCCGAAACGCCATTACACGAGCAATTGTTTTTCTTCGATTTCCCAAAATATCTTATTCATGTCGACCGCAATGTTCCACCGTAATCGTCATGAAGAAATGATTCTTATCATATTCAGTTTGTATAGCAGTTTCAGGACTTCAGGAAATCCTAAAGTAATAGCGTTAATAATGTTTAGGGGGTGCACAAATTTTTTGAACACGCTTCATGACGAGCACTAGTTTGCTTAATTTTTTCGTTACAAAGTTCTCTTCTTAGTCAGTCCTTAGCATGGGAAGCAGCACAGGGGCACATCGCTTCGCCTCAAACGGGTTTTTCTGCTAATACAGTTTCGCAATTACAGTGATGTTTTCCGACATCGCTTTAGCAGATTTGGAGAGTTTGTGAAGGCGACATGCTAATTCTTTGTTTGTAAATTCAAAACTTGCGAAGATTAAGGAGGACATGTGGAACATAAGCTTTGTAGGAGATGAATTAGAGCCGTGGCTGCAATCTGCTATCTATCCTCATTTGAATTTCTTTCCTTATCAAGACGACAAGTGGAGTTCTATGTGTTTTCTTCAAATTCTTGTCTTTCGACAACTGATACGGTGTTAACGTGTCCACCGTTTATAATACGATATCATCCCATTTTCTTCATTCAATCTTTTGATCAGTCTTTTCATTTGCATCTGACACCATGGCATGAGAACATTCCATATTCTAAGACTTCGACGTTTTCATTTCTTGACACCTGACAGCACCATTCCCTTCTCTTTTCTTCTGTGTTCAAAAGCTACCTTTTTCTCTCCATGCATTCGACGCTCATTTTTTCCCATATAACAGCTGTAAAAAATCTTGCGAAGTCGAACCGGATCGTGTTTCACACTGCAAACTGTGGGGTCATCAGTCGATAAATGACGTCTTACTGCTCCTCATATCTTGACGTTGCGTTGCCAAAAAGCGAAACAAGTCTTGTTTTTGTGAATGCAGCGTGTCTTTTCGTTTTAGCCGAAACGCAGATGCCGTAACACGTTTGGTAGCAGGGACGTTTTTGGGGGTTCAAGTGAACGGAATTTTATGACGCTTCCATGGCCACAATCTCCTGTTTTGGTCTATCTCACATGTCTTCTTTTCTGAGCCGTCGATTTGACTTTCATGATGCTTCTCAATTTGCCCATTTGCTCATTTTAGATTTACGAAGTGCGGACACCCTTTCTGTATGCAAAATTGTATCGATTCTTTCTTTTGAATCCGCTTTCCCATTTGTTCTGTGCTGGGCTCGTGTTCACCACCGTAATCCTTATGTGACGTGTACTAGCACGTAGATGATTGGGCGATGCCATTCTCTGCCCTCGACATTATTCGCTCCATCTACAAAACCCTGAGCGGTCTTCTTCATTCCAGACAACTCTGATAATGGGCGACGATCCTTGCGAGTGTCTTTTCAATCATGAGGCCGCTATGAGACGATTGCTGTCACTGGTGGGTGTCATACATATCACTTTTCGTTTCCACAGTAACTGCATCAGGATGTCATATGGGAAATATTTATAAACCGAAGTTGTACTTTGGATGTGCAGATGGGGCAAGGTTTGCTGGCCATGTTAAGTGCAGAACATAAGGTCTGGAAGTCGAGCAGAAGTTATTACTACGGTTTATGAAGTACATGAAACATATAGAGCATATCTGGCAGAATGTAAGCAAAGATCTCTAGTGAGCACGAAGTGCCATCGCCACTTTTCTCTAACAAGCCTTGGGTTTCACTGGTTTTGGGAACGGGTTAGAGCAAGCTGTCACGTTATCACGTGTCTTTGATTCGCAGATATTAATACAATCATAGCCCATTGTGCGAGGTACGTTTGAATGGGATGTGCGTTTAATGTTACATGCGACAAGCTGGTAAAGCGCGTTGTAAGCCCGTTTTCATCCCGCGAGTTGGCGTGCATGGCCTACGCGGCCTTAGGTTTTGAACAGCCTATACTGCAACCTCACCTTCTATAGTTTGCGTCCAAGGAAAAAATTACATCGCTACCACGTAAGGCAGCCATATTCTGCTCTCCACGCTTTGGTACAGACTCCAAATGCCTGGAGAAAACGCGATGAAGGCAGCTTGAAAGTGCGAGAGGCACAAGCGGCGGTACTTTTGGGAAGTTCTCCGGGACACAGATACATTTATCAGCGGTCTTGAGAGCTCTTGACTTACGTTTGAAATCGGCTGTTATGCAGATGTAAATCCAGCCATGTTCAGTGAGATGTTTATCCTTGCTAGAGTAAATCAACACACAAAGGAACAGTATGTCAGGCGATGTTTTTTAATATACATATGCTGTGCTGATCGGCAGAACGAATTAAGATAAGCAAAGGAGATTATGTCATGATGCAGGGTCGCGCTGGAAAAACACTGCCGAAATGTATTGCTCTGTAGTAGTCAAATCGTTGGATTGCTTTTGTAGGAGACGAAAGCAGCGTAATCTTCACTGAAAAGCCAGATTTGATATTTTATCAAAATTGAAGTATGTGACTCCACATCATTTTCAGTGAGAGTAAGTGCGATTCAAAAAGTTTTACGGCTTCTGTAATATCCGTTAACTCTTGAAAAACACGTACAAGGGAAAACTGAGTCGTGGCGGACCGGAATAAAATGCTTATTATCGAATGCGTCGTGAGAGCTCGAATCTACCTTCTGTTCTATATGCCGTAATCCCTTATTAGTTAGAAGCAATAAAAATAACTAGAGCAACTAATTCTTGAGGTGGCTCTGAACGTTTACTATAATGAGACTTTCAAATGCTCATAACTTATTGTAGAGAGCCGATGCCATAGAATAATCAGAAAAATGTGTTCTAATTCATCATATGCAACCCGCGTTTGTTTCTTGACATGAAAGTAATCGGTGTCAATGCACTTTCATTTTTTTTTACTAGTGTAAAGCAACGAACGCAGCGAGACGGATGAAGTGAAGATGTGGTCGTTTCTTACAGGGGAACTTGAGCTATCAATTGTTCCTGTTGATTTTCTGCTCCAGTCATCATCACCACCAAATACAGATATTTTCAGCTTCGTGACACACAGGATTACTGTACGGATTCAGAATGTCTGACTGATGGCGGTCCAACTGCGATCGCTAGCAATTCGCTCTTATTATGGACCATGCTCTGGGGTTTCCTGGCTTTAGTGTTGTTCTTTCTTCGTCCGAACTCAATGCGAGGTAATCAGGGACTGGGCAAACCTGGACCCAGTAATGATCGTAATGTGAGTTGGCTCTTATTTCACCACCAAGTTCCTGAATCTTTTTTACCCTTTTTGCTGCTTTGACATACAGTGTCTGAAACGTAGCTAATCATTTTATAGGGAAAAAGTACAAAATTTGTATATTTAGTCACTCTTTGGAAAGTTGCAAGTCTCCATTGCTAGCTGCAATTTTATAAGCAATTGTAAAAAACTTGCAAGCACAGCTGCTGTCGCACACAGGCGAAATGAGCATTAACAGTAGTCTTTTTGTCTCTGTGACGAATAGCACTTCGTTTATCTTATGTTCATTTTAGTACACCTTAAAATTCATACATCTGAGGAGTCGATCTGCCTCTACTTTACTATTATAATATTCCATTCAGAATAATCAGCCACCCCCACCTGCGGTCTTGTAAATACGAGGATCATCCAGCTTCAATACGAAAACTTCAGCGCCCTATTCTCTAGACATTCGCCTTGTACACACTTTGTAAATATGGTGACGTCTTCCACGATGCCTTCTGTACCTTGTGTATCATTGGGATTACAATATCCTGTCCGTAATGCATACTGGTTTGATCGTTAAGATCGCGATGCAATTGATCGCATATCGCCTCTCTGATTAGTTTGCATTTGTGTCCAGTTTTCCCAATCTCTTGGCCAACTTTACTCTTGCTTCGTATCCTCTGTAGATACTGTTCTACGAAAAATGGTCCTTTAGATAACTTATAGTTCTCATAAACCGGCTAGTCTAGATTTTCTAATGTGATTCGCTAGTAACATTGTCCACTTTCGTTTTTCAAAAAATTCTATGCGGTACAATAAATCTAAGAGGGTGGAAGTTTTATGTTCATGCGGTGCACAGTGAATTGTTTCCATTACATGTGATATCATTGTAAGCGAAAGATAAGATGTGACAAGGATATTTTCACATCATAACCCGAAGAAAGTGAACAAACAACGGCGCATAGTAGTGCGGCATAGATCAACAATGGAGCATATGTTTACATAAAGTAGGGTGTCACAACTTTGTCAGGAATTTCTCGACGATCTTGTGGTACTGCACTGAAGTATTTCACATCTCTCGTGCCGTCCTCAGCGATTGATAATACAGCCGCGACATTTCCACATCGATAACAGTAGTTAGGTGCTGAAGATACAGTTGCACTTTATGAATCTGATGCACGAAAATCCAAAATGATTTGGGTATTGTCTAAGTGATTTTGTTGGGTAAGCGGAGATGCAATCAAACACAATACTGTACCGCACCAGGGGGAATCTCTAGGGCCATTTGGAAAGTGCTACAGAATCGTGGGACAGAGATTTCAATGTACACGTATAGGCGGGGGGGGGGGGGGAGGAAGAGTTGACACAGTGAGTAAAAAGAGTACTTCGCTCACCTGACCAAACAGTACAAAGCTGCTCGTTGAAGAGATAACGGAAGCCTTCATCAACTAATTGATGAGATCTGCATATGAGTTCCAGGCCATTAGTGTGCAAGAAGCTCTTTGCAACACTGGCGCCAAAAATCTAGGATACGCAAGCTATCATGTAGATGAAGGAAAGGCACAGGTACTACAAAGTTAGTTAGTGCTTACCCATCCGGCCCCTCGCTGACTTACAACCCAGCCTTCCTCTCCTTCTTCTGGATCGGACCACATGAGATCACACAGAGGACCCTGAAGCGTAGAACTGCCACGCGAATCTTACTGATGCAAATCTGCATACTTTCGTCGGCAGCTCCACAGCTCTGTTGAGGCTCAGCATTTTGTCGATCGATTTCACTTCTGGCGAAAGACCACCATGTACACAAAGGATCGAGTCATCTATAAGGGCACCCACGGGCAATACGTCGAAAACCTGCATTTCATGATTTTTGATGAATGTTCGCGAGGACATTCAAAGCGAGTAAAAGCGATGATTATTCAAGTTTTATCCGAGCCGAGAATTGTTAACAGAAATAATAGGGTACGGAAGTGAGGGTAGCACCAATTATGCAAAAAAGGAAGGGTCTTATAAGCTGGTTGTTGGCACAGTACAAAAAGCAATAGCGAGACAAAATCATCTCTCATCATAACTAAATGTACCACCTAAACTTGGAAGTATTTTGCCGATATGCATATTCTCTGCTTCAGCTTTTGAATGAGAATGACTTCTTTGCTTTTGAAGACCACGTGACAGCTCGAAAACATGAGTCAAAAAGATCGTGATTGATGTCTACCCCATAATTTTTATGATGTAAACCTCACCAGCCTTTTCTTTTGTCAAGAAATGTTCGACTCCTGAGTAAATGGAGATGGTATTCTGCCATTACTCATGCTGAGGGACTTGGTTATGATCGCAATATAATCCAGTAACTTGTAATGAGTAACTGATATGTTCCATACTGTTTTGTATTCACTTTCTTGACTCCTCTCCCGTTCCCCCATCAACAATTCCAAGGTTTTCCAACGTTTCCTCTTTTGATCATACAAATAACCTGCCTTGCAACACCATCTATAGACCAGGGAATGACCATACTTCTGAAGGCATTCGTCATAGAAACCGTAAACAGAGGAGATCTTGCGAGATTCGTGGTTGCCTCGTAGTAGCGTCATTCGATCGGGATACCTGGAGCACAGATTTTGATTTTCAAAAAAATTTGAATCGATCAACATGTTCTGTATGCTTTCATAGCGCTGATGTTTATTCAGCAAGACTGCCTTAATAAACAATGGCGCATCTGGTCTTGCGAAACATTCTGCCGCTAGGGTTTGAAGAGGATGACCACAGCAGAAGTCCCCGAGCAGCGACAATGACGACAGTCACGTCACACAATTTTTCAAAAAGTCTGGATTTCTCAAAAAATTCTCAAACAAAACTAAAGGAGATAAAACTAGAAAAGAATAAGAATTTGTCCGGAAGAGGTGATAGAGGTCTTAGAATGCTGGGTTTCCGCTTAAGAAAGAACAATTTACGAGTATGGACTAATGTGCATTTTATTTCGGTAAACTCGATAGAGTCACAACATGTTTCTGCAGTGTCCGTGAGCCTAAAGACCCGAGTGATGCGACGAGGTGTTCATCATTTTGCTAGTCGATGCCTTCTCGAAAGAAGGAGACGCCTGCCGTTGCATCGGAGAACAAGGTGTATTTCGTTCGGTCACGAGGGTGAAGCTAATATTCGGGCATTCACACCCAAATTCAAAGTAAAAGTACGTGGTAAATTCATACAGCTAGCAGCTTCTCATCAATGAGCGCTAACACCGAGATACAGGTTAAGCAGATCTGCCTACAAACTGAAATTTATTGAGAGTATGGACTAATTAATTACTATTAGGCTGGTAAGAAAGTTTTCGGACATTTTCACGCGAAAACTGCTATTTCTCGGGTTGTAATGCATTTACGAACGCGATTGTAGTTGCACTCTCACATATACGCAGCTTATACCCGTGCAGGTGGGAGGAGCTTAGGGTCAATAGGGGCGGAGTTTGCCACTTTTCGATTATCTGATTTTCCTGCTAATTAAGCTCAAATTCCACACAGACCTTGCATAAATGCATGTGAGTTCACTCTACTATATATTGGAATATTTGTGGGTGTTACAGTGTTTACGGAAGGTTGAGTTCTGAGCTCTGTCGAAATCCTATGTCTTATTTCGCCTCTATTTTCACAGGATTCATTAGTCATGGTTGTGATTAGCATGGTCTTGTAGTGTTTGCTTTCCTCTGTCCAATGATGTACAGCACGCCCTATTTGGTGCTTGCATCGAAGTACTATCTTTGTATAAAGGCAATGTCCGAGAGCTTTCTTACCAACCTAATAATTACTACACTGGAAAGATCCAGCATGCAAAAATTAAGACCGCAGAATATTTTTACCTGCTCTCTACTGAGCTTGTAAACGCAACCTAGTATGTTTGAGACACTGTAGACCCAAAAAGAATAAGTATGAAGCATGATTACTCACTTTAGCAATAATGCAAATAGAAGTGTAGCGGTTTCGAGACTGTAGTAGCCGCGATCTACGTAATCGCCCATGAACACGTATTTTGTCTGAGGTACTTCACCACCTGAAAGGACCTTCCAAGTACGTAGTAAAAGTTACCGGCTCCACAGCGGTGGGAGTTTTGTTCAATCCATGATCACAGTCCTTCACATTACAAAAACAGTTCCCCTTACGATAACATAATCATACAATGTAACTTACCGGTCCGAAAAAGCTCAAGCAAGTCGTAAAATTGCCCGTGGATATCACCACAAACAGTAACTGGAGTCTGTATGGGTACCACATTTGGCTCACGCAAAAGACGAGCAATAAGGCTGAAAAAATGATGCTACACAGATGGATATGTGTGATGAAAGCAGCGTACCAGGTACAAAGGGAGATCATGTCTTCTTCTGCCAGATACTTGCACTCTTTTGCGATTGAGATCCATTCATCTATATTGACAGAACGCTTGCTGAACCAGCGTTTTCAGAATCTATGTCGAATTAAATTCTCATCTAATAAATACCTGCTCTTGCTGCTCAAGTTATCCTCATCCAGCACTTTCCTGATTTCATCAGGTACCTCAGCATCTGCTGGCATTACAGTAAAAGTCCGATTCATCTCAGCATCTCCCATCTTGTGGCCCTAATTTATCACCTGGGAACCCGGAAATCAAAGGAAAGTTAAAAGTTACCACCAAAGCATAACGTATCTAATTACTACCACAATCCAGAATGCCAGGCAAAAAGAAGCAAGAGCCGAAAACGGGTTTGCAAAGCCTTCTGTATAATGAAATGGATCTTCATTTTGACAACAATAAAAAAGAGAAAACAAGAAAATAACCAACTTCTAGCGACTAATAGACTATGGGTCTAAATTTCGGGATTCAAAAATAACGGCAAAAGCCTCTGCGGCGGGATTTCACAAATGAGATAGTGAGCTGAGCAACAAAGATCCTCTACACAAAAACGAGAGAATTGCTTGCAAATAAGACTGTCTCTTGGTTGTTAAAGTTATAAGTCATGGGAATAGATCGTAAATCTAACATAATATCCTCTAGAACAAGGACGTATAGGACAACCTTGAACAATGATGAAAACCACTGCTAGACATGGAAACCATTATCATGAAAGACGAGAGATACTGTTTCAGCTGTCAACAACGACTCCAACTTGCGCTGCTCGCACAGGCCGCTCTTTTAGAGAATATCCTATTTTTGAAACGTGCATTATATGTCCAGGCTTAGCCTTGACATCCTGCAAGATTTTATATATAGAACGGATGCAATACATAAGTGAAGGCATACTAACCGGTCCTGCTGGAACTTGGAACACAGCTTCATGCACATTGGGATCAAACTTCTCGCCCATTGGGTTAACTGGAACCAGTCCATGCTTCGCGAAAGTCTTGAGCAGGACTGTTCGCGTCATGACAATGCCTTGATGAAGATCGGAAAGAGTTTTGTCCGCAGCTTTCAACTGCTCCGGTTTGACTGAGTCAACGGCAATATCTAGTACATCGGCAACCTCAAAAGTAATGACTTAGACTGATTTGCGTATGGCTATTAGGAATACCTCCAGAAGGTCCTTACAGAAACTCTGTATTGCAAAAACTTTGGCTTCCTCGACTAGTTTGAACCCACGATGTCGGACATTCTCCGTTTCGGCGAGTGACCGTTGATATTTATCCTGAAACTAAGGTTTCAATGTATTCTGCAATACGGAAATGTCTGCATAAAAGCTTGAAACATTTGGACGCAACCGTACTTTTTAACATAAGATATGGTTACGCTTTGTTGTATTCAGTATATTTTTTTCTCACAAGCGTTTTCTGCATCAGATGTTCCAGAAGCCAGTTTCTTGTCGTTCAAGCAACTAAGGCAAATCTTTTCATCATAAAAATTGAGTGTTTTGTGACAAGTCATCCCGTAAGAAAATGTCACACTGTGACTGACCGACTATCAGCCAAAGTTGAAAGTATTGGGAGCGGTTTCACATATATACTTGTTGAATACACAAGAAAAGCTAAATTTTGATAGTTTGAACACGAATAGAGGAAGCTTGTGGGATGGAATTGAAGCCCTTCATTGAGAGAATACTGCTGGCTAAAGAAAAACACGGACAAGTTCCACACAGCCGAGCAGGAACGTGAGTTTTTGGTGATTGAAACTGAACCAATTAAAGTCAATTCCACGCAGAGTGCATTCATTTTAAGTGGAGTAAGTGTGGTAGAGAATTTTCGAACTACGTCAGCAACACTTTGATAATCAACAGTCGCGCAAAAGATCAATGAGATTAAGACCGAGAAATTTGAAATTGGAGAACTTGGGCAAGAAATTCACTCAGTGATACGAGCAGTCTGATAGGAGCAGACGATTACTCAAATACAAGAATTTGCAACAATACCAAATAATTCTGACTATTCAAAAGAAAAACAGAAAATACATATTAAACTTAACCAACCTTATATTCTGAATCTTCTTTCATTATGGCATCGTACTCGCTTAACAAAGCTTCAAAGGCTGCAGTAGGAACAACAAACTCTTCACCCTGTTCTTTTGCCACAGCTTCTTTGACTACATCGAAAAACTCTGCCCCTGCAAAACTTGTGAATAGTGACATCCTAGCTAAAAGAAAAAGATGGTACCAGTCAGTCTTCTGCCATCTGCTTTTCTGAGCTGAAACTTTGGAGCCTCGCTGGTTTCACCACCCTTTTCAGCATTATTGCTTTCGCCACCCTTTTCTGCATTATTGGCTGCTGTTGAACTGAAGCAGACTTCTACTCGTGATGCTGGATGGTATTTGAATGTGGGCCTGGAAGTGGAAAAACTGAGGAACGGTAGTCTATCGTAGTACTGATAGTCCACACTAGTTGAAGTTAAGTATTGTTGAATACCACGATCAGTATCGAATTAGAGGGTGACGAGTGCGCATATAAACTTCTGATAAACATGTATCAAGCAGCTGTCGAAATGTTATCAAGCTCGCTATGGCTTAAGGCAGCGATTTGTATTTTGGTATAAGACAGTCAAATTTTCTTAGTTCAGATGATGTAGAAGCGCGTCACTGAGAGGGGTGGTTACGACAATTTTGAGGGCAGCGTCCAAGAGGTGAGTGCGTGGACTTCTTAGGCGTTAGCTGATTCCGATGCCCATAAGCCATTGCGCAAGCAAGATTATTTTACATTCTTGGCCGAATAATTCGCCTTTAGAGTCCAAAGCAAACTACCCTTCCGGGGGATGCAGTGAACCTCTTGAATGCGTCGCGTTCAAACGATTCTCCCTCAATAAAGGCAGTGTCCGGGCAAAACCTCGATCTTGAGATTTTTTGCTTAACCGGGCCTATTCTCTAGGCTGAATCCGAAAATGCACATTGGAGAGCGCGAAAACGGCGAAAAACGGCTCTAACACAGGAGGGAAATCAGCAGGTGGGCGGAGCCCTCCCCACTGTGAATTTACGCTCCCAGCTTCCAGAGCGATCTTCTCGGTTCCGATTTCAAGTCATGCATTCGCATCTGGCCGGTGGAGATCTCAGGGCGCAGGAGGAATTGGAAAAATTGCTCCAGAAGCTGGGACTGCGAAATTCAGAGTGGGGACCCCGCCCACTTTGGATTTCCCTTCTGCGTTAGAGCCCTTTTTTGCCGTTTTTGCGCTTTCCAATGTGGATTTTTGGATTCAGCATAGTGAATAGGCCCGGGTAAGCACAAAATCTCAAAATCGACTTTTTGCCCGGACACTGCCTTTAAAAGCAGCGTCCAGGCAAGTCTGGACCTATGGGAATTTTAAGTGGAAAGTACTTTTGGGGCTCTAACTAAGCCACTGCCCAACCGGCAGCTCGTGGTGCCCTAACGCCTGAGATATTCCCTTCGAAACTGGACCCCGCGACCGTGTTTCGCATAGATTCATGGCGCAAAGCGTGGATCCTGGCGCGAAACTGCCAGAATCCATGCGAATACGTTCGCGGGGCCAGTTTCGAGGGGAATATCTCAGGCGTTAGGGCACTACGAGCTGCCGGTTGGGCAGTGGCTTAGTTAGGGCCCCAAAAGTACTTTCCACGTAAAATTCCCATAGGTCCAGAGCCTGGACGCTGCCTTGAATTATATAAGCTGCATGGACATGGCTCAGTAAGTCGAAGACAATCATTTTCACATAAGTATATGACAGAATGGGGCTAGGACACTACTTTTGAGTCTGCGGAAGTCGTTTGAGAAAATCAATTACGATAGGTATGATTCCTTCACTTACTAATTGTCATAGAGAATTCAGATAAGTTTGTCACCCGGCTCTAAGAATCTCCCAGACGTTAGCTGGTGGACAATTCCCGCATTCAAAAGAGCCCTACTCAGAGAGCTAGTTGGTCAAAATGATGTGGGAAATCCTGGCAGTACAAGATTTGAGTCACTGTAATAGGAATCATTCTGTGGTCGAAGGTGATGCAATTCTTCTTATCTCGAATACCAGGTTTACCCGAGCTATTTGAGCGAGGTACACTGAGGAATCTGAATAAGAACTGCACCTTGTAGCTCCCCTAACCGCAGACAACGAAGCGAAGACATTGGACCTCAGTGCGATACCAACCAGCCGTCTACCCAACATGCTGAAAACAAGGAACACTCAACAGAAACGGGCAGTGAAGTAGATGATGCAAAATTTAGCGTAAGCCAAGCGCTTCATGATTCGATAATTTTATGGCAAGAAGGGTGACAACGTTTACAACGAGCTAGTTTTTCAGAGCAAGAAAAAACAACTGGAATGTCAAAAGTTGGCGTACGGGGAAGCGGTTACGGACGCGGCGCACGCGACGTCTAGGTGAATTTTCACCGCGCGAAGTCAGAGTCTTCTCTATGTGCAAATTCAAGAGGTGGCGGTGTAGTAAGCATTTGGCTTTTGTAAATAGAAGGTGGTTGAAGTAGTCTTGATTGGGCATTTCAGCGTAGTTCAGTTTGCAACGTGTTGCAGACAGTAAATCAGCTCGAGAATGGAGTTGTGCGTTTACTGTTTTCGCCTGAGGTGTGACTATTTTTCTTAACCTTAGTTCATTCCAGGATGGCAACAGAGGATGACGATCAAAAGGGATACACCTGGGAGGCTGGTTATGCTGATGGTTAGTTGGGTTAAACGCTTCGAAAGTTAAAAACACCGTCCACCCAAAACTCATATTGGTGAGATTTTAATGCACTAGAAGATGAAGGCCCTAAGTTAGTAATTGCACAAATTTCGCTGCAGTAGTTTTATCTCCGAAGAAAACCGCTTCGGACTGTAGCTGCTGGGTCGCCCCCATCAACGTGGATGGTCCAAAATGAGCCACAAACCGGGCTGTATTTGGAAATGTTTGTTGACAGTTGAAGCCCTCGTTTCCGTCTGAACAGAGTTACAAATAGCAGATGCTGTTTCAAGGGGGCTTGCTTCCTTATGCAAGCATATAACGTATGTTTGAAGGTCTGAACATACGAGAAGTCTTGGAAGAAGATGAAGGCGGCTCCATCGAAAAGTCCATTGCCAAGCTTGTCGCTGATGCTCGTAAGAAGCAACGAACTGTGGCTAAACCGACGAAAGTCAGGCTCGGGATCGTAAGTCTAACTCGTTAGATCTCGACTCCAAGTTCCAAAGACTGTGTCAGATGCGGTACGTCTACGTCGCAATTGACTGCTCACGTTCAATGACTAGCAAGGATATGCCACCCTCTCGATTCTTTGTTACAATGAAGGTCAGTCTGAAGCAATCGGAAATACTTTTTCCTTTATGGAAACGTTCATCAACTTGTTTTTAAATCATTCTAGACTTCTGGTACGTAAGAAAACGTAATCACGAACCAGCGGGGTCACATACGCGTTTATGAAAATGCTGACGTTCATTTTACACATATAGCTAGTCAGATTTAGTGTCTGTTGAGCTTCTTTACCCTTTGAATGTAACGTTTCGCAATGGATGAACTCAAGTGCTATGTTTTCCTCCCCTCGAGCCTAAAAATCCCATATCTTACATTCTCGAGTCTCTCCTAGTACTCGGTGGATGAAGAGCAGTGAGACGATTGAAATATCATATCTGAACATAGCTTTAGAAAACCTTTGTAACTGAAAGATCACCTGAGATTCAGGTAACCGTACTCAGGTTCAGATACCGTAGTAGTTTTGTCATCATTTCGATTTGACTAAAAAATAGTTTTCAGATACTAGTCAACTTCCTGGATAAATTCTTTGAACAAAATCCCATTGCCCAGCTTGGCCTTATTTTGGTAAAGGATAAGAAAGCCGAACGTTTTGTGAGTCTCACAGGTATGTCTTGGTAGTATCTATGGGCCTAGACTTCAGTTTCTTTCATCCTTTAGGTAATGTTCGAACTTTGAAGGAGCACCTAAACTCCATCAATGAAGCTATCTGTAGCGGCGACTTCTCTCTCCAAAATGCTTTACAACTTGCCCTAACAAACTTGAAGTAGGTTGAGTTGATATTTGATTTCATCTGTGGTAATCGCAATTTTTATGCACAATTCCTAACTTTTCTCTTACCATGCTTTCTATTTGGCATAGTCGATACGGCCTCGTTCCGGTAGTCACAAAAATAGTTCAGAAGTCTACCTGGTCATGTGTCACGCGAAGTTATCGTCATAATGTCAAGTCTTTCCACCGTGGATCCTGGTAACATTTTTTCTACGTTTGAGGTGATTACGGTTTTGAAGTGATCGATATGGCGGTACGTGACCATTTCTTTTCAGCTTCTTCGAGGTCACAATATAAGGTGTTCAGTGATTGGTCTGGGTGCGGAGCTTTTTGTATGCAAGCAGCTTGCAAAGGTTACCAATGGTAATCGTATTCCCTTTGCAAACATGCTATTGTTGCTAATTCATAACTGAGATACGCAGGTCGATACGACGTGGTGCTGGATCCAGAACATATGGATGTTTTGTTGTCGCAACATACCGTTCCTCCTCCTTCCACAAAAGCTGCTGAATGTAATGCTATCCGTGTTGCTTTTCCTCCACACATTAACATCAAAGAACGGTCTTTCTGCGTATGGTAGGTTTTTTTTGCTTTAATTCATATTTGCCAGACCTGCTAGCTTTGTCAAATCATCTCTTAATTTCTTTTTATGTTTTCACGACCATTTTAGTCTAAAATGATGATCCCATAGTGATACCACTTTTTCATTGAGCAAGCTTGCTTTACTACCTTTAGTCATCCCATGTCTGCGCCGCTATCCACCTCGCGTGGTTTTTTGTGTGAACAGTGTGGAGCCCGACATTGTTCACTACCAGCTGAGTGTCGCGTCTGTCGCCTTACCCTCGTTTCCGCTCCTCAGTTGGCGCGAGCATTCCGCCATCTCGTGCCGCTTCCACCGTTCGTGCCAACAAATGTAACGGAAGGGTAAGTGTAGATCAATGCACACTGCTTCAATTTCCATTTGCTCCATCTAATCAGCTCTCCTCAATATAATCCTTTTCAGGGAGTGTATGGCATGTGAACGTCCTTTGGCCGAAGAGGGGTTTGCATGCAAGTCTTGTGGAGCAGTGTTTTGCCTCGATTGTGACATACTTCTGCATGAAAGCCTTCACGTCTGCCCTAACTGCGGTTGATCATAGTACAGCATCGTCAGCTAACGCTGAAAACAGCAGCAGCTAAGCAACAAGCAGATGAGGAGTCTCTTTGTAAAGGAGAAGATGTGGATGTGGAAGTTGTTTTCTTACCATCTAATGACTGTTATATCCCGATGAGCGTAATCAGCACATGGTAATGTATAGCTCACTCTATGCTTGACTATAACAAAGAAATTTGAAAGAAAAATTTGGGTAGTTTGTTTTGATTTATACTGCTGAACTTTCCTATGGGCATTCTGGTTTGAACTGTGATGTTTTGTTTGTTGAGCATCGTAGCCACAGTGGGATCTTGTCTTCGCCGGAAATTGGATAACGTCACCTTGGTTCCGGGTAGCTTTGTCTAATTACTGTTATTTGTCTGCACTAATGCTTACATTACGAGTACTCCTTGGTTTGTTGATGGCTTTAGGATAAATACTGCTTTCGGAGATCTTTTGGGTAGCTACAGAAAAACAAGAGTCATAGCGCCAAATGCATCCATTGGAGTCATAGCGCCAAATGCATCCATTGGCTGTTTTCTCCTATCCCTTCTAGCTATTTTTTCTGCCTGAGAATGTAGTAGCGTTGCAAAACGCGAAACGCATCATGGCAATAATTCACCTTCAAAAAGTTAATTTCATCTGCGCAAATCCGAAAAATATTATTTATAGCACTGGCGGAACGAGAAACGGGAGTGAAATACGGTCCTCGCTTTCCTGAGTCGCGAAAAAGTCTGAGAGTGTTCTAGAACTGTGCAAGTGAACTGTTTATCGCTTCGTGAGGTTTAGATATCTAGTAAAAGTTTTTGAAAATTAAGATCTGTTACACGAAAAGGGAAGTTTATTGCTTGAAGCTTGCGAAAAGCCTGAGAAGCTCCAGAGAAATCTTTTGAAAAGACCTGTCATTGCTCTTCTGCTCTCGGAAAAGAATTTGTGAGACCGCCTATAGGCTGTCCGCGCTGCGCTCGGAGAGTAACGCTGTCGCTTACAGTGAAGATAGTACGGGCGCAGAGAAAACATGCGGTGAGAGTGCACGGGGAAAGAGGAGTGACGCGCAGTGCACACCTTGCGCACTCTGTGATTCACAGGTACAGGGCTTTACAACCTGAGTGTCCCACCCGCCCCGCTAGGACGCCGCGCTTAGGTCCGCGCAGCGTTCGTGGCGCTGGCTGCGCGTCGACTGAAGCTTGGCGAAATCCGGGCGATACGCAGCAAACGCCGCGCGCGGCCTGAGCGAGGCGGCCGCGTTGGAGGAGCCGCGCAAGCGAAACTTGCGACTCTCAGGTTGAAAAGCCCTGTACCTATGTCCGTTCTCTATCACAGACTTAGTGTAGCTCTGTTGATTTCAATATGTGTGTTTTGGCTGCGACTTGTGTCGTCATATCTAATAACGATGAAAAAATTTTAGAAGGTTAATTAGGAAAATCAAACGCTTGTGTCATGCAAGCGGTTTATCTTCCCACGTTGCTTTTCTATGATGCGAGAAAAAGATTCTGATAAATGAGAAATGAGAAGATGAAATTTGAGTTGCAATATGACACCATTTGAGCGCTTCCAGGAGATTTGCACTGGGAACCCAGCTAGTACCCTAATTTCACGCGTATAAGGCGCGGGGGATTTTTTTCTAAAATCGACCAGCCCAGACACGCCAAAGGACTTTACAACCACAGGACCCTATAACGTGCTGTATAGTGCTTGAAAGAATCGTGCGATGTAAGGATTTGTTTCCGGGATGCAGTGAACCGGCTGAGCGGCTCGCTTGAAGATTTGAAAAGTGCGCCTTATAGCGTGAAATTCGGGTAATAAGAAAAAAAAACACTGCATTGGATAGAGATAAATGTCTTATGATAAGACTCGGTGGTAAGCGACAATGCAAAAGAAAAGACTGGTCATTGGCTATCGGTCGTGGGGCATTCCCGTGGCTCCTGCGTGTTTTGTACTGAACCTTCGGATTTGCAAGATTATCCATCACCATTTATAATATTTTTTCCTCAGCACTAGCTAGGAGTGGTGTTGAGCAGCACCACTTTGATGCTGGTGTTCTTTAGAACCTAATATGTGTAGTTGAGCAGCACCACTTTGCTGCTGGTGTTCTTTAGAACCTAATATGTGTAGTTGAGCAGCAGCACATCGCTGCTGTTGCAGACTGTTGAGCAGCACTGCATCACTGCTGTTGTGTTCTTCAGCATTGTCGGACATGGTGCTGAATGGTGTTGAGTAGCACCACTTTCCTGCTGTTGTGTTCTTTAGAACCGCATATGTGTACTTGAGCAGCATCATATCGCCGCAGTTGCAGACTGTTGAGCAGCACTGCACCACTGCTGTTGTATTCTTCAGCACTGTTGGACATGGTGCTGAATGCTGTTGAGCAACACCAACTTGCTGCTGTTGTGTTCTTCAGCACTGTCAGACGTAGTGCTGAATGGTGTTGAGCAGCACCACTCTGCTGCTGTTGTGTTCTTTAAAGCCGCGTATGTTTAGTTGAGCTGCGCCACATCGCTGCTGTTGCAGACTGTTGAGCAGCACCGCATCATTGCTGTTGTGTTCTTCAGCATTGTCGGACATGGTGCTGAATGGTGTTTAGCAGCACCAACTTGCTGTTGTTGTGTTCTTCAGCACTAGTCAGGAATGGTGCTAAATGGTGTTGAGCAGCACCACTTTCCTTCTGTTGTGTTCTTTAGAACCCATATGTGTAGTTGAGCAGCACCAAATTGCTGCTGTTGTGTTCTTCAGCACTGTCGGACGTAGTGCTGACTGGTGATAAGCAGCACCACTCTGCTGCTGTTGTGTTCTTTAGAGCCGCGTATGTGTAGTTGATCTGCGCCACATCGCTGCTGTTGCAGACTGCTGAGCAGCACCAATTGCTGCTATTGTGTTCTTCAGCACTCGTTAGGAATGGTGCTAAATGGTGTTCAGCAGCACCACTTTCCTTCTGTTGTGTTCTTTAGAACCCATATGTGTAGTTGAGCAGCATCACATCGCTGCTGTTGCAGACCGTTGAGCAGCACCGCACCACTGCTGTTGTGTTCTTCACCACTGTCAGACGTAGTGCTGAATGGTGTTGAGCAGCACCACTCTGCTGCTGTTGTGTTCTTTAGAGCCGCGTATGTTTAGTTGAGCTGCGCCACATCGCTGCTGTTGCAGACTGTTGAGCAGCACCGCATCGCTACTGTTTTGTTCTTCAGAACCCATATGTATAGTTGAGTAGCATCATATCGCCGCAGTTGAAGACTGTTAAGCAGCATCACACTGCTGCTGTTGCAGACTGTTGAGCAGCACCGCATCATTGTGTTCTTCAGCATTGTCGGACATGGTGCTGAATGGTGTTTAGCAGCGCCACTTTGCTGCTGGTGATCTTTAGAACCGCATATGTGTAGTTAAGCGCTGCTGTTGCAGACTGTTGAGCAGCACCGCATCACTGCTGTTGTGTTCTTCAGCATTGTCGGACATGGTGCTGAATGGTGTTTAGCAGCACCAACTTGCTGTTGTTGTGCTCTTTAGATCCGCGTATGTGTAGTTGAGCTGCGACACATCGCTGCTTTGTGTTCTTCAGAACCCATATTTATTTATTTTATTTATTTATTTGATACGCACAAGGCGTGCCCAATACACAGAACGAAGCATCACACTAAACAAATAGGGGAAAAAAAAAGAACAAAAACAGGCAAACACCCCACTGAATCAGCTCAAGTCCAGCCCGCAAAATATTTTCTAGGGATAGAAAGGGAGTGAGCTTGTCTAGACTAATATGAAGTCATCACATGTATAGAGGTTCGATGGAGTCATATGCGTAGTTGAGCAGCATCATATCGCTGCTGTTGCAGATTGTTGAGCACCATCACATCGCTGCTGTTATGTTCTTCAGCACTGTCGGACGTAGTGCTAACTGGTGTTGAGCAGCACCACTTTCCTGCTGTTGTGTTCTTTAGAACCCATATGTGTAGTTGAGCAGCACCGAATTGCTGCTGTTGTGTTCTTCAGCACTGTCGGACGTAGTGCTAACTGGTGATGAGCAGCACCACTCTGCTGCTGTTGTGTTCTTTAGAGCCGCGTATGTGTAGTTGAGCTGCGCCACATCGCTGCTGTTGCAGACTGCTGAGCAGCACCGAATTGCTGCTGTTGTGTTCTTCAGCACTCGTTAGGAATGGTGCTAAATGGTGTTGAGCAGCACCACTTTCCTGCTGTTGTGTTCTTTAGAACCCATATGTGTAGTTGAGCAGCATCACATCGCTGCTGTTGCAGACTGTTGAGCACCGTCACATCGCTGCTGTTGGGTTCCTCAGCAGTGTCGGACGTAGTGCTGAATGGTGTTGCGCAGCACCAACTTGCTGTTGCAGAGATCGCCAGTCATCAGCTTTCTGCAGTTGTTGAGCTAGTACCAGGCTGTTGGGCACCAGTTTGTTGCTGTTGCGTTCGTCAGCACCAGTTGGGAATGGTGTGGAATGGTGTTGGATAACACCAACTTGATGTTGTTCTGTTTTCGGCACAGTCAGCAATGGTGTGGTAATGAACGGTAGTGAGCAGCACCAACTTGCTGTTGTTGTGCGTTCAGCACTAATTAGGAATGGTATGGAATGGTGTTGAGCAGCACCAACTTGCTGTCGTAGAGATCGCCAGTCATCAGCTTTCTGCAGTTGTTGAGCTAGCACCAGCCTGTTGAACACCACCAGTTTGCCGCTTTTGTGTTTTTCAGCACCATTTGAGACGCTATTGAGGCACTAATTATTAGGAATGGTGTAGAATGGTCTTAAACAGCAATAAATTGTTGCTGTTGTTTCAGCACCATTTGAAATACTGTTACGAGTCCAATCTCAAAGTATTGATGAACTGTGGCTATAGATCTATCCGCGGCGAAAGAAAGGAGAAAAGCACCGTAAGGCCTAAGCATACCTCGCGCGATTCCGGTCGCTGCGCGATTTGGCAGAACAACGGCTCTTCGTAATTCGTAGCTGATGTGCTGCCTTTGGTCAGAACTTGATCCGTTTGCAACAACTTACACAACCTACCCAAATATGCGTTTATGAAGCGCGCACAATAAATTTGCACAAATCTAGCAAGCCGCCAAGTCGCGTGAAAGTGGCGATTCGGCCGAATCGCTTGAGGTATGCTTTAGGCCTAAGGCCTCGGGCAGAGTTCACGCGATTTAATGGTCGCGATTCAGTCGCACAAGGCAAGTGTTACGAGTTCATCGATTCTTGCATCTCGGTTGATAGTTACTCACAGTTAGTCGAGTTGGAAAACTATCACAACCGAAAAGCAAGAAGATCGGCATGCAATGATATTGTTGCAGTTGTCTTGGAGCGATCATTCGCGACGATCAAATCGCGTGAACTCCGCCCGAGGGCCTAAGGCAGAATATAGCTATCATGCGGAAAAGAACAAGTTCAATGGAACAGGTAGTACCACATAGTGTCTTAGCTAGAAAAATAAACTTTCAAGGCTTGAGAATACGATGATAGGATAAAGTTACGAATTTTGTCTTTGGAGCAGCTAGTAGCCCCTTTAGAAGATGATGAGATTCTGTTGCTGTATGATAGTGGGCCATTCCATGAAGGAAGGCCCAAGTAACGACGGGAAATTTGATTTTCAGAAAATTGTTTGGAAAAAGTTTGGGCATTGGTGGCTCTACTCATGAGAAGGCGATGCCCGCCCCGTCCAGCTAACAATTTCTCGATAACGCATTCTGACTTGGCAAGAACAGTCGAAACAGACAATTCGTGACTGTATCTGAGTTGCTTCGGATCTTTCTGCTGCATTCGACGAGCGAGCATCGCAGCACTCGTGCAAACTCGTCCACTCGTCCTCGTTGTAGTAGTTTTGGGTGTTTTTCATGTACTTTGCAACTCAAATCCACAATCAGGGCCATGGAAAGGCATAATACTAGAAGGCGAAAATGTAACTAATGCTTTGGGTTAATTAACATTGCGTTTTCGAGAAGTTTTTTTCACTGACAAAAGATTTTCGTTAACATGTTTGTTGTATTGCTCGGGATTCATTGGTAGTGGAGTTCATTCTCACTCACTGCCGGCACCGCAGCGGCATGTTACTAACTGGTCAGTTCTGGGAGGAATGTACGAAAGGACTAGCGCCATATGCCTGGTCTTTGAGAAGGATTCCTTCCTTGCTATGAAACGGTGCATTAAGCTTTACGTTCCAGACCTACTAACATTCGCCATAATTTCGGGTAACTGCGTCCCGTTTGTGGCGAACGACACTGTCACGGTTAGTTACGTTGATACAAAGACAGCAGACTACGCCAGGCTTGGCCTTGTCCCGGACGGAGCGGACTTGTCCCTCGAGGGCGGATGCCCATAGGAGATGACTCGCGCGAGGCGGCGTGCGAGCGAGAACAGCCTATGCGCTTCAGCTGGATAGCCGCGTTCGCGCCCGCCTCACGCGGTAAGCTGTACGCCTTCATCCGAGACTAGACCTTGCTTTGATCTATACCTCACAAGTTTCTCGCTGTTGATCACATGCCCAGTTCAGATCTACCAATGCGCAGTCATCAGGAAGTGTCGTACTCGTGACTTTTACAACATCCCCTTTGCACCCTCATCAAAACTGTAAGATACCATTCATCTTTGCAAATTCATTATCCTTCTTTTTTCAGAACCTCGCTTCTCACCCCTCCTGATATGTGCTTTCCGCAAGACCAAAAACTTCCACCCGTGCAGAGAAAACAAAATTTCAACAACACCACATTTGCCAATGCAACCATATCCCCTTCACTTGAAACCGTCCAGAAGCCGTTTTTGAAAGAATCATATCCAAACGAAACAGTCCCTTACACATTTGGTGGTAAGATTAAAAGCATCGTTCAGTGCGAAACCAAGAAGAGTTGTTACAGAATCTTTTTGGAAAGCTGCACGACGTGAGGAGTTTACGAGACTACGAAGATTCCATTTTGGCAGGTGAGAAGGGTAATGGTAATTTTGAGAGTTGCAGCAGTGGTGATCGTGAAATAATGAATTTTTCTTGTATCGTGGTACTAACAAGATATTTTTGAACAAGTCAGAGTATCCGCGCTAATCCTATAGCAGCCGTACGTTTGCATAGGAAAACAGGTTAAGAAGGGACGGGCAAGGCAAAAGGGCTCTGCCAGCCAATCAGCATTCTCGAGCATTAAGCTTCTTTAGGCAGAATTTACGGTCTGGGCAGAAGTTAAGTTCGATTTTCTCCGTCATGAATGATTTCATAAGCCGCCGCTTGGGCGATGGCTTAGCTAGCTTTAAGGCCCAATTATCCTACAAGTGAAGTCTGTTACCAGAACTTGCATGGACGTTGCCTTCAAATTAGCTGGAATCAAATTTTCCTAAGAGCCAACTGCTTGCTAAGAGTTTTTACTTTATGCACTGTATGGTGTACTGTATGGTGCTTGATTCTTACCTCGTTTCGTGATTGCTCTCGATTAGAGGCTACTTGAGAAATTCTCAAGAAAGGAGTTTATTTTGACAGGAAATTCACGTAGTAGCTTCTTCTTTGGCAAGCTGAGTCGTTCAGCAGTTGAAGACTTGAGGGAGGATAGAATTTTTGATTTGAAAATTCGAACACTGGAGAATTCAATGGGAGACTACTATGGCTACCATAAACCTACCGCATACGAACAGATTCTTAAATCAGAAGATGCGTCATGCTGCCACATTGAGTTGAAGTAAATTTGTACATTACGAAGCGAGATATGGCGTGGTGCGCTAATGTCCCTGTCTCACTTAACCATCTCAGCTTTTCCTGGACACTATGAGCGGTATTGACAGTAAAAGCGGGTAAGGAGAAACTTCTAACACATTTGATGGTGTTTTTAGATAACGAAAAATTTCAAAATAGTATTTGCTTCTAAAAGCGTCCTGAAAGCTTACTTTTGAATCGAGCTCACAAACTAACAAGTTAATTTGCGTGATGGTACCTTATTGCTTTTGAGACGTTCTTATATTAGGTTCAGGGAGGTACCTATCGCGGGAATATGCATGTGCGTAATGTTTGATTGTGCACTCATCGCTCTCACTTGCGCCATTCTGAATTACGAAGATCTGAGTGATGATCAAGAAGTGAGTGTATCTTATACAACACTAAAAACTGCGATTCGGATTGAAACTTCGCCATTATAGGTGGATGTCTTCGAGAGCTTTGAGGATCTTCACGGTCGGCTGGTGCGAGAAGCACAAACACAAACAGTAACTGAAAATCCGAAGATCCAGATAGAAAAGAGCGTGCAGACCATCTCGCCGGAGGAGCGAAGGGCGGCTAAAGTCAAATTTCATCCACGTCAAAGTGATTGCTGATCTCATCCAGATGACATTATGAAGAGTGTCAAATAAACTGATTTCTTCATCGTTTTTCATGTTCGAGAAGTTTAACTGAGCGTCAACTCCATTGTAGCAAAGATTTGCTCTGTTTGCCCTTCCGTTATCAATGACTCCCAAAAAATTATACTCTTGCGCTCCCATAAAACTACGATTGGTTGAGCAAGTGAGTAAAAAGGGTGAAGAATAGCTAGGGATAGGGATACCCTTCTTCAGCTAGCAATTTCGAGATCTACTGTACAGCAATGGTATACGATAGGTACCGTAGACAAGGGCCAAGCACAGAAGTTAGTCATTTTATCTATCGTTTGAAGATCACATTGGTGCTAACCATCTTTTCGGTGAATCCGAAGAGATGGTCACCACCAATGTGAATCCGAATTCCTACTTTTGAGGAGTGTTTTATAGTTTTGAAATGTAGTGCAGCATGACTGAGCAAAACTAATATCGCCTTCCCCTTCTCTATCCATCAGTGCTTTTGATATTTCAGATTACCACACTGAGCTCAGCACTCCCTGCCTCCGCTTTCGTTCGATTGCATGTGGTGTTGTCGCGCTATCTTTTTTTCGTTTGAGCATTTCACTACGACTGAGAATAAAATTTTTTCACCATTTACCGTAATCAAACTTTTTTTTGCTGTTTCGAGAGGACAGAAAATACTGCGGTTGGGCTATTGGTTTGAGAAGTGAATAATATAGCTCAGATGTACACTGAAATTGTTTACCACAGATCACTACGAACTAGTTGGATTAATGGTTTAAGAAATGAATAATATAGATCAAAGAACACTAGAATTTTCCGCATCGAAGAATATGGAAATAAAATTATGGAAATTTCCCTAAAAATTTGAGGCCATGACATAGTTTGGTTACTAAAGCTCTGCTAGAGCACTTTTGACCTATAGATCATTCCTTTTCGGATAACTAGAGAATTTATTAATTAGGTTCATGACATATTTATGAATTGCAGTAGAGCGTTGTTGATGCATACATTTTCGATGCCAAATCGCACAAATTTGCGGACGACAACACTTTGCCAAATGACTGAATATGCTGCTGTTCGCCAGGCAGAAGCGTCCCTCGAAGCTGTGCTGGTCGTTCGGGAGGCTAAATCCCTCATTACCCGTCCTTCCTCTCCTCTACCTACTGAATCATTCATGCGCTTCTAGTTTACGCTGCTTCTCTGCATACCCGCGCATCGCATGCTGTCTCTCCGTGGGCGTGCTGCTCGCCCGCCGCTTGCGTGATGACGACGAGCCGCTCGTCGTCTGCGCACTCCGCTGCCTAGCCGCATCGATTCACCTCCCTCCTACTGTATCGCATGTCTACCTAGCCGCATACACTAGCCTTATACGGCATCATCTTCAAAATTCTGGATGAGATGACACGAAATCTGGACGAGAGTGGACGACGTACGGGTGTAAACAAGTTATCAAAGCGTCTTCATTGAGAGAAAAAATATAAAATCTTCTTAACAATCAATTATTGATCGAATCACACTCATCATAACGACCACTATTTACATACTGAATAAACAAAAGAAAATACCCTGGCGAGCAAGAACAGCAAGAGATCCGAGAGTTATTGGGAATGAGATCGCGCTTTCGGGGGCAAAGTGAAGTGAACAATGGCATCTCAATCCAGGAAAATTCATACCGGGAAATCGATGAATGCCGAGATCAAATCATGTCAGCTTTTAAGTGCAGGGGCTACGTATATTCTCCACCGGCTAGAATTTCAGTTCCTGTGACAGAGTTGAGTTGGTGTGCTGACTTTGGTCGAAATATCCGGGAAGAGCGGCGAACGGTGGAGGACATTTGCCTCCAGCAGCCTGCATCAGACGTGGCGCTTGTGGAGCGCCGTTTCGACACCGGAATTGTGACCTGAAATCTCTGTAGAGGATTGGAGGGGATCTAAAATCGGCGAAATCTTGTTCTACGCTTTTACGTTACAAAAATTTGTTCAGAGAAAGAGGAATCAATGATAGGATAGAGGGTGGAATTTGTTATAAATGCATTTCTATGGCCTAACGTGTTAGTCATAACGAAAGAATTTTACCGTGGGACTAGGTCATAGTGTAGGTATACTGTAGGTAAGTAGTGCCGTAACTTCTATCAAGGAAGATGTCTGCTTGCATCTTCTTTCCGCATCTCAAAATACAGATGTAATTTGCATTTCCAAAGAAACTTGATGCAAGTTTAGATCACTGTTCATTAGAATTAAGAAAAGATTGTTATTGGATTTTCAAAGTGCCACTGAGGCAGGCTTTTTCGATTTCTTGGGTTGCGATGAATTCTGCTGATGCTGTTGTTTATTAACAGTCTCATTTCAAGTTTCATTAGGTTATACGCAGAAGAAAAGAATTTCTTAAGTATTGCACCAAAAAATCGCGCTTTCAAAAATTGGTGCTATCGTTTCGACCACGTTCGACCACGTTTTTTGTATATGGCAAAAAAGACTATATTATAAGTGTACGCATATCTGTTGTGCTTGCTTCTATGTTCACATTTTCTCGTCAAGCGTTATAAAAATATCATCCCTATCAAACCAAATATTGGATACATTCGGCTATGTAGAAATATTACTAAAAAATTTGAGGGTGTGGATATGATAATCGTGCGTTATCGATAACAATGTAAGCAGAGACAAGCGCTTTACACCGACTTTTTACGCGCAAGTCACAAGCAGATTATTAGCAATCACAAGTATAAGATTTGTTCCCGCGCAAGTGTTATTCTCACCGCTGGATCACTATCCACTATTAACCTTAGACAACCATTCTATATTAGTTAATAGAAAATCTGGTACCTTTTCTGCTTTTGCCGCTGGTTGCAGAACCATACGCGTACTACATTTTTCTTCAAGTCTAGCTTATCGGCAATAGCTGCGATTCGCTCTCCGGATGGTCGCGGTTGTTGTCTAGAAAAGAATATGTATACTTGTAATTATACTAGTAATCAAAAATTTGCTGTACCTGAAGTAATCCTCCAGCAATCGCTTCTCAGGCGCAGCAATACTGGTTCGTTTTCGTTTTTTGTCGGTGTTTGGTAAGATACCCGAAATGTCACCGCAACCATCCTTTTGCTTCATTGCCTCCTCTGCCTGAAGCTCACTCCATTCTATACAATTTCTCCCACTGCAGCGAAATAACCTACTTTTTCTAGCCAACTGTGCAGTATGGGTTTCAATGCTACCATATTATTGTGAGAAAGTGTGAGCGACTCAAAGCGACATATCGTGGATTGGGACAGGGATCCAACTCCAGGCATCTTCAGGTGAGCCAGAGCCTTGCCAACATCTGCCTGAAATATATCCGCTTTGCTGAAGTCAGTTCTTCAAGCACCAAAAAATGAGAGGACAATCAGTTGTTCTTCACTGTCTCCTAGGCATACATACGATGCTTTGCATCTATCAAAGAAGATTGGAAGTGAGAAGATTAGATGCGGAATCAATCAGAGAAATAATACATACTGACATATAACTTTGTTCCTTGAAACGCCATTCCATAAAAGAACCATTCTCAAAACGTTAATAACGTATGAACATTTTGATGGATATGCATGTTGTATTATGCATGCGAAGCTCATTAAACTACCTACATTAGTAATGCAAGGCTTATACTCAAAATACCTCAGGCATAAATTGTTCTGCACAGAACTAGATACCTATCCTTACCCGTTAAAAATCATCACTTCATAAATTCAAGTTTGTAGTAAGCCCAGCCATGAGGTTTTGATTGAGCAAAGACTCAGAAATTACATAGAAGGAAATTTTCACTATCGCTCTAAGCAAGTAGGTTTCTGTATGCAGATATAGTCGTTCTCATTTCAGCAGTTAACTACGTAATTGCACAAACTTTGTATACACGTCGGCCAGATTTTTGTACGTGTTGTTTTCGTGTTTTTTTTTCGTCGCGTGCGTAATTTTTCTGACAATCAGGATAGAGGCTCTATCGCCTCGACCTACCCCACTAAATATTTTGAAAGTAGTGGAATTACAAGTATTTGCTCTAATGAAGACTACCGCAAGTAAAGCAGCTTCACCTGTGTGACACCTAGTTTGATTCGTCTCTGTTTGAAATGTTCGGCAAATCGTTCCAATTCTCTAGGATCGGTGTCGACTTCTATAAGGAATCATTAGCCTTATAAGAACATCTCGAAGTTTTGTGCTCCATTAATGCTACGGTTACCTGCAGTTGGAGCAGCTAGCGGGTAGCGAGCAACTTGCGGGGGAATAGCTGATGGGAACGATGATGCCATTGGATATTGCGGGAAGTGTGAGGAAGCACCGTAATTCTGCATTGCCATCACCTAGACACGAACTTTTGCAGACAATGAAAAAGAGCAATTTTATTCCAGAAAGAAAGACCTGCTGCAAAGGGGTCATCTGATCCTGGTCAGATGATGTCGGGACAAGAACCGATGCATCAAAACCTTCAGAAGTGGCTGGTAAGCCGTGATATATATTAGTTGGGTCTTGCGTTGAACCCATAAGATAGTTACTGTAAAGCGATGGTGATGAGTTGTTTGTCGAATATCGTGACATTGTCACCACCTACCTGAACATATCGTGAGGTCGCATCAGAGGATTTGTAATGTTCACTTTCACATCCATGTCAGCCAGAGCTGCTTGAGCTGCTCGCGCTTGGAACAACGGATCATCGAAAGATCCGAACAGCGAGTTGTTGAACTGAAATTGCTAAAACCGAATCAGATGGCAAGGTATAGAAGAGTTGAAGGGGTGCTAATTAGGTTGAGCCAGGGGCTGCTCAAAGTGCACACACGTAGGTTGTGGGGCACATACGGAATCGATGCTGTCGGGGTGTGGATACGAATGTGAAAACATCTGCTACCGTAGGCTGTTCGGGAAGGAACAGCAACTAGGCATGTGATGTTGAAGAAAGAGTTTTCTGTTACTCAGGTGACTTGTTGGAAAACGAAACCGGAGGAAAAGAAATTCTCAGGAAAAGTGTTATTTCTAAAATCCTCTCTCTTTATATTCAGAAGAATCGGGGTTCCATAACCCTCCCAAAGGCTAAATATATCCTAATGAGCCTTTGTATAGCTTACGTACGAAGCTTGAAGCTTCAGGAAGCCAGTTTCAACTTTAACTTCAAATGGTCAAAAGTCGCCGTCTCTAGAGCTTGCGAATTCACATTTCTGATGCAGTGTTAGTGAATAATTGACTAATGTTATTAATTAAGTATCAAGTGTTGTTTTTCGTCACTTGTAAATTTATGAGCGGAATCAATTTTTAATGCAGCGTCGGCCGTAAAATACGCAATGAATTTGAATAATACATATCGTATCGAGACAGAGGAAGGCGACAAAGAAGGCAATAAGACAATGGAGATGTGGAGATTATAAAGCTCTGATTAAGGAGAGGGGGGGGGGGAGCATGGAATAACAGATACAGTTTATAATCGATCTCGTTATGATATCTTGATTGTAAGTCCACATCGCTATTTTTCTAATTTTCTGCTTCCCCGCAAGAACATTCAGAAAGAGTTTTCAATTTAGCATAATTTCCTTCAGTTTACAGAACACATATCAGCTGGATTGAAGTGCAGAAATGTCAAAATTTCTTTTCTTTTCGTTTGTTGAAATCACCTTTTCGAGTACCAAGAGCAGTAAAATTTCGAAGTTATGCAATCTTTTCGCTGTAAGCTCCTTTCAATCACAAAACCTCATTTCTAATGCTACTTTGTTAAGATATACCGGAGTATACTACCATTCCTCTTCTTCCCCTTCCCTTCTGTATGTTGGCAGGGTCAGGATCGAATGCAAATGGTGGTGGATTCCTGCCTATAAATTTATCTCTCAGATAACAAATTGAGCGATTGAGAAGATGTTGGCAGATAATGAAAAGAATAAGTATCATTTGGGAATTCAGCGGAGATGATGTAATTTTACTGCAAGCGCTTCTAGGAAAGAATTTAAAAGCTGTTGACGATGTAAAAATTCGTGAGAAAATTCTGAGAAAAGTTTTAATGCTTACCGGTTGCATTCGATTTCTATACGCAGACGATGGCGAATATCGTCCCGAAGACTGCTGAGCCAATGAGCCACCCAATTGGCCCTGAAGAGTATTTAGAGATGGATAGAGCCGTTGAGGTTCCTGCATCGCAGCGCAAGTGCGGCCATCGGAGCAGGCGGTCTGTGGGCCCGCCCACCCAGGCCGATTTGGCCAATCACAGTTGCGTGCTTGGATGCACTACAGGTACTCGGCCGATCGCTCTGAGACTGTAACTCCTCCCACGATTGGGGGTCAGACCTTCAATTTGATGCAAATAAGCTGGAAGGGTAGATATGCCCTATAGGTACCAAATATACCATCGAAACCGGTCGCAGTCCACTCCTGACCCTAATCACCCTCTATACGCCTATTCATTAATCGCTTGCATAGTTTCAGTGTTCGACGTTTGACTTATTTATGAATGAGCAAAACACACTGGCACACATGGGTGCGTTTCCAGCCGGCCAGCTCTCCGTTAGCGCTTGATTACATGCTGAAATATTAAACGCGGACGCCAGTCGACAATTGACGGCCGAGTTTTGCAAAGGGCGGAGCTGGAGCCGCTCGGCCAGCGACAAGCATTAAATCATCCTGCTAATTAAGTCCAACATCAGAATGTCATATGAAACATTATATTGCTAGTTAACTGGCATGTTTTGCAAAAACTTCACAGGAAACGGAAGTCAATAGAAGGAAAATAATAAAGTTAGAAAGTCTGGAAAAGTGAAAAGTACTCTGAAATGTGAAGAAGAAACTGAGAGTCTCAAACCCAAGAATTGATTCTTATCAGGGCTAGAATCTCCTGATCTCGACATGGGGTAAAAATTTGAGAGAAATGCTGTTATTTTGAGCAAGTGCATTGAATCAGTTATACAGCTGACATTTTTAGAGGACGAAACACCTGTGTCGACATTTTCGCTTGTATAGGTCATCTATAAAATCGTGACGACGGATTTGACTGCAGACTTGCGCCCACAGGAGCATAAAACGCTCATACAAAAAGAAATCACCTCAACGCTTAGCTCAGTCACTTCCAGTGTTTAAATACTATCATGTGTAAGCAAAAAAAAACCATTTGACTAGAGATAAAAACCAAGAAAATGCGATTTCCGGAAGTAACGTGCGTGTAGGGCACGGTCGCGTCATCGTCACGATTCAAATGCTCTATATCTCTCTGATAAGCGAACTCACCTAAATGAGTGAAAAAATCAATAGCCACCGTCTATTTTCAATCGATATGCATAAAATGCCTTTCCCACTCTTTTTTTACCCAATTCCCTAGATGAAGGCAACCAATTACAACATTCCCATGTAAGATAAACAAAAGCAGCTCTGAGAGTACTGTAAAGTAAACATAAACGAACAAAAGCCAGCTGTATCAATGAGTGCAGCCAGTGCGTGTGCTAATCTCCAGGTAAAACAAGGCGTATCCGATTGCATCACTCTCGGTCACTGAGTTGACTTCGATTTGCAGCTGTCCCACTGATTGCCAGAGCCTTGGCATATGTGTGGTTGCAGTGCTAGTACTATTGTGACATCAAAAGTAAAAACTTCTCTAAAAAGCCAATGCCAAAAAATTGTAAGAAATCAAAAGAAGTGCCGAAGAATATTCCTTCTTCAAACCAGGTTCGCTGCTCGTGACAAAATCAATTTTCCCGCGCAAATGCGGTTTGCCGTGTGAATGCACATATCTTTGTGACTGTGCTCGCCTATAAACTTCTACGTATTTGTCAGGCATTTGCGTCTTCGTTTCATAATTCATTCACCCTTCGGTTTGCTCAATCATTTTACCACAGTCTGCACATAATATTGTTTTTTTTTGCTTTAATTGTTTGATTTTATTCTTCCTATGTTTTCCGTTACTGAGTGCAGTCAAAATTAACGCCTTCTAGTTATTTCTTCTTTCTGTTTCTCAAATGAATAAATGAGTAAATATAGTTGCATTTGAAAAATCGTAACTATGGCGCGACCGCGCGCGACACGCACGCTTCAAATCGCATTTTCTTGGTTTTCATCTCTAGTCGAATAGTTCTTTGCTTGCGCTGCTTACTTGCTTTTTGCTTGAATATCTGGACACTGGAAGTAACTGAGCTGACAAGGGAATGGTCAGAAGTCGAAGTGGCCAAACCATACGAGCTACATACCATTAGATGCAGCATAAAACGCTGACTCTAAATCTGTCTTCCTTATCTGCAGAGCGCTTTTGTGGACGAAATTATGAGCCGTTGAACGCCATTATTTTGGTAAGAAATTGTGCGTTTAATGTGCAACCTTGACCGTACAAAGCCATTCTCGGCTCAGTGTTGGACCAAAACATGCAACTAGGTCACTTCATATGACCCGTACCTAGAGGTGAGCTGAATGAGCAATAATGTGCCCAATTTCGCAATTTTTGTGCACGGCTTTTTCGCAGTAGAACTGCTCATAACTTCGCCTACAAAGGAGCTCTGCAGCTAGGGAAGACAGATTTGAAATCAGCATTTTATGCTGCATCGAGTGGTATGCAGCTTGTATGGATTGGCCACTTCGACTTCAGACCATTCCCTTGTGAGGTGATGAGGTGATGCTATTCTGTATGAGCGTTTAGGCTCCTGTGGGTGCAAAGTCCGCAGTTAAATCCGTTCTCACTATTTTATAAATGAGCTATACAATTATACTATTTATTTCTCGTCCATTTCTTTTTAACTCCAGCTCTTTCCAATTCCAGCTCGGAAGCTAATGCACATCGTTAAAGCAGTTCTTACTACGGTTACACTGTTCTTGAAGGCTAGCCCACAGAAGGGCAGTAACTCGTCCGAATAATCAAAAAATCCATTGTTATACATAAAACACACACACAGCCAGCTTGCCACACACAGCCGTATCATTGGATATGAACGCCTCCAGCAATAGTCTATTCTCGGTGGACGAATAATTCACTATTGGGGCCATCTACTGGCAAAAGCATCGTCGGACATGCTACTGCACACACTACGGCTGCCGTCATTTCTCGCGCTGCGGTTTAGTTTGTGCTAAGTTTTTTTTCCAGGATTTTCTTGCTCAATTATGCATGAATGGTCAAATGAATCGGGAAATGTTGGTATCTGTGCTATAACAACCCGTGTTTCATAAGGACGATTTGCTAAGCCATATATTTTTCAAATCAGTTATCGCGGATATTTCTCGGAACAGTTGCTTTTTTGATCCCACATCCCCATGTTTTCCTTCGACATGAAATTTGCTGGATGACGTCATTTTATCCTGGTAATTCCGAATTTATCTTTCCATGATTTGGTGCAGCGAAGTCGCTGTCATAGGTTTTGTTATTTTTCCCATAACCGGGCTGAAAATGTGGTAAGCTGGCTAATTCTCTATATGCAATTGTCAGAGTCGATGAAAATTATCTTTTTGGACATTTTCACCTTCCAAATTTCTAGTATTTATACACTATAGTTTTCGAAATTCTCTGCAAACCTGGCTCCCTCCCCCTCTCCCCCATAAGCAAAAATACTTGCTTTTTAAGTGATTTTCTAGTTGTTTAAGGGGCAAATCCAGCACAGAAAGCAATTCTCATTTCTTTAAACTAAATATTATTCCATGAGTTTACTCAAAGTGAACAGTTCTATAATTTTTTAACTTCCATTAAGACGTAAATCAAGCTTCATCATAGATTTTGGCTATTAGGTACATAGTTGTTCATGTTTAACAAAAGGTTTTCTATACCCAAAGATTACATTTTATTCTGCAGAAAAACGCAAGCTGTGTCGTCTCCGACCTCATTCTCATAAGCCTATGGATTCTATGGATTCAAATTCATATTCTTGGAACATTGCATAAGCTACTATTCTCCTATTCGGACGTTTGAATACATACCGGGTAGGCGAGGTGGAAGGCAACAGCCATCGTACATCAATCTGCGGCGTTCCGTACGTTAAAAATTCATGAAGTTGTATTGTGACATCTGTGTAAGCCCAAACAGGCCAACAACGGGCGAGATGATGGGTTGAAAGAGGAAGGAGGAAGGTGGGAGAGAGGGGAGGGGGGAGTGAGAGCATGGAACCAAGGAGTCTACAGGAATGTGCAGGCAAATCTGGGTTGCTGTCTCATGCGGTATTTTGATTAGTGGCCTTAACAAGCCTTGCATTATCTTTTCAAGCGGGCCAATCAGCGCCGTTGGGTACTGTAGAAGGACGGTATGGGCAGAAGTTCAAATGTGCATTTCTCTGCGATAAATAAATTATATGGGCTGCAGCTTGGACAATGACAGCTTCCTATGAGTTTTTTATACCCGATTGTAAAATAATAAAGGCAATCCGCTTTCTCCCCCCCCCCCCCCCCCACCACTTCCCGACCTCACCAGCCTAATGTCCCCATTGTGCAAGATGTGCTAGACCCCTCATTAACCCTCACACAGGCTACCGTACTTAGCCGCAAGCGTACATCATCGTCCTGCTGCTATTCCCACGCTTTCTTTTCTCACAGTGAAGAGGTCCAAGCTCGTGTGCGCGTCGATAAGGAGCCAATACATAATGAATGAAGCGAAGCGAGTCCACCAGCGATATTCCATATAAAAATAGGGACAACGAGATAGCAAGAGAAAAAAGAATTTTGGCATTAGGAGTGCGTCAAAGATTGAGTAAATTTGGAGAATGAGAGCTTGTCTGGCTTATTCGTACGTTTTACTTCACAGAGTGTCTCTATGAGGCATGAAGTAGAGGAAGGAATGCTGGAGAAGGCTTCCAAATTTTTAATAACACTTTAGCCTGAAGAACACCCAGTTTATTTCGATGACTTCCCTTTAATAGTTCTACGTATGTTAGAATTAAGATATGACAGCTTCTAAGCAAAAACATCTAGATAATTTTTAATCTCAGCAGTCACTTCCGTAACTGCATTGGGGCAAATTCTATAAAATCGGTACATGCATCTTCAACGTCTTGCAGTGATACTCCTTTTTGTAGTGTCTTCGCCATTATCGCACTGAATTTATTTTTTCACGCAGTCTTTTCGGTGAAACGTCTGGTTTTTTTCAAATTTCCATCAGGCTTTGCTCGTCACCTCTCGGATTTTTGGAAAACAAAGTAACAGCCTAGAGATGAGTTTTACGGTGGAATGAATATTACATTTTT